TATATTAATAGGCCCTAATCTAGTATATTATTTAGATAATATATAATCTCCTTCTCTTCTTTAGAAATCTTAATCTATCTCTCTATATATAATAATTCCTATTTAATTAAATTATTAATAATCTTCTAAAGATTAGAATTATACTTAGAAAACTATTTTACCTAAAAGACTATAAGATATCTTATATATAATTACTACTAGAAGAAAGTAATAATTCTAGAAGATATAAGCTCTCTCTTCTTTCTAAGTAATAAGAATTATACTTTATTATTATAGTAATATTAACTATTTACTTAGCTATCTATCTTAAGTTCCTAATAGTTCTAAGAATAATACTCTTAGATACTATAGTACTAATAGTTCTCTTAAGAGCTTTATAAGAAGTAGATAGTATTAATAGAAATATTATAAGTTTAATTAAATATTTCTTTATTATTTACTCCTTTTAGAGTAAATAAATTCAGTTTAAATATAATTCTATCTCTCTCTAGATTTAATTTTATATTCTCTTTCTTAAAAAGATAAAAACTACTAATAAGAAATATAAGTATTTTCTATATTTAGATCTAGCTTATTCTTATTTCTTTAAACTTAAATTTTATCTTTTCTACTTCTAATTCTTCTTTCTTTTACTATACTAACTATATAGCCTCCCTTTAAAGATCTTAAAAGCTAACTCTCTTTTCTATCTTTAAAGACTTTACTTCCTCCTTCTTCTTTTTCTATTTTTATAGGTAATTTATAAGGTTAATTTAATTAATTCTATTAGTTCTAATTTCTCTAAGTACTCTAGAGGATTAGTTACTTCTTAGTTTACTAATACTAAGATAATACTCCTAAGCTATAAACTTATTACTAATTCTATTACTAGTATAATTAAAATTATAATTTATAATTAGAAAGTATTAGTATATAGCTTTATTAACTACTATCTAGAGTTTCTTATATTCTATTCTCTTAAGCTCTTTATATATTTTCTTTTCCTTATAAGTAATATTAAAAATAAAGTTAGATAGTAAAGCTCTGAGTAAATATTATAACTAAATTATATTAGTATTCTATTTAGTAGAATTAATTTTCTAGTAAAAAAGCTAATAAGTATTAATAAAAGTAGTAATCTACTATTAATTAAATATAATTACTATAGTATTAAGTCTTTATAGCTTTTCTTTAGATTAAATAAGCTATTTAGAGTTATAGCTATAGTATTATTATTTAAGTACTTAAACTACTTTAAATTAGTAATTCTAACTCTTAAGGATAATCTTAATCCTCTATTTCTCTTTCTTAATAATATAGAAAAAAAAAAGCTTCTTTTTTATAGTAGGATTAATATTAGGGTTTCTAAACTTAATAAACTTCTTAAAACTATTTAGAAAGAAAGTAATTCTATAATTATTAAATTCCTTAGTTATCTATAGATTAATTCTATTTTTTATAGAATAAAACAGATCTTTTAGTCTAGTAGCTAGATCTAATCCCTTTAGATTAATAATTACTTTATTATTTAGTATAATTTTATTATTAGCTATTTTATTAATTTAAAAGATTTTAATAAAATAATTTATACTAGATCTTATAATATTAATTTTAAATATTTCTTTTTTCTTTCTAATAGTTTTTTCTAAATAAAATATAAAAAGTAAGATTATAGTAATATCTATACTTTTTTATAAAGAGTAATCCTTAGATTAAATAGAAAGTTCTATAGAGTTATATAAAACTAGTTAATCTAATAGTCTAAACTATTCTAATAACCCTATAAGCTTATTCTTTTTCCTTAGATCTAATAGCTCTCTAAACTCTAATATAAGATTAAGAATCTAACTTTTATTATAGATTACTCTTTAGTTTTCCCCTATACTAATCTAATAAATAGAACTTAAGAGATTTAATTAAATTAGAAATCTAATAAGAAAAAAAACTAATCTATTCTTCTTTCTCTTTTCTATATAGAAGAGAAAGAACCCTTAACTATTAGTACTTATTATATTACTCTTAAGCTTTCTTTCTAAATTATAAAACTCTACTAAGCTTCCTTCTAGTAGTTTTAAATAATATTAATAATCTAGAACTCTTACTTTTATTAAATAATTCTTACTAAATAATCTAATAAAACTAGAGCTAAAGTAATTCTAATAGAGATCTCTAGCTTTTAGAAGAAAAGTTTTAATTATATTATAATCTATACTTTTAAATCCTTAGTATTAGATAATACCTTAGGAAGTACTTTCTACTTTTAGAGCTATAAGAGAATAATTCCTTTTTAGATCTATTAGTATTATACTATTCTTAAGAAGGGTTTAATTAACTAATTATAATCTCTATAAGTAACTATATATCTATTCTTCTGCTAATTTTATCTCTAGATATTAAGATTAGGGTTTTTAAAGCTCTAGCTCTAATTAAGTTCTAACTATTTATAGGTAGATAATACCTAAGTATAAGTAATAAGAGTCTTTTCTATAGGTTAATAATCTTTAGAATATCTTCTTATAGCTAAGAGAAGGGTTTATAGGTAAAAGATAGATAGTTAGAAATTCCTACTAGATATATCTAGATTCTTCTTATTCTAATAGTATAGAAGTACCTTCTTCTTAGGGTAAAATTATCTAAGAAACTAAATAGTAGTTAATTAATTAGAATTTCTTACTTTAAGAATTAGATCTAGATAAAACTACTATATAAATATTAATAAAATTTTCTAACTAATAATACTATAACTAAAGACTAAATAGATCTATAGTTATAATATTAATATTAGTTAAAGAAGAGAAATTATAACTAAGCTATATAGTTAAAGCTAATAACTATAATTAATTATATATATATTTAGTATTTAATTAGGGACTTCTATATTTAATTAATTAAATAAAACTATTCAGATTATTATATAAGCTAAACTAGCTATAGAATAATAAGTTAAAGATTATAATTTTAAAAATAAAGAATAATTTAAGAGTAAAAGATAGTTTTTTATTTTTTTAGAGTAGTAAAAATTTACTGCTTAAGTAGTATATAGTAAATTACTCTAACTAACTATAGAAATTATATATACTCTTAATATATAATCTAAAGGTAAAATATAGTATTCTAAATAAAGATCTATATAATTTTAATAAGATTAGCTTTATAATAGATATTATTTTCCTTAGAATAGTAGTTATAATCTTAGAGAGTTATATAAAAGCTAAGCTAATTTAGTTTAATAACTAAAAGTAGATAATTATAATCTAAAGAGTAAATATAGCTAGCTAGATTATTCCTCCTTTTATTATTCTAACTATTTAATATTACTTTAAAAACTAGTATTAGGAATATAATCTATTATATAACTAGTAATTTATAATAACTAAGAATAATTAGATTACTAATAAGATTAATCTAAATTAGATTAAGTACTTTAACTTCTATATAGCTCTTTATATAAAGAGAGTATATTAAATACTAATCCTTAATAATTATAAGAGCTATTATTTAGTTAATTTTAAGATCTACTATTAAGAGTAAAAGATTATTATAATCTATATATTTTCTTATTCCTTTTATCTTCTTTAGCTACTAGATATTAACTACTTTAGATTACTTAAGTAGTTATATAGATAAGAGATTAAGAATCTAATATAGATATATATTATCTATATTAATAAGTTTAAATTTCTCTTTACTTTTTATATAATTTTCTTTTACTTTTTTATAGAGAAAAATATCTAGATAGACTTTATTAGATCTAGTTTAATATTATATAATCTAGAGAGAGTTCTTTTAAAGCTAGATATAGTATTATAAATACTAATACTACTAGAGATCCTATCTAAGATAAAATAACTCTAAATTCTAAAGATATTATAGATTATATATAAGATAAGTATATAGTCTAAGTATATTAAATTTTAAATCTTAGCTTATTAAAATAGCTCTCTAATCTTTATACTAGCTATAATAGATTAATTTATAAAGAAAGTAATTATAATAATATACTAAATAGTTCTTTTATATACTAAGATCTATAATCTTTATATAGTAAATAAGATACTAAATAAGTACTAAAAAGCTAAAAAAAGCTATATATAATTTAGAGGGTTTCTAACTATATAGAATAAAATAAATCTATTAGATTAGAAGGATATAAATAAGTAGCTAAGAGGGAAAAACTATAGAAGTAGTAGTTAGAAAGAGTAAGCTTATATAAAAACTCTATAATATAGTAATTATAAAAAGCCTAATTATAATATCTGAACTTATAGAAAGACTAGAGAGAAGTCTAATAAATTAATTTCTAGTATTATTATTATAGATAATTAGCTATTATTATTTTAATTAACTTTATTATATAAGAGATAGGTAGAAGTAATCAGCTTACTTATATAATCAGCTTACTTGTGGATTATATTACCTATTTATTAATCAATTCCCAGTATAATGATAACGATGATGATGTGAATTTTTTAGCAAAAGCACCCCGGATGTAAGACTTTTGAAATACATGGATAGACCGAAGGTCTAGGTATTGGAAACTGGGCGATTTATGAAGCTCATGAATAACCAAGAGCTACGCTTGAACTGCCGCAATTGGCAATAGGTAATTTTTTCTCTTGTTCCGTGGCTAAATGCAGACTAGTTCATAAATTACTTGCGGTTAAAAAAGAAAGAAAAAAAAAACCATGGTTAAATTATACATAGTACCTGTATGGAAGGGGTCCGACGGCTGCGGAGACAAAAGGAACTGCCCGGAATGGGCTCCGAACGTCACCTCATCCAAGGCTATTCTCTCGGAAACCATATTTCGATTACTACGAGAACAGCTTATCCATATCATACATTTTATAATGCATCTTGAATCTTAGACTCTGATTGAAGATGCTAGATCTCTGCACTTATGTAGCAATATCGGGCTAAATGTTCCTTAGCAATACTTTCGATTGTCGTATCTTCTTGACGAGAGGTCTTTGAACGCCGCCAAAATCCCAGGCACAGCGCCGTTAGGCTCCAAACACGACATGACCGAGAAGAAGGAAATGGCTGCCTTTCGACAGTATATTCCTCCCCAGGATGTCCAAAGAAGCGTCGATCTCGCCCGATGCGACACCTACGAGTGGGCCAAAATCCGTTGCGCCGAGCCCTTCATGATCAACTGGAAGCGCAAATGGGACGAGCTGTGCAACGAACCATACAAGGGCATCACCACCGACGGAAACGTCATATCGGGTCTGTATAGACTGGCCAATGGCTCCGAGGACCACGGAGCTCCCGTGGCCGCCATGGTGACCGCCGCGGAGCGGATACTTCAGACTGCCACCGCAGACGAAAAGGAACGGATGTGCAGGGCTGTTGACGCACCCGAATGGCGAAAATGGGCAAACCCGGAGATTTACGTCTTCAGACACGGTATTCGACTGGAGGAGGTCTCGGAGGAGCTCGTCGCTGCTGTCTATGGTTTGATGAGAGAAAGCCTGTCGCCAGCTGGCTATGCAAAGGCGTCCGGTTGTATGGATGTCAACGAGTTTCTTGGGGACGTCGTCAACGGCAAGGGTGTCCTAAATAGAAACTCGTACAACTTTGTCATTTTTGGTGTACCATCGCTTGAAGAGCCTTGGGGATGGCAACTGTTTGGTCACCATCTCGATTTGAACGTCTTCTGCGTAGGGTCTCAAATGGTCATTTCGCCAGTGTTCATGGGTGCTGAACCTAATGTCATCGATGATGGGCCCAAGAATGGCACCGAGCTGTTCACCGACCAAGAACGATTGGGTATGAGTCTCATGCAGTTCATCGACTCGGAGAACATAGAGGGCGTGCGTATATTCAATGGATTGAGTGGTCCGGAGTACCCAGAGTGGCGATTTCACCGTGCGGATCAGCGACATCTTGGGGGAGCCTTCCAGGACAACAGGGTGATTCCATACGAGGGTGTCAAAGTCACAACATTTCCGGCAGCCCAACAAGATCTGGTGAGACAGATCCTTGTTCTTTGCCTCAATTACCTCCCGGAAAAGGCACTATCAGCCAAGATGGAAGAGATCTCGGCACATTGGGAGGACACGTATTTTTGCTGGATTGGGGGATGCGGTAGAGGTGATGCATTTTACTACAAGGTCCATTCTCCAGTTGTCATGATCGAGTTTGATCATCATAGTGGAGTCTTTCTGAACAACAAGGTCCCCTTGCCTTTTCATATTCACACTCTGGTGAGGACCCCAAACGGGAATGACTATGGCAAGGCGCTCTTGAAGCAAGTATTGGATGCGTGAGCTTTGATACTCTGAACTTTGTTTTGGATTGCCCGAACATAATCAAAGGATTACTACGAATCACTGAGGAATATAAGAGGAGTAGTGCACCATGGCTAACTGATCTCCCGATTTTCAATGCAATCAAGCCACTACTCGATGTGATCAATCGAACTGAACACTGTTAATTTTATTTTCCCAGATGGAAAGCGCAAATTATATGTGAAAATGCTCCTTCTATAAGACAATACTCGTGAAACACTCCAAATGCAGAGCAGCACACTACTGCGCCAGTTGAACACGGATCAAAGGTCAACGACGTAGCAGCTGTCGTTGCGGCCACTGACGATGCCAATTACGGCTGCTGAAAAGAATACAGTAGTTGCGAGTGTGCCAAGAATTATCGGTTCCAAGCAAGCGAATGGGCATAGCATGTTGCAATCCATGTGGTTACCTACAGAGACCCGCACCCCCATGTTGCTGCTCGGTGTATCCGGAATCATCTCCGGGTTGGTTCCGTGTAAGTAAACCCAGCGACCTCCGTTGATGTCTGTGGGCGTTTTGATCAGACCCTCTCAGTCATCAAGGTCGGAGCTAAGCTCCAACTGCCCGATGTAATCTTCTCGTTCCGCACGTAGAGCCTAGGATTTCAAAGACCGGTTGTTTTGATAAAGGAGATCTTCTACTTCTACTTCCACTAAGTGGTGATTGACCTTGATCCACGCTACTCATCAAACTAAATTCAGAGGTAAAGACATTAAGCCTCTAGCATTCCAAAGATCATTGCTGATTTTCTTACTAGAGATCCTATATCCACAAGGTTCGAGATGCAAGAATACGACACCGACGTGCTCGTGGTCGGTGCTGGCGTCGCTGGTCTATCCACGGCCATCCTCCTAGCCGAGCAGGGCATCCGTGTCTCAGTAGTTGCCAAACACAACGGGACGGCACCGTCCCCACGCGCCCATGTCACGAACCAAAGGACAATGGAGGTTTTTCGGGACATGGGCATCGAGGCCGAGGCAAAAGCAGCCGGCTTCTCTCTAGTCGGCGCAGGCAGTCTTGTAATGGCCACAAGCCTCACTGGCCAGGAGATTATGAGATACAGCTGCTACGGCGGCGGTGACAACCAGCTCACGGACTTCGCCAAGTCAAGTCCATGTTCAATGCATAACATCTCACAGTACATGCTTGAGCCAGTGCTGCTCGCGAGAGCTCGGGAGAAAGGTGCAAGCATCAGATTCTATCACGAGCTGGTCGATGTCGAGCAGTCATCTACAGAGGTTACTGCACGAATCAGGGAACGGACGAGCCAAGGTGAATACGTGGTCCGTGCGAAATATCTCGTTGGCGCAGATGGAGCGCGATCAACGGTTGCGACCAAGTCCGGTTTCGGCTTTGAGGGCGAGCCCGGTCTGATGTCCATGACCAGCTCATGGGTGGAAATGGATCTAACCCAGTATGTGGCTCATCGCCCTGCCTGCATTTACTGGATGCTGCAGCCCGGTGATGAGTTCTGGGTGGGATCCGGCACCTGCGTGGTCATGAAGCCTTGGACGGAATGGGTTCTTAATAGGCAGTACAACGCCGAGGATGGCGAGCCTGATACTTCGGACGAAGCCATCATCGCCCATGCGCGTAATGTGCTTGGCTTGCCAGACTCTTTACCTATACGGGTGAAGCATAAAGCAAAATGGCAGGTCAATCACGTTGTGGCGACTGAATATCGTCATGGACGCATATTTTTGGCCGGTGATGCGGCGCATCGTCACCCTCCATCCAGTGGTCTGGGCAGCAACACCTGCGTGCAGGATGCCTTTAATCTTGCCTGGAAGCTGGCCTTGGTTCTCAAGGGGAAAGCTGACGACAGCCTGTTGGATACGTACAGCCAGGAGAGACAGCCCGTTGGAAAGCAAGTTGTGGACCACGCCATTGAGACCTTGCACCAGATGGCCGCCCTCCCAAAGGCTCTAGGTTTCCAGCGTGGCCAGTCGCGCGAGCTTGGCTTTGCCCAGTTGGAGAATCTGTTCTCAGATGCTGAAGGAGCCGAGGAGAGTCGTTTGTACCTGGAGGAGCAGGTCCAGCTAGGAAACCGGCGCTCCAACGCACTCGGCGTCCAGCTCGGTCAACGCTACCAGGATTCGGGTGCGATCGTAAACGACGGAACGCCATTTCCAGCGTATCAGCGTGACCCAGTCCTCTACTACGAGCCTACGACTCACCCTGGCGCTTACGTTCCCCACGCGTGGATAGAGTATAATCAACAGCGGATCTCGGTTCTGGATATTTTCGAGCACGGACAGTTCGGACTCGTCGTAGGTATTGGTGGAAAGCCTTGGGAAGTCGCTGCTGAGGAGGTCAGTCGGGACCTTGATATCAAGCTTCCGGTGCACTACGTAGGGTTACGGTGTCCATATGACGATGTGTTGTGCGAGTGGAGGCAGAGACGAGAGATTAGTGACAGAGGGGCTCTTCTGGTTCGGCCTGACCGACACATTGCTCTGCGGTCGCATGACCGTCCAGAGAACCCCACGGAGGTATTGCGCTCTGCACTCAAGCGCGTGCTAGGTATAAAGTAGTTTAATCGAAGTCTTGTGCGTTAGAACAGAGAGCCATGTAGTTGCTTAGTGAGTGAAACCGACGATCGAGTGCCCTGATTCATGGGTTAGGTTTTGACGGAAACAACTTCCGATCCGTAGCCGCGATTTTCCGTAATCTGGATGCTAGGAGAAAGTTGATATCCGATGTGATGACCTCGCAAGATAATAAGTACTCAGCGGGTTGCTCTCTGCTTGGCTGGGCTGTTGGGATACCTCAGCTTACACAGACTACTTCGAGGACCAGGGCAACGAAATCATCCAATGGCTACCATGTTTTGTCGGCAGATACTGCGGCTTAGTCCACGCAAGCTTGCTTTGCCTAGCTGTCAGAAGCTATCTTCGATGGCGCGCTTCAATTGGGAGGATTCCTTGTCCGTTAAGAATGCACTCACCCCCGAAGAGCTGGACATCCAAGAGACCGCCAGGGCATATTGCCAAGAGCGACTACGTCCCCGTGTTCTCGGTAAGTTGTGCCTGGCTTCTCTTCACAATCAAACTCTGGGATCTGATCTTTTCCGTATTCAGATGCGTATCGCGACGAAGACTACGACTCCAACATCTTGAAGGAGATGGGGAGCTTGGGACTTCTCGGTGCAACCATACCCACTCACGGCTGCGCTGGTGTTAGCAGCGTTGCGTCTGGTTTGATCGCCAAGGAAGTCGAGCGAGTCGATTCGGGATATCGATCAGGCATGTCTGTGCAGAGCTCGCTTGTCATGGGCCCTATTTCTGAACATGGCACAGCGGAGCAAAAGGATCGTTTTCTCCCTCAGCTCCGAGATGGGACAATGATTGGGTGCTTTGGCCTCACTGAGCCAAACCACGGGTCGGATCCCAGATCCATGGAGACTATTGCCAGAGAGCACCCCACAAAGAAAGGGTACTTCTCGTTATCTGGTGCCAAAACCTGGATCACCAACTCCCCCATTGCCGATCTACTCATTGTCTGGGCCAAGCTAGAGACCACGGGCAAGATCCGAGGCTTTCTGATAGAGCGAGGAGAATGTCCGCCGGGCACTCTAGAAACTCCATCCCTCAAGCACAAAAACGGTCTTCGGGCTTCCATAACCGGCATGATCCAGCTCGACAACTGCCCGGTCCCCGCCGAGAACATGCTTCAAGTAGAGGGCCTCAAGGGGCCTTTCAGTTGCCTCAATTCCGCCCGCTACGGAATCGCATTTGGCACCATGGGCGCATTGGAAGATTGCATTAATCGCGCTAGGACGTACGCGCTTGATAGGAATCAGTTCAAGAAGCCGCTGGCGAGCTATCAGTTGATTCAGAAGAAACTGGCTGATGCGCTAACGGATGCAGCTTACGGGACATTGGCGGCCATTCACGTTGGAAGACTGAAGGATGATGGAGAAATGGCACCGGAGATGATATCCATGATAAAGAGGCAAAATTGCGACAGAGCTCTGGCTGGGGCACGGGCGTAAGTGGACAATTACCTTCTTGCTGGTCTGATCGATGCTAACTAAGTGCAGGCTCCAAGAGGTCTTTGGCGGGTGAGGCTGACCAAAAGATTGATTCAACGAATATAAATTAACATGATTAGGAACGCGGCGTCAGACGAGTATCACATTGGTACGATCAATTATCCTGCTTGGCGATGGTTATTCTGGAAAGCTAACTCGTTCCAGGCCGCCACGTAGCCAACCTTTTTGTCGTTCAGACGTATGAAGGACAATCTGATATCCACTGTGAGTGAGATATAACTACATCAGAAGTATAAGCTAACGGCATCCAGCCTTGATCATAGGTCGTGGCATCACCGGTTTACAAGCATTTCATTAGCAGTCCTCCGCCTTTTGTCTGCGCAGGCCACTTCTTCAAAGACTTCTTTTACAGGGCAAGGAATTGATGTAGTGATAGAAGTGAGCTCCGAATAGTAACTTCTCCATCGCACAAGTCCATCATAGAGCTAGACTATGGAGGCTGAAACAGAACGGTTCATCCAATATTTCATATCATCATCCGCTTAATTCACCATGTGGCACTGTCATCTCCAATACCGTATTTTTACAGTTTTGTCATTAGTGGAAATGAAATTATCGCGGAATCTGTGTAGCCGAGTGTTGCTCAACGGTTCCGCTTACTCTGGAATGAAGTCCCGTCACTGCCGGGCATTTAATTAGCGCTAACGGGGCTCACGGAAAGCTACTGGAACACTGGAACATGGACATGCGCTAAATTTGATCGTGTGCTGAAGGTACCTTACATGTAGAAACGTTCAGGTCTTGAACATTCTTCGCCGATTTGAAAGGGAGACTTGAATTACTCAAGGTTGTTACTCGCATAGAAAACCGCATTGCTCTAGCAGTTGTTCTCGAATATTGGGGAAAAATGGCAAGATTCAGATATTCCTCCATGATAAATCAGTGTAGACGCTCACTGTCGACAAATTCACGCCAACCCGATGGACTTCTCCCATTAGCAGGTATCCGCGTCTTAGATATGACGAGAGTCCTTGCCGGGGTATGCATACCAAGACGTAGTCCACTATGAAGAAGAAAGCTGATGAGATTCCCTTAGCCATACTGCACGCAAATTCTTGCCGATTTAGGGTGAATTCATTGACTTCTTCCGCATACATCAGATACTTCGTCGTCATTCTCGACCTCCTGCTAACTTGTGCTCGCCGGCTGCAGCGCGGAGGTCATAAAAATCGAGCATCCTACCCGGGGAGATGACACCAGGGCTTGGGGGCCACCGTATGCAAAAAGCGCTCGCGTGGGCACGCATGCCCAAGGAGAAAGCGCGTACTTTCTAGCGGTGCGTGCACCAGCAGCGCAAGACGAGCAAATTCTTACTGACAGGGACTCAGGTAAACAGGAATAAGCTGTCTGTGGGCCTTTCGTTCAAGGACCCCAGGGGCGTACAGATCTTGCACAAGCTGGCTTCGGAATGCGATGTGCTGGTTGAAAACTACATCCCCGGCTCCCTCAAGCAGTATGGTCTCGACTTCAAAAGCATAAACAAGATCAATCCGCGGCTGGTCTACACCAGCATCACTGGCTACGGCCAGACGGGCCCTTACCGTAACCGTGCGGGCTACGATGTCATGGTAGAAGCCGAGATGGGATTGATGCACATCACCGGGTCGAGGGATGGGCCACCTGTCAAAGTTGGTGTCGCGGTAACGGACCTGACCACTGGGTTATATGCTACCCATTCAATTCTTGCGGCTTTGTTTCTGAGACAAAGAACAGGGAAGGGGCAGCACATTGACGTCGCCCTGTCCGACTGTCAAGTTGCTACACTTGCAAATATTGGAAGCTCAGTTTTGATCAGTGGCGACAAAGATTCTGGAAGATGGGGGACAGCGCATCGTAAGTTTTCAATATTCCACGCTCTAGGATCATATAATAAACCTGCCCCTCGCAGCTTCAATTGTGCCATACCGAGGTTTTCGGACGTTAGACGGAGATCTGATGCTTGGAGGAGGAAACGACCGTCTATTCGGGATACTTTGTGAACGGCTAGGGTTTCCAGAATGGGCCACTGACTCGCGGTTTGCTTCCAATAGCAGTCGCGTTGCTAACAGAGCCGTGCTGGAGCCTCTGATTGAGGAAGTGACCATGACAAAAACAACAAAGGAGTGGCTTGATATCCTAGAGAATAGCGGCATGGCTTATGCTGCTATTAACGATGTGAAGAGTACGCTGGAACATGAGCACGGTAAGTTCTTCTTTGTCTCTGAGAGAGATAAGATTCCAGTGTGCTAATGCAAATAAGTTTTGGCTCGGAACATGGTGACTGAGATTCAGCATGAGACTTGTGGATCTATAAAATTGATCAACACACCAGTGAAATTTTCCGAGTCGAGCCCTGGAATCAGAGAGGCACCTCCAACTTTAGGCCGCCATACGGACCACGTTTTGGAGCAAATGGTAGGGCTTAATAAGGAAGAGATTGCAGTTCTGAAGGAAGAGGGCGTAGTGGCTTGAGATGCTACAGCAATGGTTTGGAATCGTTGGTCTGGGCCCCTTTGGAGCGTTTGCGTAATACAAGTCCATGGAAAATTAAGAACTTTTATCTGATGTCTTGGTGAACCATTTACGAACTTTCTGCGTCGATATGACATGACACGGGCGTATAAGACGATTCAAATGTACCTCTAATTGGCGAAGATTTAAAATTTACTTCTCTAAAGCAGCCCGAATCTCCAATGAAAGTGCTTCCACGTCAAAATTCGCGATGGAACGGTCCGCCCAACCCGCGAGTTGCGTTATGGTGGCTAGAACACTCTTGACACAATCTACGGAATTGCCAATGCCTAGTGTTGCCTTGATGTGGCTCTTGGTCTGCCGAGTGGCCCCAAGGGCTGCAATGGCAGATGCGACGATCAAATGTGACTGGTTTGGCTGGAATACTTGCTCGTTTGCTTTGGAAATGAGGTAACCCCAGGTGACTGAAGTCGAGCAAGTAACTGTTTCGAGGTGGTCAGTTCTCAGCTAGGTCTGAGGATCATGCGGCTCACCTACAGAGATCAGTGAAGTACTTGTGCATTAGACTGAAGATATCCGAATTCCCCACGCCGCGGTATATCTCAGCTCGCAGCGCCCGTCCATTTTCCACGTCGTTTTCGTCAATTGTTGGTTTACGCAGAACCTCCGTAGAGGCGTAGGCGGGCCCTTTTCTCTGAACGACACCAATCATGCCATAGCAGGCTGGAATGCAGGTTGGCATGCCCACATACGGAAAGATGATTGTGATGGCTTCCCTCAGACAGAGAAAGATGGCTCTTGAATCTTCAGAACTGGCCTCACTGGTAATGTCGTCAAAGAATCTCCCCACGACGTCGGCGCGACCTAGAGCGCAACATGCCGCGGCCTGTTGCATTCGAATTAGCTACAGAAAGTGTGAGACATCCTTTACAGGCCGATGAGAACTACTCACAATGATAGCATGACTAAAACCACCGAGCTCAGGGTGAGAAGCCACCAAATTGGAGTTTAAGGAGATGAAAAGATCTTTTTCATATGGCCGGCTACCAGGTTTGACATTCGTCGACACATACTTTTCGTCCCAATCGGACATGAATGAATCCTTGCTCCAATCAGACATATTGTCAAATTGAATGGATGGAAGCGCCCTTGGTGCACTGAAGGTTGCTTATGTGACTAAATCGAAAGAAACAAAAGCCAAAAAAAGGATACAAACATAATCATGATAATAATAAAAACATCAAGCGGTTCAAAACTCCCATGGCTTTGTGATCTGTGGACAAGTCCTGTTCATCGATCACGGTGCCACCAGAGCTCGGAATTCCCAGTCGTCCCCGAGCTCCATCGGAACTACGTCCGTCGCAACTAGTACTTCCCATATATTAGGGTGGCATGTATCCGAGCGCCCGATAACTGGCTAAAATTAATTTTTACATTTTCGGATTTCCTGTACCTACCTTCTAGTATATATATTATTTTTTATATATACCTTCTAATAAAACCCGCTTCTAGTATAGTAGTTATTATTAATATAAAATAGTAAAAAGTTATTCTTAAACCTCTGGGTTTAATTCCTACTATAATAATCTATCTATTTCTAGGTTTATCTAACCTTATATAGCAGATAATCTATCTATTTCTAGATAGAGATTAGATATAAAATATTATAAAGATAATCTCTATCTGGAGATAGAAGTAAAGGATTTTTATTTTATATAATAAGGGTCTATATAAGTAAGAGTTAATATATTTTTATTTTTTTATCTTTTCTTTTTAGACTAGCTAATCTTTACTTTACTAGATACTTATATAAGATATCTAGCTACTAATCCAGAATACTATAAGAAGGTATTAACTATTGCTCTAGATTAGCTTATACTTATAAGCTAATACCTCTATAAGTAGACTACTTAGTCTGCTTACTTTATTAGCTAGGTAGTTTAATATCTAAAGAAAAAGAAATAAGCTTATATAAGAATAAAAGAGAAATATATACTTACTTTAGTTAAGGATAAAAGGGGAGGCTATAGAACTAGCTGTAGATCTCCCCTCCTTATCTGATAATACTATAATACTTTTATTATTATCTTTAATCTGAATTAGGTTTTCCTCCCCTCCAGTAGGAGAAAATAACCTAATAGATTAAACTTCTTCTTAGTATTATATAGAAGCCTCCTATCTATCTCTATTTAAATAATAGATTATATAGTCTATCTACTTATAATTTCTATAGATACCTCTAAAGTAGTCTAGGAGATAGATATAAAGATAAAAGGAAGCTATATATAAGTCTGGATCTAAAGTAATCTTATTTTAATAAGAATTATAGATATTAGTAGTTAGAATACCTCTACTTTAAATTAAGAATATATTTATATAGCTCTATCTATAGCTTATAATCTGATTCTCTCTAATTTATTCTTATATAAAGATAATCTAATATCTAGACCTAAGATCTAAAACTACCTACTATAGTATATTAGATATATACTACTAGAGAATATTACTATATATATCTACTCTTATAAGATAGGGACTCTAGGTAATATCTTATATAAAAGGGATAGAGATAATCTATTCTAAATATTAGTCTTATATATAAAAGGATAATTTAAAGAAAGACTTACTATAATCTTACCTTAAAGAGCTACTACCTACTGCTCCTACTACTATTACTACTACTTATTACTAATCTAAGATTAGCTATATAAATAAATATAAGAGATCTAGAGATTCTTTATATACTATCTTATTATTATTACTACTATTATTACTACTATTATTACTACTATTACTTAAGTAAGCTAGATACTTTAAAAATATAAAGAAATTACTTATATATATAGGAAAGTAATATTATTTAAAGAAGAAAGAAAGAGGAAGAAGGTAAGATATAAAATTAAGCTTTATTTACCCTTACAGATAGTATATATACCTAGATCTTACTTTCTTCTTATTTTCTTCTTATCTTAATTCTACTATATATTAATCTCTATACTAATAAGAACTTTATTTTCCCTAATTCAGTAGAGCTTAAGTAAGTAATATAGTCCCCCTATATCCTACTTCTTAACTAGCTTATTTTTATATAAAATAAATTAAATTATATCTCTTCTTTTTTCTTTCTATTTTCTTCTTCTTTTTTCTGATTTTATCTCTCTACTACCTTATATAATACCTCCTTATATAATTTTAAAATACTATTTAGTAGTACTAGGAGAGTAAATATATAAGAATATTTAGAAAGAGAGCTTATTCTTATCTTTTTACTCTTTCTATAGCTTACTTTAGCTAGAGGGGATTTTAATTAATAATAATAAATTTATAGATTCTACTTTAATCTCTTATATAATAGCTAATTTAAGTCCAGCTTAAATAATTCCTAGATTCTAAGTACTAATAAAGTATAATTAAACTACCTATCTCTTTAAAGTAAAAAGTACTTTTATAATTTAAAAACTATAATTAGAATTTTCTATAGAACTAGGGAAATTATCTTATAAAATAGGCCTATATAACTATAAAGGTAGTTTTCGGATATAGCTTTATCCTATTCTTTCTTCTGATTAAAGATCCTCTTAAAGAGAATTTATCTTAAAATCAGTAATCCAGCTTAGTATATATATATAAGGTTATACTACTTTCTTAACTAATTAATCTACTATAGATACTATTAAGCTTAAGCCTTTCTTTTAGAATAATATTAAGAATAGTATAATACTTAAAGAAACCTAGATTAATTACTTTATATAACTATATATAATTAATTTTATTAATTAAAATATCTCTTAGCAGATTAGAATATTATAGTTAAAAGCAGTTAGTTTCTACTGAATTACTCTAGCTTTAGCCTTATATCTAGCTTATATAATTAAGTTACTATTTACTAAGGATAACTTATAGAGATAGAAGTTCTAAGATAGTTTCCTTCTTATTTATATAAACTTCTTACTATCTAATAAAGAGAAAACTAAAGAAAATATATTTTTATTCTCTACTTATATAATACTAGTTCAAACTATAAAATTATTAAGCTCTTTACTCTAGCTTATTCTAATAAAGTAAAAAAGAATACTAGAAGAAAAGTCTATACTAGAAGAAGAGATTATATAAGAAGAAGAAACTCTCCTAGAGATATAAAAGAAGAATCTTATAAATACTTATATAAAAAAGAAACAGTTTAATCTAGTATCTTAAATATAGGGTATTAAGAAATACTAATCTGTATAGAAATAAATATAGATCTCAGCTTTCTTTTATATAAGTAGGATCTCTATAATAAATCTTTTTATCTTACTATTATATAAGATATTACTAGAGGGATTCTGAAAGTTAGTTATCTTAAAGCTAGATATTATCCTAGTAATTTACTTTAAGAAGTTTATTCTAATTTTAATTAGATCTTATATAAGATATTAAGAATAAATTTACTTATATATTACTTAAAGCCTCCTTATAGAGTATCTATTAATTAAAGTAAAGATAGCTAATTACTCTCTTAATACTCTTATATAAGTTAGTATAGCTATAGATAAGTTAGTATAGTAGTTTTAAGATTAGTTATATCTATATACCTAAGAGCTTAGAGCTAGATTTAATACTAATTATTAGTAAAAAAGATTAAAAAGAAATTAATATTAATATTCTTAAGTAGTTTAAGAAGTATATAAAGAAGATTATAATCTTAATCTTCCTTATTATTACTTAGAGGAATACTCTAATTTTAAACTATCTAGGAGTAGTAGAGATCTATTAGAATCCCAGAAACTATATATTTATACCTTAACTATATATAGATCTTATATCTATTCTAAAGTTAAATAAAAGAAGTAAAAGTATCTTATATATAGTTTCTAAAGACTATATATAGAGTAATTTAATTAGTATTACTCTCTTTAATAAAAAAAGTATAAGTAGCTAGTTTTCTAAAGAAATTCTATAGTATTATATTAGATTAATTTCTCTTATATAATATAGAGTCTTACTATAAATATTTCTATAGCTCCTTTATAGAGAATATACTACTAAGATTTAATTTATATATTTCTAATACTTAAACTATAAAAATAATAGGAGTTAATTTAGTCTCTTTAGTAATAGATATATAAATTCCTATTTAGATCCTTATATAAGATATCTACTAGACTAAGTTAAATAAGAGAAGCTTATATAGCTACCTAAAGATATATCTCTCTTCTAAAGTCAGATCTTATAAAGAATAACTATATTTTAAGATACTTTATTATATAAAGATACTACTTAAAAGTACTAATTACTATAGTTACTAATTAGCTAATATAAAACCAGATAATATAGTAAGAATAAGTATTAATATAGATATATACTTAGAAGCTATATCTTTTTAACTTCTTATATTTATTAAGATACTAGAGAAAATTAGATCTAGATACTATAAAATTTATATAATAAATAAATATAATCTCCTTTTACTTCTAAACTTACTCTAAAAAGACTTCTTAATAGAAAGAATAAAGCTAGTTCTAAGAAACTAAAATTTACCTTTTTTATTATATATAGATATAAAGATAACTATATCTATAGCTAAGTATTATATCTAACTCCTAATAGTCTTATTTAAGAAAGTTAATTACTCTTTATAATATAGCCTCTCTTTCCTCTCTTATATAAAGCTTTTATTTTATATTATTCTCTTAGTAAATATATTAAATAGTTTACTCTGAGATTTAGATATTATTAAAGACTTAAAGATCTTATATAATTAATATATTACTATATTTATAATTATAAAAGTAGAACTTAATTCTACTAATAAGCTTATCTAAATAAGTAGTCTAAAACTCTCTTTTAAATCCCTATTACTAGAGCTAGTACTCTAGTATATATAGATTAATTAATTAAAGTTTTTATATAATAAGAAGCTAATTTACTTTAGCTAGTATCTTATTATATTAAGTATTACTCTTAAAGAGATCTTTAATCTTATTATATAAGTAGAAGAGGGAATTCTACTAAGAAAGCTTAAGAGATAAAATATAGATCTTAAGGGTTAAAATTCTAATACTACTAATACCCTTTAAATAAAGAGATTAGTTAATAATAGAGAGGATTTTAGAATTTATCTTTCCCTGGTAAAAGAGAGAAATAATTTTATCTTATATAATACTAAGATCTTTCTTTAGGGGAGGTATTATTATAAAATTATTAATTAAGTGATTTTAGTATTATAGGCAGGGAAATCTGAAAATATAAAAATCAATTTTGGCCAGTTATCGGGCGCTCGGATAGGTGTAACCCTACATATATAGTGCAAGGAACAATAACTCCACTCCTGGGGATTAGTAAGAGCCATGAAGAAGGTCAAGGTTATCTTCACAATTAGCGAAAGACTGGTCAATTCATATCTTCAGTCTCGACTTCTAACAGAAGCATCAGTCGCAAATGAAGTCTGTCTTTGTCGATGAAAGTGTTGTACCAAATTCAAATACGTATCATTCAATACTTATTTGTATGGTCTACGGCTGTACTGATGCTACGATTCGCGTGCCGTTTATGAAGCTTCTCACAATATGCACGAATAAGCACAGCAGTAAACTTTGTGGAGTAGTGATATCGAAAATAGTGAATCCAGCGTTCTATCTACCCTACGATAGTAATTTCAACTGTCAGAGTGGACAAATACCCTATCCTCCGTTGGCTTGAAGGCCTTTTCGTGGAGAGGTTCGCCTACAGGCGTTCCGAATACCAATTGAGCTTTCAATGACCACTGTGGAGATATGTTCCAGCGGCCAACAATTCTCTGGTCGATTGTAGGGTTGATATGCTGAAGGTTGCATCCGAAGCCTTCGAGACTCAACGCCGTCCAGAGATTGAACGCTACCATCGCATTGTTGTGTTCCGAGAAGACCGGGAGGTGCCAGGCAAAACGGGGCTGCCGAGACTGATATTCTCGTACCACGTCCAGGTCTTCGAACAAAAGTATCTGCCAAAACATCAATACGGTTCATGTAGCCCGATAGGATATTCATATACCGTGCCGTATGCTTGCTGACGCTGGATCAACTTTTTCTCGTACTCTAGGTAGACAGCTGGCTGTAGTGTGGCTGCGAAGCACTCCCTAGCCAGATTCCAGAACTCGACATGCTCATCGCGTAGTAGGATGACCAATCTAGTGGACTGGCAATTAAAAGAGCTTGGAGTGTGTTTGACTACCTCGTGAGATATCTCGACAATACGACTGTCGCTGATTGGAGATTCGGGTTTTATTGAGTAGCAAGTTCGACGGACTTTTATGTCCGCTAGATATTTATCGGCCATATTGCTGGTGCGAGGTGAATGCAGTGGATCGCGTGTAATACCAAAGCCGTAGATGCTAATTGAAGTGAAGAGAGGCACTGGGAGCTTTTACAGTGGCCCTCATGGGTGGTGTACCGTGTCCCGCCTTCACATTGCCGGAGACAATTGTACACCACCGACAATCCACGGAACGTGGAGCGTTGAGCCCGGAACAGCAACTCCTCCCCGAGAGATCCGATATGCTCAAAAGGCTCTCACCGCACGTCCAGATATTCATGTCCAGCAATAACATATAGTACTCATCAAATATCACTACTTAAGCTGTAAGGTCTTCCTATCAAGGGCATCGAATTTCCCCTACTTCATCATGGCGAAAACCGTCCTAGTTCTCGGTGCCACCGGCACACAAGGTGAGATAGATATGGCCTTCCTAGCTTCTTGCCATGCAGCGTGGTCTAATGGTCTCAGGCGGATCTATTGCAAAGCTGCTCCTACAGCATCCCGAACAGTACGTTGTCCATTGCCTGACTCGTAACACGGACTCGGACAAAGCGAAGGCGCTTGCCGCTCAGGGAGGGGTCCTGGTCAAGGCCGACTTAACGGTTCCCTCTACCTTGGCAGACGCTTTCCAGGGTATTTGGGGGGTCTTTGCGGTCACAGACTTCTACGACACGGTACGTGGGCGGGCAGCAGCTCGAGCAGCAGTCTCTTCTAGGATACCATATTGACAACATTCTCGCAGACAGTTCTTGATGACCCAATGAGCGAGGAGAAGCAAGGGCAGCACATCGTGGAAGCTGCGTCCAAGGCTGGAGTGGAGTGCTTCTTATGGAGTACGCTGCCAAGCTCCAGAGAGATTTCTGGAGGGAAATTCATGACGCGACTATACGAGGGTACTGAGGCTCTTGATCCCATTTGTGCAACACATGCTGATTTGCAGACGATAGGCAAGCAATCCGTTGATGCAGTGATCCGCTCGGCTGGCCTCAAGGGTTGCTTCATCCGCACGGGCAACTTCTATGAAAACATGATCCTTCGCAGATACGCTGCCTATGACAGGGAAAGCGATACTATCACTATGACACGCCCCATCATTGGGCCAGATGCTGAACGTTTGTGGAAACCCCCCCTCCCCTTGGCGGCACCTTTTACTTGGAGAACCTAAGGTGCCAACCTGACAATAGTGACCACACTTTATGTCGAGAAAGATCTATCAGCGGTCTGCAAAGCCATATTTGATCAATGGGAAACGAAGAAGAGCAGCTTAGACGGGAAGTATTTCTTGGCTTGCGGGGCTCGTGAGACCATGCGAGACATCAATGCAGTCATTGAAAAAGGTGCGTTTGGCTTACATATCAAGTGAAGACGAAAGAAAAGGCTTCTAACATAGGCGACTTTAGTGTCAGGAAAGAAGGTCGTGTACAGGGTCAAGCCGACCTGTGGGATCGCCGACCGCGACATCATGCTCCAGCTCTACAACGATGTGGGAATGTATCCCGGCGTCAAGATTCCGTCTCCAGAAGTTGCAGAACTTGCAGTCAAGCTACATACAGCCGAGGACTATGTGCGAGAGAGACTCCTTCCTCATCTTGGACTGGAAGCGATTGGTAGTTAGACGTAAACGAGGCTCTGGTTGCATTTTTTGTTACACTCGATGCACTGTCCCAGATAGAATGTTACGGTAGCTAGATACTAAATCATCAGCTCATAAGTGGCCTTGTTTTAGTCGTCGACTGGGGATTCCATTGGAGTGGTATTTGTTGCATGCTGTCCAACTCGAGTAGACTACCCTGTACCACAATCCCGGAAATTCCGTTAAAATTCCGTCAGGAGCGGAGGACGCCGAGACTTGACCAAACCATTGCAATCCAAACGCGGGCAAGGGTAGCAATAGTGTTAACCGGCACAGCCGGGGAAGCAGCGTTATCTTGCCGCTAAACCACAAACATAGAACGCTAATTTAGAGAAATTGGCAATGGCGGAGAAGCTTTGCGGGGTACAGAAGCTGAAGCTGGGGATGTTGCGGAGGTGGATCGAGCTGAATCTGTTCTAATCCTCCAGTTGATCCACGAAGAGCGCCTAGATTCTGCCTCACTCTCAGCAAGAAACCCTTGGAAATGGAGTACTAGTAGCCATATTCAGTGTTGATTTGAGGCTATCGGCTGCGATAGTGCTTTGATCTGTTGCCCGGCCCTCACCTTGTGATCTTAAGCAGCGCAGTTGTCAGGGAGGCGATCCGAAACATCATGTCTTCCAACACCGTCAACCAAGACAACGTCAGCAACAGCCAGGACCAGAACGACGCCCAGAGTGGTCACGGTGCCGCCTCAACTACCCAAGCAGAAAGTCCCACGGATGGCAACAATCGATCAAAAGAGACCTGCGAGGCGGCAACAGGTGCTGGGGAGCGACCGACCAAGAAGGTCAAGAGAGCAAAATACATAACTAGAGCCTGGTAAGCTGTCGGCTGCATACACGATCGAAAAGATCTCCATCTTACCCACTTCACAGCACATCTTGCCAGCAGCGGAAGATCAAGGTCAGTAAAGGCCCAGTCCGCCGACTCTTTGTTGAGCACACGTTAACATTCAATCGCCTCCATACAGTGCGATGGCAGTGAGCCATGTGGACAGTGTGTCGCGAAGAAACGTACTTGCGTGAGCGTACCCAGAAAACACGAAGCACGAAATGACTGGGAGATTGGCGGCGATCCGAATAGCTCTCTGAGCAGAGAAATTCTCGACCGCCTCGCTAGTGCGGAGCGTCAACTGCGCATACTGAGTCGTTCAGGGATCGAAGTTGACACTCGGAATAGCCACGAGCTTCTGCGGCGGCGCGGCTCCTCCGACGAGACCGAGGAAGCGCGTAAGCCGACGACAGAGTTCCAGAAGGCCCTTGAGGTGGAAGGACAGACATTCGCCGGAGAACTTTCCATCACGCCGAATCTCGAACAGAGTAACAACGATGGTCGAAGCCAGCACGGAGATGATTCTTCGCCCAGCTCTTTCGTACGTGCCCTAGATCCTGCTCTGAGTGAAACGGGGTCCAGAAAGATAAGGGGGTGGCTGGAGAAGATACTCATTCAGCACGGAATCGCCCCCGACGAACAGAAATGGAGGCGCGACCTTGCCGTATACATGGAAGAGGTCCATCCTCTGTACGCGTTTCTTCACCCTCCTACTGTATGGGAAACCTTTGACGAGATGTGGGAATACTCTGCTCTCTGGTCCATAACGGACACGACTGAGCGACGTGAGAAGCACATTTCATTAGCCCTCGTCTTCTTTTGTATTGCCTTGGGACGATGTAGCGTGTCTTCACGGATGAGAGACGAAAGCGGTGTGTACTCTTCGGGGTTCGGCATGTATAGCGTCGGGATGGCTCTCCTGCAAAATGTCATGGAGCTGGGAGACGTCAAAACCAGATCGCTGCCAACACTGCAAGTCTTGATACTAAGGGTAAGCCGGCGGCAAATGTCTACCCTTCCCCAGTCTCTTGAGCTAACCATTCGACATTTAGGTGATATACCTGTTCCGCCTGGACGCAAACCAGCAAGCCTCGCAAGTTCTGGCACTCTTGGTCTCTATCGCGCATGCTACTGGACTGCACCGCCAGAGCACCCTTGATCCCATGCCCGCATTCTACAACCAGCTTCACTGTCGTGTCTGGTGGGTCATCTACGCGCTGGACCGCAGAATAGCGCTCGAATCCGGCAAGCCGTATCTCATTCAGGACAGAAACGTCGACACGGCCTTCCCGTTGGATCTGACCGATGACTGGCTATCGCGATACCAGACTCGGCCAGACACAGTAGCGGATCTCCAGTCTGATATCTTGACCCAAGTTGCAGAAAACCCATCTCAATCAGCAGTCCCATACATGATCGCTCTAATCCGATACTCTCGAGCGGCCGCGAAGGCGTGGGAAATTCTCTACGGCGTCAAAGCTTCTAGCATGTCTGCTTCCGCGATGGTAGACTATGTTGACACTGTCCTGGAAAAGCTTCTAGCTGCAGTTCCCGACTGTTTGAGATACGATCCAGACCTGCCATGCGAACCTCAGTTTAGCAATAGATTGCGGTGGCAGATTAAGCAGACAATGCTTCTCTTCACAGTAAGTACCAACTGTGGACGCTCCCATCTCCAGTGACTGACTTCCTTCTAAAGTGCTGCACATATGTCCGCGTTCTGATTCAAAAACCCTTTATACCACTGTCCCGATCTGCAGAACGAGGCGAGGACGACGAACTAGAGTCGGCAACCGCCTGCGCTAGCTTGGCAGCCAGCGTTCTCACAGCACACCAAAAGTTGAACGACAACGGTATCAAGTACAGCTTTGCTCTGAGCCATTATGTCACTAGCTGCACGATGATAATGCTTGGCCTAGTCTCTCGAGAGCCAGGATTTAAGAGAAGATACGGGGAACTCTTACTAGCCGCCGCTAGGAGTCTGAATATGTATTGTCATGAAGTTTGGGTCTCTGGGAAGATGATGAGGCTAGTGTCGAAGCTGACAAGACTAGTTCAGAGGACATTGAGCAACAAGAAGACAGATGGTCATGCTAGTGAACGACAAGATTCTGTTGGTGGGAACATGCACCAGCAATTAACGCCACACTCTGAAGATCAAGAGGGGTGCCACCCGCCCCAAGTACTTGATTCCTCAATGCGACCACCAAGCATCACAGATGATGGGATGGAGCACGTGAGGGAGTGGAATCTGGATGGTCATTCGGCTAAGCCCCGTATCCCGACAGCTCATGTTGCGGAGAGACGATATACTACTGAAGAGGGTGATCAACATCGCTTCTCAACGTCATGGATGGGCAGGTCTAGCGTGGATGAGCGAACGGACCGGGCAATTTCCGATTTGGACTTCAGAGCCATATTTGATGGTAATGAGCGTTACGGGGCTGATTTCCGATCCTCAGGACTGCTTGCTGATCAGTCACTTGGCGGCTTTGAACTAAGAAATGCCAGTGTGGACGGAGACTTTGGGCAGTTCAAATTGGGAGCACTGGGTTTGAGCAATGTCACCGACCTGGAAGTAGCGAATGACCCATCTTTGATGGATCTCTTCGACAATTCGCCCATGATGAATATTGGCGGGCTCGGGTGATTGTTCAGTGGTCTTCTTAATACTGTGATTCTGTAGCCTAAATGAACCGATTCAGATATGTTAAGAGTAGTCTATGTTTTGCGAGGGTGTAGGCAGGCGTTGAATATTTTGCCAAATTCAGTTTATCTTTCCAGAAACTCCATATTCTACCTCTAACTGAGCTTGGCCCCTTCAAAATCGCCCATATGATCCACGTAGTAAGTTGTTGAGGCCACCGGATTGACTCCATCCTAGCTTCTCGGACAAGGACAGCGTGTAGGCGATGCTCTCACTCACGCTAAGTAGCGGTTCTTCCCTCCTTGAACCCCGCACTGTTCGGGAATCCGGGGTATGAGCCCGGGCTCTTGTCATCTGCATTCCGAAGAACCTCTTGCTTTCCGGGCTGGCCACCCCACAGCACAATGACCAACGGAAAGCATTCTTAGAAATAACAAGTTTACGCATATAGTAGATCACTTGCCGCATCAGCTTTACTTCGATTGATAGATACGAGCGGGAAAAGACGACTTTAGAGATCTTCAATTACAATTTACATACTAGTGCTATCGAACGACTGTCAGCAAAGATGCCTCTTCAACGTGGAAAAGTTGCCTTTATCACGGGCGTCAATGGCATTACAGGAAACGCCATTGTGGAACATCTGATTCGGCAGCCCACGTCAGAATGGTGATATCTCTCTCATCTATGACACCAGATCTGAAGATGACACTGTACTAATGTGTTCCCTGCAATAGGTCCAAGATTGTCATCACGTCCAGACGCTGCGTTAGCCAGGCCTATTGGCAGGACTCTCGCATCCACTTCGTCGCCATTGACTTCTTGAAATCTGTCGATGAGTTGATCGAGGTTATGAAGCCCCTTTGCCACGATGTGACCCATGCGTTTTTTGCATCATATGTTCATGAAGCCGACTTCACCAAGTTGAAACAGTACAATGTACCGTTGTTTACAAACTTCCTGACGGCAATTGATGCTGTTGCCAAAGAGTCGCTACAGAGAGTTTGCCTGCATACAGGCGGCAAGGTATGTTTCCAAGTAACCCGTTCCTCGGCTTTCGTTGTAGACTACGCAGCTTACACTGTTTTTCAGCATTATGGTGCTCATCTCGGACCGACGAGGGTACCTCTCGTAGAAACCATGCCTCGCTACGAGGACCACGGGGAGAATTTTTACTATGATCAAGAAGACTTCATGTTCGACTTGGCGTCAAAGCGTAATTGGACCTGGAATATCATCAGGCCTGATGCCATCATTGGATTCACTCCATCAGGTAGATAATCCAACTAAAACAGCGGATAATTTCAACGTTGAATGCTGAGCTAAATCAATTAATTTGCAGGAAACGGCATGTCCATGGCACTCACGCTGGCTATATACTTGCTTTGTTGCCGCGAGACTGGCGAAGCGCCCATCTTCCCGGGGAACAAGCTCTTCTTTCAAACGGCCGATGACTGCTCGTATGCCCCTAGCATTGCCGACATGAGCGTCTGGGCTTCGACACACGAGCACACTAGCAACGAGGCATTCAACCACACCAACGGCGATGTCTTTTTGTGGAAGTATTTCTGGTCCCAGCTTGGTCAGTACTTTGGTATGGATGTAAGTATGCTCTTTGTATTGCCCCTTTTTACAGCAACGCACAAAAGATCACGTGGAATCATGCTAATAAGTATCCGTGATACCCTCAGATCCCGGAGCAAACGGAATGGGCTGCCTTGGGCGACAACGAGCAGTTGGCCAATAACTTCTCCATGCGAGATTGGGCCAAAGACAAGAAGCCTGTATGGGAGCGAGTTGTGGCCAAGTATGGCGGCAGCCCCCAAGCATTTGATTGGGGAACGTGGGACTTTGTCGAATGGGGCCTGGGCAAAGCCTGGTCTACCATTTCCTCCGTTGGGAAAGCGCGGAAGTTTGGATGGCAGCGGAGCGACGACAGCTTTGAGACCTATGTCCAGACTTTCCGCGCTTTCGAGAATGCGGGTGTTTTGCCCTCAGTACCTGTTGCCGACGATAGCAGGTTGACGGCCTCTGCGACTCAGAATGGGGGCCGGGCTGTGAATCCCCGCGATGCGGTTCTCTCCCGCCCCAAGAAGGCCGGTGTGGCTGGAGTGTTGAAGAGCACTGAGTCCAATGTCCTGATCAATGGGCAAAGTGACCTTCCCCAGGTGGCGGAAGCTACCGATATTGCAAAGCCTCATGAGCGGGTTGGCTTTGAGAATGGCATCGTGCAGTGCGCTTAGATAGTGGAATTTATGCTTGTGAATCTTGCTTTAAAATATAAACTTACTTTTATACAAAGGGTTGACAACTGGAAGTAGACTAACTTCATGAAGTGTATGGAATCCGACAACCAGTCATTTTGGAGCTTGGAGATCTCGGTTAAGATGAACTATCACGAGCCATACTCTTCAATCAAATGCGATTTCAACTCCCCTCTATTTTATAGATGAACTAAATCGGGACGAAAATGAATGGGATGCTAATGTATCTATGTGGATTGTTGCATTTTAGTCTCGAGCAACAAAAGACGTTGCCTGTGTGTTCAAGGACCATCCAGCTTTTAACAGCTCGTGGGCGAAGCTAGACACTTCAGTAACCACAGCACGACAAATGCCCCGCAGCAGGATTCTTAACAATATTCGACTCTCTATACTTTGAGCCAGAGTACAAGTTACTCTACCATTTCCCTTCTCCGAAAACTCATGGCTATTTGAACTCCATTCATCTACGTGAAACAAAGAATCGAAGTAATCCTCTTCACATTCGCGCAAGTACTAAGCCTGTATCATAGAAAGTATGTCGCTACCGTGGGAAGCACTACCGCTTGGAATCAAATTGATTGAGGGCTTTCACGAAAGTTACCGTCGCTCAGCCATATTTCTTTATTGCCGCAGTTGGGCCATCAAATTGAGCTTTATCTTGTCACATGTTACATGTATAACTATATGCCATCTAGGACCTATGCTCTTCTTGAAGAGATTTCCCCTGAACCTGGAACGTGCTGCAAGGCAAGACCACAGCTAAGACCCGGGCTCTAACGGTATCAGACGCGTTGATCCATCGATGCATGGTAGCTCGTTGAATGATGTGATCCTGAAAGTGAAGAAGTGATTCTTAGCTCAGCGTTGCACAAGAGAAGCATGCGGTTGACATTTGCTCGTAAAAGGTCGAAGCTACTTACACCTGACTTGAGCAAGACTCTCTGGCCGCTATCAAGCTCGTGGATCACCTCTCCCTCAATGCATGTTGAGATGTCGAGAGATATAGTTCTGTGCATGTGCCCAATTGCGCCTGGATCAATAGATAAGTTGACTACATTTGCGCCCCCCAACGCCGTCTCAGGATACCGAACAGCATCTTCGGCGGGTACTATGATCTCACCACGTGTTGAGCTGGCCGTGGTGTCTTTCGACAGATATGCTTTGAGATCCGAATCCCCGTCGAGATTGGCTGGTAGTTGCGTTGTTGCGAACGACCTTGATGCCTCTCCAAAGCCCGGTACTTGAGAATATTTCAGTTCTGGCACATCGAGATAGATGCTCTGTCCAGTGCTAGGATCATGCCCAGTGATGTACCGTCTGACTGGTCGAGGACCGGGTTTGGCTTGGTCGGCACAAATTGAGTCGCTAGCCATTATGATATTTACGCACCCGGAAAACGTAAAGCAGAACAAATGGTGCGGGCTATGTATGGCCAAAAGATGCGAGCAAGATAATGTTGTGTTATACTACCGCGAGCGTCCTAGTCTCAGCTATGTCGATGGCAAGCGAAGACCGAAATATATATATATATATATCAGGCGAGATGAACTGTATTTGTCCTCCTGACAACGTCCAAAAGTATGCCCTGGGCAGATCGTGAAGTTTGGCACCAGGACAGAATATTTTGTTAAGTTGCACCTCAAGCTACGCGCTGTATTTGCTTACTCTAGGGGAAAGCTACGACCCAGACAATGCAGGCTTCGACACCCGTCGAATGTTGTCACATGTTCGATCGACTCTGATGGTGCTGTCGGATTGCGAGTCGAGCCGGAAGAGACAGCAGCTTGGGGGGGTTTCCGTGTAGGTCCCGGAATTCACGGGGGTCGCCCCGGTGTGGTTCCGACGATGAAGTTTGGGGTAAACGAGTAAATGAGTCCGCGGGGAGTTGTGGGCCGATCGAACCGCTTCAGTAAAAGCGATATCTCGAGCCGTAGCTCAAAATACGTGCAAGTGTTTGTTATTTTACTCCAGACTTTTTTGGCTATAACTTCGTGAAATTGAAACACTCTCGTCTAGGACTGCCTACCATCAACTGGTTCGCCGCGATCATGATCCTGGAACACCTCGGTTTTGGCTCGCTGAAGATTGTTGGACTTGCGCTGCTAGCTGGTCTCCTATTCCGTGGAATCCTCAACAAGTATGGTCGTGGATTGCACAATATCCCCGGGCCATGGATAGCAGGCTTTTCAGACTTGTGGAGGCTGTTTCTCGTTCGCCGCCGTCACGCGCAGGAAGAGCACATCGCGCTGCACCAAAAGTATGGACCTATAGTGAGACTCGGTCCCCGAGCGGTGTCCATTGCCGATCCTGATGCAATCAAGATCATCTACAGCCCTAGTGCTGGATGGTCAAAAGTAATTCACGAATCGTCCATCCAAGGTTGTGGAGTAAAATACTGATCATTATCTAGTCTCAATTCTATCCGGTGCAGCAAGCTCTTGCGAAGGGCAAAAGGCTTGAGACCATGTTCAACACGGCAAACGACAGGTATCATGCAAAGCTGCGTCGATCTGTGTCTAATGCATATGCTATGAGCACATTGGTGGCTTTTGAGCCATTCGTCGACTCAACCTCAATTGAGTTCCTCAAGCAGCTTAAGACGAGATTTGTGGACAAGCCCGGCGAAGATGGCATATGTGATTTCGGTGCTTGGCTACAATTCTATGCCTTTGATGTTATCGGAGAGTTGACATTCTCGAAGAGGCTGGGATTCGTAGAGAAAGGGGCTGACGTCGACAATATCATTCGCGATTTGGAAAGCTTCCTCGACTACGTTTCTTGGGTAAGCTCCGTCAGATTCGAAATTCACTCACAGCTGCCAAGGCTTATGCTAACTCGATGAATCACCTGAAGGTCGGACAAATCCCCTTTTTAGACAACCTCCTCATTAAGAACCCTCTCAAACTGTGGGCAGCTCAGAGCGGCCTCATCAATACGAGTGCACCTGTCGCGCAATTTGCGAGAAAGCACATCACTGAGCGCCAGCATGATGAGTCTTTGGGCGAGGAAAAGTCTAAAAGAAGGGATTTCCTCAACAGATTCAGGGAAGCTAGAGCAAAAGATCCCGACTTCATTACGGAGCAGCTCGTTCTAGCGCTCACCGTCGCCAATATGTTTGCAGGGTCCGACACCACCGGCATCACCATGCGAGCCGTTTTCTACTTTCTGTTGAAAAATCCCTCCACGATGGATAGTCTCTTGGCGGAGATATCTGAAAAGAGCAAGGCTGGGGGGTTCTCTCGAGAGGACGGCCTTCCGCAGTGGGAAGAAGTCAGGGACATGCCATACCTAGGCGCCGTGATCAATGAATCCTTACGCTGTCATCCAGCAGTAGGCCTCACAATGGAAAGAATGGTGCCGGCCAATGGTGTCAAACTAGCAGGCTACTTTTTGCCCGGAGGAACAATTGCTGGCTGCTCCGCTTGGGTGCTTCATCAAGATACAGATGTGTACGGCAAGGATGCAGCCGATTTTCGCCCGGAACGATGGCTCGAAGCAACTCCGGAACAGCGGCGGAAGATGAACAATACTTTGTTTTCGTTCGGTGCGGGAGCAAGAACTTGTATTGGCAAGAACATCTCCCTTCTAGAATTATACAAGCTTGTCCCTGCGATCCTACGGAAATTCGAGGTGAGTCATGTTTAAACCGTTTATGAACAGGAAGAATACAGCTGATTCATTTTGGACTTCAAGCTCGAGTTGGCTCACGCTGAAGCATCTTGGAAAACGCATAATGCTTGGTTCGTACGACAAAGAGAATTCTACGTCCGGCTGAAGGAAAGAAAGCAAATTCTGTAGTGGAGTGATGGAAAAGGACTGTAATCAAAATGCTGCGGCTCAGACCTTTGGTCTTTGAAGCCCCTCAAACTGTTGAATTGACTGAGGCATTTCCTGCCTACCTATATTACTTGTCTTGTGTACCACATAAAGGAATTTTAGGATATAAACAACGTTCTGGCAGTCAGATAAAAGTTCTCCTACATAGGGCAATTCGATCCTTGAGCTATTTAATGGACATGTTACCATTAACTAATCCATCTCAACGTCCTGTACAATTATAGCATTCAGTTTCTCATCCAGAAGCCCAAGTCATAATAAGTCACTGATTAAGCGGTAGGAAGCGGCACTATGACCTTTATAAAAGCCATACATTCTCTATACTGAGTACATAGACTTGGACATAATGCCTTGACCTATTTGCAGATACGAAAAACACTCGGTGCTCATAATGTCCACATCAGAATTGTTATTCAAATACCATTGTGTTCCTGACGCAACCAAGCCCAGTAATTCTAACGTCTACGATATCTCCATCACCCAGATATCTTGGCTCCTTCATTCCCATAGCTACCCCTGATGGCGTTCCTGTCAAAATAACTGTACCAGTTTCGAGGGTTGTTCCTTGACTTAGAAAACTTATAATCTCTTCTACCCCGAAGAGTAAGTCACCTGTGCTAGAACTCTGGCGTTCTACATTATTGACTAGCGTTCGAAGATGAAGATCAGAGGCGTTGCCAAGGATATTTGGAGACACCATCATTGGGCCTAAAGGTGCAAATCGATCGAAGCCCTTACTGAAGCACCATTGAGGTACACCGCCGGCTTTTTTGGGATCACGCTGCCACCCACGGCATGACACATCGTTAGATACGCAAAACCCGGCAACGAATTCTAGCGCGGAACTCTTGGAAATGTTCTTCCCGGTCTTGCCGATGATAATGGCCTGGAACTCTCAGTACGAATACCTCATAGTTTAAGCTTCTGCCTCCTTTCAAATCTTACCAGCTCGCCTTCGTAATCTATCGTGCCATCCTGCGCAACTTTTGGAATAGGTATATTGTCCTCGAAGCCTGCAATACATGTTGATGGCTTGATGAATAGAGAAGGATATGGCGGTGGCGTGCGCCCTCCCTCCTCGACTAAAAAAATGGTCAGAAATGTGGTTCAGCCTTCGACGGAATTACTTCCACGCTCACTATGCTTGATATAATTGAGTCCGATGCATCGAATAATCGGGACATCAGATGGATGCAAAATGTTTCGCAGAGCCTTGACATGAACTTTCTCTCCGCGCGTCGTAAGGCTAAAAGGGCCTACACCTTTGTATTCAATCGCATGAAGAGTGCCATTAGCCAGCAGCTGCTCGAGCTCATGATCCGACTGTATACAAGGCTCCCCAAACATCTCCTCTCCATTGTCATCCGCAAACCGGATCAGTCTTTTCCAGGCTTGTGCGGACATGGTCAATGAATGAATCACAAGAAAGGCTACGCCGAAGAGGTCACTGTTTGAACACTGAGATTGCCGCTATGATTCATGAAATGCCTATAACTATGGCCTTGCGGGTGGGTGGCGGACCCTTTCCGAGGTTTCGGGGTAGGCTCCGGTGGCCACCGTAGAAAGATGAGATGCCTTGCGCACTGCGGTTACATATCCAGAAGACTAAGGAAAACGATCCGGACTTGTACTGCCTTCGGAGGGATCTGGTTCCTCGTAGGTAAGCAGCGTGCGAACATCACAAACTTGCCTTGAAGGATTCTATACCGCACTTGTCAGGATGTACTGCATGCACCGCATTTACGGACCAACCACGGACAATCGCGACAAACAGTACACTTAGCCGAAGTCCGGCGGGGTTTGAGTAATGGCAAGAGCGATGTTGGATTGATTCAATTTGACTCAAATGATAAAGTGGCAGCTCTAACCTATGACGACTGTTGACAGATAGCAATAGTAAATACTTGCATTGTGACTCGATCACTATGGACACGCCTCTATCCTGACCGTTGATTATGGCCTGACTCATTCCATCAATGCCTAAATTCCCTCACAATTGCTTACAATGGAATATCCGTTCTGGTTCGGCGGGAGTGCAAGCTCCATGGCGACATTGTTCACGCATCCCTTGGATCTTGGTGAGTTGAGCTCGTCCAAGACGCCAAAGTGATCTAACGAGTTGCATAGTCAAGGTGCGCTTACAAGCAACCCCAAACGCGCAACAGGCATGTACGTCTGGTACAATGCATCGCATTCTACTCACCGAGGGGTTCACTGGTCTTTATTCGGGCCTCAGTGCGGCGCTACTTCGTCAAATGACATACTCGACCGTTCGATTTGGAGTGTATGAGGATTTGAAGATCCGACTAAGAGCCGGTAGACCGGGCGAGAAGGACTTGGGTTCCATGCTGATCCCTCTTTCTGCGTTCTCAGGCTTCATCGCCGGTGTTGTTGGTAATCCAGCCGATATTGTAAATGTGAGGATGCAATCAGACAAAGCTAAGCTTCTCCGGGACCAGACAAGATATAGACACGTCTTCGATGGCTTGGTGCAAATAATAAGGAAAGAAGGCCCTCTCAGCGGCCTCTTTCGAGGCGTTGGTGCCAATGCAACTCGGGCAGCTCTGATGAATTCATCGCAACTAGCATCCTATGACATATGCAAATCGTACGTCCGCCGGAATTTCGGCATGGGAGATAGTACGGCAAATCACCTCGTCTCTTCAGCTGTGGCGGGCATGGTCGCAACAACATTATGTTCTCCCGTGGACGTTGTTAAGACGCGTGTTATGAGCTCGTCGGGTCCGCAGGGGGCTTGGAATGTTCTACGGGCCTCTACGTTGAGAGAAGGACCTGGTTGGATATTCAAAGGATGGTTTCCAAGTTTCATGCGCCTAGGGCCACAAACTGTTCTAACGATGATGTTTTTTGAGCAGCATAAGAGTATATACTCGAGGTTTCATTGTAATTTAGCAAGCAATACGTGCTCACTATGACGAGCTATTCGAGAATGCAGCAGAGCGCCAAGCCCATCAGCGGCAAGATAGCATAGACAATAGATCCAAGCTTGCTTCGGAAGTCCAGATTTCAGTAGCTTTTGTCATGGAAGCAGTTGCATGATCATATTCACAGGTGAAGGATTGCTCGGAAGCAAGATCTTGAGCGGGATCCAAGCATCGCCCTGGGCCACGGGGGGTCAAGAGCTTGGCTATCATGTCATGTCGCTCAACGGACCGGGGGTTTGACGACAGCTGTTAATGAGCAAGATATTTAAGCTCATGCGCCGTTGTGTTCCGAAGATACGGTCACAGGCCACTACCGGTAGATGGCTGCTGGGCACCATAACGCAGTCCAGGTAACGGAATCAGATCCGGCGGGTCCTTGTAGGCGCATCCACCTCCTCATTACCCCGGATTTGTCCCCCGTGGAGTCGCTCTTGTGTATGTAGGTAGAATCGCGCACCAACAAAGCTTATAAGAGGCGATACCCTTGCCTTCACGGTTCGTTTACTGAAGAGCAATTCAATTACAAATGCCATTCTAGAGAATAGCCGGCAGCTATGAGCGAAAAACCCGAGATCTCACATCGCGAGTCCCAAAAGTCTGATGGCTTTGTGACGGCGCTCCCCGACACTCTTCGGAGAGATGGTGGTTTGTTGCTGGATGCCGAGGGTCTCGAGAGGCAAGATGAACAAGTTTCTATCAAGTTTGCTTCTGACGGACATGTAGGCTGGCTCCTCTTAGCGATCTAAGGATGTCATCTCTAACTCTTATCTGATATAGACCGTGCTCCTCCCTCAACCCACCGATAACACCTGTGATCCTTTGAATTGGTCTTGGACAAAAAAGCATCTAGTTCTTTTTACAGTTGCATGGGCCGCATTGACAGCTGATGTCACCGCGGCAGCTGGGTCGGCCATTATCTTCCCGCAGGCTGCGCAGTGGCACATCACTCCTGGTCGAGCAAATGATCCCAACGCCATAGCGGTCCTTCTCAAGTAAAGCATTTCGAGCAGTGATTATTCAAAGAAGTATGCTTACAACTCTAATAGTGGTATCGGTGGTCTGATCTGGGTGCCAGTGAGCTCCATCTGGGGCCGCGGACCGGTACTCTTCTGGACAACGGTCTTCGGCTTGGGCTTCCAGATCGGCAGCGCGTGCTCGACCGAATACGAAACCTACTACGCTATGCGAGTCGTCTCGGCATTGTTTCTCACTAGTGGTCAAGTCATATCTATTGCTTTTCTCAAAGACATTTTCTTCTTCCACGAACGAGCTCGCAAGATTGGCCTCTGGGCAGTGCTCTACATCGCCTCCCCCTATCTTGGACCCTGTCTCGCTAATTTCATCATTGCGGCGACGCACCACTGGCCACATGTCTACTGGATGTGCTCTGGATGCGCTGGCATCCAGCTTCTACTCGTACTAGCCTTCGCGGACGAGACATGGTACAATCGCGATGTGCCTGATTCGCAACAGCCCGCACGACCTGGAGGCCTGGGACGATTATGGAGACTGACTGGCGTCTGGGGAGTCCGGCACCATAGTGGTTACTTCCCTTCGACTGCCTCCGTTTGTAAACGTTTTTTCTCGACAATCACGAAGCCCGCTTTCTTTCTGATATGCTTGTCATAGTAGGAGTCTAGCTAGTCACGACTTCTATGATTATCTGCTGACTGTTTTCTTAGCTTCCTCTGCTTCGCCTGGGCAATTGGCATCAATATCTCAACGAACCTCCTGCTAGCAACACCTCAAGAAGCTGGCGGCTATGGTCTATCTACCACCACGATTGGCTACGTCTACTTTGTCAACATAGGCGGTGTATTCATTGGTGAAATTTTCGGTCACTTCTTCAATGACTACATGGCGCGTCGCTACGTAAAGCGCCATAATGGCGTTTTCGAATCCGAGGTCCGCCTCTGGACTGTCTACGTCTCCGTAGCATTGATGATTCCCGCGCTTATACTCATTGGCCAGTCTTTAGAGAAAACTCTACCGCTCGTCGCTGTCATCTTCGGTCTGGGCGTCTTTACGACCGGTGTCATGATCAATTCCGTGGCTGTCACGGCGTACGCGCTGGACTCATACCCAACAGTTCCGGCGGAACTTAGTGGATGGCTGAACTTTGCGAGGACCGTCGGCGGGTTCGCGGTGGGATATTTCCAGCAGCCGTGGTCGGAGAGAGTCGGTGCGGATGCGAGCTTCGGGACGCAGGCTGCAATTGTGGCAGTTGCAACTATTCCGGTAATCGTGGTCCATCGCTATGGTGCCGGGATTAGGCAGAAATACGGGTCAATTGGCTAAGGAAAATAACATGCTTGAATCTGAAGATGGCTAAGGGTGACTGGATAACCTGGAGGGTTGTGGCTAGCTGCAAAAGTGTACTTCCTATTGGAGGGAGTCACGTGTTAACGCCCCCGTGAGCAAAAAAATATAATTAATCTAGTGCTATCGCTACTCTAGATCCTATTAACTTAGAAAACTCAACACTATCAAATGCACTCCTCTTCAATTCTAAGTACAATAGGCGTAGCCATTATTGTAAAGCCAGTAACACGGGGTACCTTTTGCAGTACACTATAGTAGTAGTATTAAGTTAGATAAGGAATGGCCAAGTAGTTTAGTGGGTTCCGGGGCATTTGTTGAAAACCGGGAGGATCTTCGATTTATTTACTTGCCTTAGTTGTAGGGTGGCAGGTTAAGGGCCCTCCTGGGATAGGTACCAGCCCCCACTGTTTTTTTGCCCCAGCCTTCTTGGTCGCTGGAATATATCTCAATACCCGCCAATACTTGAGGCCACTGCAAGCCCCGTCCTTGGCGGTGCAAACCTAAAGTTAAGATTAGTGAGAGTTATATTACAAAATAACACTTAGAAGTAATCAACTCGGTGTATCGGAATGGAAATCAGTATTTGGGGAGTATTGGGGCTTGACGTACACCTGTGTATTGATGTCCCTGGTTGGGGTCGGTTCCAGCATCCACAATCCTGTATTCTGCGTTGGCAGTATACACAAAAAGGCCAAGAAGAAAAATAGATAACTTCATTTTGATGAAGAAGATGAAGAAGTTGTATGGTAGACTTGGGTAATTGCTTTGATCCTTATTGATTCTAACAGAGGAGAAGGGATATGGAGAGACTGAGAGCCACTAATATATATATTTTTCTGCCATAGGCTCTCAATGTTTTGAAATTTGCATAACTTACCGCGTAGTTGAGTTGTTGGTTGACTTAGGGTTAGGACAAGTAATTTAACTACCTAAAAATACAAGCTGGAACCATGTCATAGCGACCTAGTTTCCCTATTCAGACGTGATAAAGAAAACCACGGTTGTGGATCGATAATATGCGTCCTAACGCAGGCAATGATGGTGCCATAAAGTTCTTCATCACCGTTGTTGGTCAGCTGGAATACTGTTTTAGGATCACGGGCAGGGTTAAAAAAACCTGCACTAGCAACATGGTTCGGGCAAGCGCTCATGGCGAAATTACGTACTCACCCACTTTATGCTTGTTGGTCCTTAATATGGAAAGAGTCGGAGATGACCTTACCAATAGAGATAATATTATCATGGTATAACCCTGGCTAGTCTCACTTTACCGCTATCTGGAAGTAGTTGAAAGCTCTACAGCCTTTAATTCTTCCGTGTTGGCCTGTTCGCCGCCATACCAACAGTATGGGGATCGGACTTCCTACTCCACTCCCGGCTTTTCTTGGGGCATTTACCCCGTGCTCCTCGAAGGTCCCAAAGACGTGAAAGGCTACTTATTCTTGTCCATATACGGGTTACTAGAGAGTTGGCTAATATCTCAACTAATATGTATTGCTATATGTGCCAACGAGGGCTCGGCATGGATTTAACCCCACAAAGATCAGGGTTGACAATTAGGCTGACTAGGTAATTAGGGCCAGCGGAGGGAAGAGTTCCGTTCCGACCAGCCATCAGGTGGGAGAAACCGTTACATTACCAAGGAATGGTTTAAGGGTGTATGAGGGCTGTTGGTAAGCGTACATGGCGTTATTACAATGTCGGCTTATTTCTGGTTACATTATTAGTGATGAGTCTAGGATGTATGGGGGCTGTTGGTAAGCGTATGTGGCCTTAGTACACTGTTGGCTTATTTTTGGTTACATTATTAATGATGGGTCTAGGATGCATAAGGGCTGTTGGTAAGCATACATGGCCTTAGTACACTGTTGGCTTATTTCTGGTTACATTATTAGTGATGGGGCCTAGGAAGGGCTGTTGGTCAGCGTATGTGGCGTTGTGCTTCCAAAATGGTTTTGTTGGTTTTCTTTCTTGTTCGTTCGGTGAAATAGTACCGTATAATCGCGCAAAATTAGCTGAAGGCAAGCCCCGCTGAATCCAGCATAGCTATGAATAGAATCAATATGTCGCTAAGTTGGCTTAGAAGTAGACCCATGTAATACTGAAGGTACCTTAGTTAAGGTAATTTAGTAAATCGCCGGAAAGCATTATTCTATGGGCCTTGTCTTTAGCCAATTCTGCGAGATTATGCGGTAGTGTGACTACGCGTGGCCTCATGCCTCGCCCCACCTGAATACATATATTATTAGCACCTGAAACTGGCCAACGTGCATACACCAACGGTGATATAATTATACCCTCTTCCCTTACGGAATGTATCGACTGAAATGACAAAAAACGTCGATTGTATTTTCGCCTAGTTACCTCCTACCTTACACCTTCAACTCTCTGAACGATTCTACAGCATCAGTCTTAACCCAACCCCCTCCCACTTTATTAAGAACAGAGATGGACTCTGCGGCATTGTCAGATTTGAAGGAGGTCTCGAAGCTCATCAGAGATAATGTCGACGAGAGGCTTGACCAAGGTCTCGAGATGGCCGTTGTAGACAGTTTTGCCTCTCATATCAGGGCACTGACCACGCACTTCACGCAAACTCCAGACCTTGTTCATGATCGACTCAAAATTCACCTCCATGATGCATGGTATACCTGTATCCAGGCAGCGAAGATAATTGATTCTTGTGATAATTTACAGGAAGTCATTGTGTCTCAACTCTTGGCTGTGAGGACGCTTGGGCCTCTGCAGCCTGTAGCAGGCGAGACTGCTAGCATTACATTTTCAGATGGTTATACACTCTGGTCTGGTCTACCCCTATTTGCTCAAGATCTTGCTCAGGAGTTCGCTAGCCACCACTATAAGAAGGGGATTTTCAAGCGGGAACAACAACAAAACCTTGCAGGATTCATTGGCCGACTTCTCTCTGTGGGTATCTATGATGGTCCTGCTGTTTGTGCCCTCTCAATATTTCGAGAAGCATTAGAGGTGCCACGACCTCTTACCCAAGATCCCGATAGTGAAGAAATACCACTAGAGGAACTATTGGGGCTCCTTGGTGAATTGATCAACCAGACGAAATACAGCCTCCCTATCCTAGCCGGGAACCATGTAGCAGCTCCTACCACTCCGAGCAGCTATCAACACCTATCCGGCCTCGGCGAACTTGCTATCCAGGCTGGTAATATCCCTTTATCTGGCTATAGCCCTGAGCGTTGGACGTTTTGGCTGCAGCGGCTTATGGAACTATCACAATGTGGGGTTAAAAACATTACAGATGATGCAGAAACATTCAGAAGCTGGCTGATTGAAAAGCAGAATATGACTGGGTTACTCAAGTAGATAGTAAAGGAAGGTGACGTGAGCAATGCACCGAGCAGGAGTACTCGCGCATAATGCTTTGTATGTTGAGGGAGTAGTTTCTTAGATTACTAAATCGCGATGCAAATTGAAAAATTGATGTTCACTTGGCCATATGTGAATGCTATCTTTAAGAAACCGTCAGTGCTCAGCTGACAGATCACGTGTAACCCTTGAGGACCTGTTATTTAATAAGCAAGATGATGTAAAACCCTCTATCTTCGGCCAGGAATTAATATATTATCATCAGAGACCTAAGTGCGTGCCTCTTGTGACCTAACGTCGTTCATTCAGCTATCCAAGGGGGCTTCACCTTAACACTTCAAGTATTTTGGCCGCGACCTCCCTGATGATAGATGCCCTAACGTGGTATTTGTGGCTCCGACGCGTGCTGTGTAATAGCTTGTCTTGATCTACTGTGAAGAGGAGAAGCTTAAACCTTTTATATCTATTAAAGCTTTGCATGAAATAGCTAGGGAAAATCTATACCTAAACTTAATAGGAAACTTCGTCCGCTCTCGCCTAGTTAAATAAGGGGCAGATTAGTAGTTGGATCGGTGACGGCCAGCGAATACCGGCTGTTGTATGTTTGATGTGTTTTTGGCAAAGCGAAACAAGATCGGCTTGCAACGCACTACCATCACAAGTCTCATTCTCCGCATTGATCCTAATTTCAAGGTCAGAATCCGCCTCACTGTATTCTATCCACGACTTGACCTCGAGCTGACCGGGAAATTGTTTGAGGTTTCCATTCATGAGGCAAAAGCGGACCTCCAAAACGCGAAGAACCCAAACTTTCAAAGCAAATGAAATATTTCGCTTCTCCAAGAGAAATTTCCGGAGCCTCCAGAACAGGGTTTCAACACCTGGAACGGCCGGTGAGTTGCCTGTTCAATGCTGTAGCCGGCCTGGGGGGCATAAGCAGGAGCCTTCTGGAAAAGTTGCACAATATGAATCAATGCCTTCAAGATGGATAACCAAGGGTTAAATGTCCGCTCCTCTAGGGAACGGGTGTTTGCTTATACGTGAAGTTGAAGGTAATATCTTTTATACTTGCTGCTTCTGGAATTAAGTAATTTAAGTATCGTCCACCTTCAACCGTTCTTCTTTGGCACCAAAGTCTAAGTTCTAATAGTAAGCAGGAAAGTGTAAAGCTAGGCAAATCGGCTGGTAATTTGACGCAGGTGCGCCAACCTAAATACTGAAATGAGCTTACTGTCACCAAGCCTTTCTAGCTCCAGGATGGCAAGCGGCTACTCATGATTTGTCTATGCTAATCTATTCAGGCGTCACTGAAAGTGCTGACAGCTGCTTTTGTACCTCTTCTACCACTTTCTCCCTCGGAATGAGCTCTCCTCTGTCCTTCTGATCCTTGTCACTCTCCAATGCAGAGCGCAGCCTTACTTGCCCGTTTTCCATCTCCTCCTGGCCCAAGATAACCGTGAGGCGGGCCCGACTGGACGCGTTGAATTGCGCCTGCACCCGGGGCTTGACTTTGGCAGAGAATTCAGCACGAATGCCAGCGGCCCACAGCTCCCGAGCAATCTTCATACGTTCCAAAATATAGCCGCCAGACTCCTTGCTTCCAAAGGTCATGATGAAGACATCCGTCTCGTGCTCAAGCTCAGATGTGCTCTTTTTCCGCTGGGCAGCCAAGAGGGTGAATATTCGATCAACGCCAAACGAGATCCCAACGCAGGGCACGGGCTGCTTTCCGTACATGCTGACGAGGCCGTCATACCGGCCTCCGGCGGCGATGCTACCGACCTGGGTCGAGGCCTTTGGAATAACCTCAAAGATTAGCCCGGAATAGTAGTCCAGGCCACGAGCGAGTGACAGGTCGAAAGATACCTTGTCCGCAACACCCATAGCCTCAAGATACGACAATAAGAGCTCCATGTCGTCAACTCCGACTTTGATATCCTTCTGGTCGGAGAGCGATTCATCCGCACGAAGCGTGTCGATCATCTCGCGCAAAGACCCGTTTCGCATAACGTACTTTCCAATACGATCCGCAACATCGTCAGGGATTGATTTGGTTTCCACCATCTCCTGCTTTACTTCTGCCCATGGAAGTTTGTCCAGCTTATCAACTGAAGAGCTGACAGGCCGTATCTTATCCTCGGGGACACCTGCAGCAGTGAATAGACCATCCAAGATGCGCCTGTGGTTCAATTTGATGGTCATATCAAGATTGAATGCTTCAAAAACTTCGCTGATAATACAGAGAATCTCAGCATCAGGGATCATAGGGTCATAAATCCCCGCAATATCAAAATCACATTGATAAAACTCGCGATATCTACCGCGGGCAATAGCAGGTTGGTCATGGCGGTAAACCTTAGCGATCTGATACCGTTTTATCTGCTTCACATTGCTGTGCATGGCTAGCCATCGAGCAAATGGGACAGTAAGATCATATCTGAGCGAACAAAGTTCACCGCCCTGATCCTCGAGATTATATATCAATCGTGAGTCTTCGCCGTACTTCTCGGAAAGAATATCTCGAAGTTCGAATACGGGGGTATCGAGGGGAATGCCGCCGTGGCGTTTCAGGACGTCGGTGATCGTTTGACTACGAGGGAGATGGAAATTAGTGATGTTCCAACCAGTGTTCACGTAAAGAAGAGGATCGCTTACAAGATGTAGTCGCGCAACAGCAAATCTTGACCAACCCAGTCGCGCGTTCCCTTGGGGGTCTTGAGTTGCGCGCCTGAACGAGATTGTGCGGGGTTGTCCTGAGTTGCCATCTCGTACTGAGGTTCAAACGGACAGCAAGAATTGAGAAGATACAACTCCCAAGGATGGAGGTACCTTGATTGCAAGTTGGAACGTGAGATGTCACTGACCAGCTGGGGATATAGTGGTGACTGGATAACCTGGAGGGCTCTGGCTGCAGAGGTGTACTTCCGGTCGGAGGGAGTCACGTGTTATGACTCAGTGATGCCAGTAGGATTCGCCTACCCTATAGCTCTCTGTCAACGTCAAAAGGCACACATCACATTAGCTAACATAGTCTCTGAAGATGTAAGGACATTTGGACACGGGAACACTGACTACATACTGCCTTGTGCAAGAGTCTCAAGATATCTACAGCTTTGCTGCATTTGGCTTTGCAAGCTTTAATATGCCACCTACCTTTTCCTAGCATCTATAAGATAACTTTCGTCAGTGAAATGAAGATTTTGGTTATCACTTTAGCTAGGTATCTATATAGAAGAGTTGCCAAAAAAGACTTGTCTAAATATAGTAGATAAAGCTAAACTAAGTCTTGACCGTTGCAGTTAGCAATGGATGATTTTGCTCGATTTACTTTTTGATGAAATTGCATGTTATGCTGGTGACTGAAACACAGCACCAGCTCGAAATATAGTTTGCATTTGAATGTAGACTCCCACATACGACCATACCTATTCGAGAACACGCGATCCCGTCTGCTCTCGCCTAGTTAAACGGATAAGGGGCCGATTAGTAGTTGGGTCGGTGACGACCAGCGAATACCGGCTGTTGTATGTTTTTTTGTTTTGTTTTACCGTATTTGAATTTTGGTGATACCTGCCTATCTTCTTCTCTCTTAGGTTGTTGTCAAAGTGGTTGGTTCTCCATGACCCTTGTCGTCAGGACAAACAGTCAACGTTGCGCCTGTGTCATGCAAGTGCTCTGGCCAAGGGCCTACTGATACCCCCTAGGTTGCTTTAAGTTTGGTGTCTGGAGCGTGCATTGAATAAAATATGAGTGTGACGTTGTGTGTGTGATAGCCAGGTACGTGGATGAAAGAGAGAGGTTGGTTATGGACCTTACGCGCGGCTGGTCCCGACGGAAAGGGAGTTATTGGTATGAAGGTTTACAGAGTTTTCCTTCTGCATAGCTGTAGGCTTCGGTTAGCAGAGCTTAATTTTATCTTTTGTATGGATTGTGTTGAGATGTCGGGTCTGGCCTCATCCATTGCTGTTTTTTACCCCTGCATAGTTAAACTCTCTCACCCGTGTTGTTTATTTTGAGAGGTTGGGTCCAACATCCTCTAGTACCGTTTTCTACTGTAGTTAAACTCTCTCATCCGCGTTGTTGATCTTCAGAGGTTGGGTCCAACATCTTCTAGTGTTGTTTTTCATTGTGTGCTCGAACTCTCACACGCGTCAAAGTTGGCCAGATGCGATCGATCACTCTCTGAGAGGAGAGTGTCAGCCTCCCGTTTCTCTGAGACGTGCCTTTGTTTGTTTCACGGTGGGCTTCTAAGTTCAACCACGAGAATACAAGGTTTCTTGGATATTCCTCCGCTTCGGCGGGGAAACATAATGAAACTGATGACGTCGAAAGTGAGTCGATCATCTCAGGTCAAGGCCAGTTTAAAATGCCTGGGACATCCCCTTTCATCCGCTTCAGATCTCTGGAGTCCATCTCATTCCTTAACCAACTCACCACATCTTTCTTTGATATCTTTTTGTGAATCTACCGCGCCAATATGAAGCTGCAAATCGCCCTTTCCGCTGCCCTCCTCGGACTAGGAGCCATCGCAGCCCCCGCGGAATCCTCGAACAACCAGCAAACTCAGAATACGCATACTTATGTTAAAGTAACCCTGGAGGAGCCCCTTAACTGGATTGCCGGCGCTCGCTTGTTCCCAAGCAACGTGATTGCTGGCTACAATGGTGATCTGTGCGATTACACCGCCGAGGCTTGGGAGAAATTTGTGCAGGACAAATGCAAGACCTTTGCAGAGTGTACATCCTCTCTGTCATTCTCAGGTGGGTACCAGGAATGGCCTTCTTCCAAAGCAAGGACGACATCCAGCTAATCAGCCTGTTGTGATGGCTCTTACAGGCATCAGCTCCGGCTCCCCAAGGACCAGGACTTGGTTCGGATATGTGTTCAGGGGAGGTGCAACCACTCAGGTGGACTACGTCAGGCTCCAAGATGTGGAGAAGTCCGTGGCCTACAGCATCCCGAAGCAGTAGAGCACTCGAAAAGTCTGATGTACAAAGAGGGTTATCTTACACATCATTCTCTAAAAGTTTTGTTCATCGAAAAGTTCGGTAGAAGATCGAAAGGCAGACCCATGTCCACAACCACCAATCACGGACTTCATCCTTCTCCCCACTGGGCCTCGGCCTTCGGGAATCGTATGTTTCCGAGCTTCGTGGTTGTCCCATAGATTTCTCGCAGCAAATTTCAATTGACAGAATTTCGATATCAATGCCAAACCTCGTAATTGGTCTGTGACTTTGTGGTGCTTCTCTTCGCAGCATTCCCCCCCCTCCCTCACACAGCCATGTCGAGCCCGCCCGAGGGTCAGGCGAATGGCAGCACCATAAGGGACCATGACAAGAAGGCTGATCCCGTCAGCACTACCACCACGGCCGCTGCCAACAAGGAGGAGGAGGAACCTACCGACGGCGCTACTGCCGGTCCGGGCCTGCAGTTAGTCGTGAGTACCGACGCGGCCAACTACACGGGCCTGCAGATGAAGCCGTGGCGGCGGCGCCTGGTCATGCTCTCTCTGTGCCTCACCCTGTTCCTCGGCGCGCTGGACATCACCATCATTTCCACCGCGCTGCCCACCGTCGCAAGGGAGCTGCATATCGACGCGCAGCAGTATGCCTGGGTAGGGAGCGGGTACAACCTGGCCAACACGGCGTCGATGCTGGTATGGACTAAGGTGTCGGATATCTTTGGCCGGAAGCCCATCATCATGGCGGCTGCTTCGTTCTTCATAGTGGGTAGTGTAGTGTGCGCGAGGTCTGTCTCGAGCACAATGCTTATTGGTGGCCGGGTCATCCAGGGGCTGGGTGGAGGAGGGTCGTTCGTGCTCACGACGGTCATCATCAGCGACATCTTCCCGCTCGAGGAACGCGCCAAGTATTACGGCATGACGGGGATGGTCTGGGGCATCGCCGCTGCTATTGGCCCTATTCTTGGCGGTGTCTTCGCCCAAGCGGCGGGATGGAGATGGTGTTGTAAGTCTTCTCAGCTTGACTTCTATTTACAATTTGGCTAACAACCCTGTGTTTAGTTTACATCAACCTGCCAGTAGATGGAATTGCCTTGGTATTCATTTTCTTCTTCCTCAAGGTCGACATCAAGAAAATCCCCTTTGTCGAGGGTATCCGCAGCCTGGATTGGACCGGTTTCGTCCTCGTTATTGGCGGCACCATCTGCTTCTTGTACGGTCTTGAGGTCGGCGCGAGCAACCTGTCTCCATGGGGCTCTGCCAAAGTCATCTGCCTCATCCTCTTCGGCTTCATCCTGCTCGCTCTCTTCCTAGTGTGGGAAGCCACCATGGCCAAAGTCCCTATAATCCCGTTCCGCGTTTTCCAAGAACGCAACAACATTGCCGCGTACACTGTAGCATGCCTCCATTCCTTCGTCTTCATCTCTTTTGACTTCTTCCTTCCTCTCTACTTCCAGATGATTCTGGAATTCAAACCAATCATCTCTGCCGTCACACTCTTTGCTCTCATCTTTCCCCTGTCGGCCGCCACCATGTCGGGAAGCGTCATCATCAGGAAGACGGGCTACTACAAGTTCCTCATTGTCGGGGGCTCAGCCATCATGTGTCTCGGAAATGGCCTCTTCATCCTCCTAGGCCCCACCGTCAACTGGCCCAAAGTCATTCTCTTCCAGATCGTCGCAGGTCTAGGTGCAGGCGGCATGTTCCAGAGCCCCATGATCGCGCTGCAGAACTACCTGCGGCAGCGCGACACGGCAATGGCCATGGCAGCATACAGCTTCCTCCGCAACCTGTTCACGTCCATGTCTATCGTCATTGGCACGGTGCTGATGCAGAGAAGCATGAAGTCGGGGAGCTTCGTCACCAGTGGAGGTCAGGGTGGGATAGACAAGGATGAGTATGTGAATGCGCTGCACATCATGTGGGCTTTTTACACGGGCGTTACCGGATTATTGCTCATCGCCGGGTTCTTTATTCGCCAGAAGCCAGTCACAACTCAAACTGGTTCGGAAAGTGACGCAAAGACGACTCCAAAGGTTGACCAGAGCAGTGATGTTGAGAAAGCAGCCCATACTGATGTTCACAATAAGGAGACCTTGGAAACAAAAGAAGCTGTACCAGAAAAGTAGATACCGTTTCGAGTAATAATGTATATTAATATTGACTAATGAAACCAGAGCCTGGATCTATCGGAACTGGTACCTTCTTGACCTATACTTTTTTTTTACCATAACTAGCGAGATTCTATATAGCTGATGACTGAGAGTCCCTTGCGCCCACACGAATGAACCTTCAACTCAGAGAAGCCCCGTCTCGAGCCAAGGCCCAGTCAACGATGCTATCAGAGTTCAACACGTCACCGTCTAGAATATCCTTAGCCCAGGACAGCATTCTCTCATAGTTGTGGTAATGCTCCATCCACAGTTGGAGCTCATGCCACATACTGAAGTCCCTCAGTTGCGCCTCAAGATCATACTTAGCGAGCAGTCGATGAAAGAACTCTGTTAGCTGAGTGAATCGCTCTCTCAAAAGTCCCATCCTATCCGCGTCGGACTGTAGAGGTGCACCTCCTCCACGGAATACGCCCTTCAAACGATTTTTCAATTCATCTTTATCCTCTCCCGTGAGAGTGCGGTAAGGCTGTCCATTGCTGAGAGACATGCGCATCAAGAAAAACCCGCGTTCAATTTTATGGACCATGTAGATGATTTTCTGAGAAAGGTGAAAGCGCAAGCCCGTGATCAGACGCCGTCCCAGCGTGTCTCGGCCCTGCCTCTCCGCCATACAATGATTGCAGAGGGCGTGTTCTGAAGAAAGCTGGCCATGAACCTCTGGTAGGTTCAGTGGGTAATCTATGCCAGGTAAGTTTAGGACGCCGTTGGCAAAGATGAAGTCCCGCCATTCTTGCCACAGTCCACAGCCGGGGCATCGGAGCATGCACATGGTCCAGCTGTAGTCAGTGTGAGAGGGATTTAACCATCGCAGCACGGGCGGTGCGGGAAGTGGCCTTTCCTTACCCAACGAGTGTAGGTAGCCTGGGAAATATCGCTCAATGGCATCGGCGAACAGAACTCTCCGGCTCATTTGTATCGGAATAGTCATGGATTCTGTGAGAGGGTTTCGCCGACGGCCAATGTGGCCCATTTGAAAGCGGCACTCGTTACATCGGCGCAGATGGCGCTTCGTGCCCCAACGCATCAGCTCTCGCTTCTTCTGGAAGTCTTGGAATAGACTGAGAACTCCAATCGCTTCCTGCAGGTCACCTTCCCAGCCATTATCATCATCAACAGCGTCTGGATTGAGCTCTGACGTGTCGGTGGGTGTCTGATCATCGCGGCCCTTGTTGGATTTAGGTCCACGAGGCCCGGCCCGTGAGGGGCGTCGGGGCAAGTCCCATGATGTGATGGGGTTTTGAGCAGGAGCCCTAGGGATGGGCTTGCGGAACCTGAGCCTGAGCAAGGAGTGATTGTCAAAGTGGATGTGTGAGAGAAGCCTCATACATCCCACGCAAGCCCATCGCATGCCTACTAGGTCAATGTCCCGCACAGAGGTTGCTGCTCGGGTGGCAGTCTGAGGCCTGAATCCGGCGCCAGGCGAGGACAATCTACCCCCGTATTCAGGTATAGTTTCCAACTGGAGCAGTCGTTCTCTAAGCTCTATCTTGCCTGGGTCGATGATCTTTCGGAGGTAGGAGTTCGCCTGCGCAAGTGACATGACGCCAATTGGGTCTGCGAGGCGGATGACGCAGCGCAATATCTCAACGGGTAGGGACTGCAGGCCCGTAAGATGGTTGTCAGCTTCCATAACGCATAGAACCCCTGAGTATTATTTCATGCTCTTCAGCAGCTCTGAGCGGAGACAAATTTGAAATATGTAGATGGAACTGGCATGTGGGTAGACGGTGATTCTTCCACATTTTACAAAGCTTAGCCAGCCCTTAGTCAGCGGCTTCACATCTCTGTAGGTGGGCTCCATGTTCCATCGGGCGTGATCTATCAATAAATCAAAGCCCCAAGGTTCATTTCGATACGCAGCATCCAGAAGGCATGCTCCACCGAGGACATCCCGCTGATCAATGTCAGCGTAACTGTAGAGGTCGAACCACGTCGGATCGTGACGTCGATGCCATTGAAGGCGGGCTCATGGAGAAAACTCTCCTTGACTGTATATGGAAAACTCAAGTCACCTAGCTTTTTTAGCAGGTGCATTGACTATTGAAATAGGAGTAAAGCGATTTGGGAAGGTATGAGAAAAAATGATATTATACTAGTTGGAAGGCGGTATAGTGATTTCTAGATTTTAATCCGCTCAAAAGGATCTCCACATTGTCTCGTGTACACACCCATCCTGCAGGTTACAGGTGACTGTCTACTGCGGCCAATGACGTTCTTCATGCTCAGGACAGCCAGTTGCCTATGGCGTGAAGTGGAGTTGATGTAAGCCCAGTGTGATGCAATGACACAATATTCTGCATGCAGACAGCCATCCTGTAGTTCGGATAAGTACAAAAGTCGGCCAGAATCTTCGATTTTATGCCACCAGAATCAGTCGGAGTGAATCAATAGTCATCTTTGGCATGTTTATGAGCCGCAAGGCTATCAACTATCAAACTTTGATGCGCAGACTCAGACCTTCTCGAGCAAAACTCATATCTGTCTATTGATCCAAAATCTACGGTGGGGGAGGGAATATGCAGAATAAATCTGGTTAAAAGAGCAAGTAACTCGGTAGGCTATATGAAAAGATTCCGGGGATGAACAACCACGTATAGGGCCTAATTCCAAGACATCGCAGCCTTCACCATCACGAGGGGCGGCCGCTTAACCCTTCTCTAACCGGCATTATGATTGTATGCAAATAGACAGTAATAGATGTGCATTTATGAAATTCGCCCAGTTTTGTTTCTGACGTGGCGGTCAGACTCAGCCGCTTCAACCCCGCCTCATTTATGGTGCCCGACCCCCTCACTCCGTCTTCGTTTAATTTGAACTGAAGCCTTTCTCTTGGCACATGCTCTGTTACCCATATCATGGCAGAAGTATTGGGGCTCGCTGTCAATTGTTTGACGGTCATCGATCTCACTGTGAAGGTCGCTTCGAAGCTCTATGACTATGGCAAAGATGCAGCAAACGCTCGGGATGACATCAACAGACTCCGCGACAAAGTCCTCGGCCTACAAAAGATTGCGCATTCAGTGCAGGCCTTCCTCGATCGTCAGGTAGATTCCAGAAATATCCCAACGATCGAGTTACTGAGGCAAGGTGTCTTTGGCACTGAGAAAAAACTGCAGGAGCTTTATGATGCTCTGGACATTCGAGGCGTGCGGCAGCCGATGAGGATGTTTGGGATTCGTTCACTGAAGTGGCCATTCAAGAGTCAAGACGTGGGGAAAATCGTTTCCGATCTTCAGGACTGTTTTCAGATGCTCTCCCAGTCGCTGCAAGTGGATCAAGCGTAGGTCGCCCGGCTCAGCCTGAAGCCAAGGAGCAACTGACTCAACTTCTTCCCAGGTCCTTACTGCTCGACATCGACAGAAGGTCGATTCTTGATCGTATTCCACATGCACCAGATGCGGCGTACAACTCGCGAGTGGAAGATCGGAATCCTACTTGTCACCCTCAAACCCGCTCTGGCATTCTATCTGATATCCATAAATGGATTGATGACCCTCATGCAAAGAGCATATTCTGGCTCAACGGCATGGCGGGGACTGGAAAGTCCACTATATCCCGGACAGTCGCTAGATCTCTCGCTCAAACAGGTTCTCTTGCTGCTAGTTTCTTCTTCAAGAGAGGTGAGAGCAACCGAGGTGACGGCGGCCTATTCTTCAGCACTCTCGCCTTTCAGCTTGTATCAAGCGTACCGGGATATGGACAAGTTCTCAAAGAAATCCTGGATGGAAACCCAAGCTTGATGAATAAATCGTTGCAGGATCAGTTTAACCAGCTCCTGGTTGAACCGCTATCCTTGGTACCCAAACAAATGCAAAATCCGGCACTATTTATTCTCATTGTTGATGCTTTGGATGAGTGCGCTGACGATAATGATATTCGCATGATTATCCATCTTCTATCGAGCATAGAAGTGTCATCTAATGGTTCTTGGCGTCTAAGAACCTTCCTCACTAGCCGACCCGAATTGCCCATCCGCCTTGGATTTGGTGCTGTTCGTGGTACATTTCAAGATCTTATCCTTCATGAGATTCCCAATTATATTGTAGAAAGGGATATCTCAGTCTTCCTACGTGATGAACTGGCGAATATTAGATTCGATTATAACCTCACTGTCCCTCAGCATCGACAATTGCCCCCCGACTGGCCCGGCAAGGCAAGCATTGAACACATTACGGACATGGCTTCGCCATTATTCATTGCAGCTGTCACCCTTTGTCGATTCATCTCAGATCGAAGGATTGGCAGCCCGGGAGAACAATTGGCGAAGATTGTGAATTATCCAAGCGGAAATGAAGTGTCGAAATTAGAAGGCATTTATTTACCAATCCTGCGTCAGACCTTAGTCGGGCTCTCCATTGCCGAACAAGATATAGGACTGTCTGAATTTCGCTCTATTGTTGGAACTATTGTTCTTGCATACACTCCGTTATCAGCAAGAGGATTAGCCAATATTCTACAAATGTCGGAAGAAAAAATAGAGAGCCGGCTTGACCTTCTTCATTCTTGCCTAAACGTTCCCTCGGAACCTGAGCTTCCTGTCCGCCTTCTTCATCTATCCTTTCGAGATTTCCTGGTCGACCCAAGTAGGATGGACCGAAGCATATTCTGGATAAATCAGCAAGTGACACATCTTGAGATTGCAGAACGCTGCTTGGACATCATGGATCGCCTACTACAGCGGGACATTTGCAGAATTGGCCGCAATGAGAGTCGTGTTAAGGACTTCAAGGCAGAACGGGCGGTGCCCGGGGAGCTGGAATACTCCTGTCTCTATTGGATAAACCACCTCATTGAAGCCAGAGAGCCTTTGAAAGATGATCACCAAGTCCATTGTTTTTTGAGAAGTCATCTACTTCACTGGATTGAAGCGTATTGCATCCTTGCTAAAACATCTGACTTATTAACACTAATACAGGGACTTATAAACTTAGTGGAGGTAAGTGATAACATGACATAAACTTCACTGTTGCGAGGTTACTAAGTCGAATCTTTAAAGTCGGCCAATGCGGAGGCTATTAAAAGCTTTCTCGATGATACTTTTCGGATTGTCAGCACGAATTTGAGCGTGATTCGAGACTACCCGCTCCAAGTGTATTCTTCGATGCTTCTCTTTGCACCTACCAACAGTATTGTTCGAAACACCTTCGCCTTCGAAATGCCGGGCTGTGTCAGTATCAAAACGAAACTCAAGTCAGATTGGGACCCGCTCCTTACGGCATTTGACTACGATCGGGCATATGGCACGATCCAAGCGCTTTCATGGTCCCATGATAATTCATTCCTGGCTGCAATTTCTTTGTCTGGGACAATCCACGTCTGGGATGCTATGTCTGGACAAAAACACCTCACCCTGCAAGCGCTTGGCACCACGAGGATAGAGTTTTCTCATACATCAGAGTTTTTAGCAGCATCTGCAGAGAGAGAGATCTCGATATATCGAAGGGCCACTGGAGAGGTCGTCCAGAAAATCGAGAATTCCGGATGCTGGGGATTTGCCAAAGATGCACCACTTCTCGCTACTACTTCCGGCGACGGTGATATTACACTCTGGAAGGTCATTTTGGGCGCCCATGGGTCTCCCTTTCTGCCAGTCAATGTCTATAGTGCTTCAGGAATCTCCATTTCTTGTATGAACGTCTATCATGATGGATTAATAATCGCTTCAGCATATCAAGACTACCAAGTCACGTTATGGCGCTTCACGATTGACTCGGAGGTTCCCGATGATGACCCAATACAGCCGGCATGCTTAGGCTCCATTTCCAGCCCCGAATCCTTTTTTAGAAACAAGTATGCGAAAATTATGCTTTCCCCTAACTCTCAGTTGATCGCTTTCATAACACCTGGGTCTCTCTTGGCCTATAAAGTCGAAATCTGCTGCGCCACAAATGGGAAACTTATCCAAACTTTTGAAGGCGGCGAGAGTACCCAGGGCACTATTGTATTTTCTTCGGACTCACAGTTCATCGCAAGAGATTCAGGGAAAGGGACTATGGAGGTTAGGTCCAGTGCTACCGGGACATCTACAATGAGCCTCAGCCATCGAGGAGTAACATCTGCTGCATTTTCTCACGACTCGAACAAATTGGCGGTAGCACGGTCCGGTTCAGTGCAGATATCATCTATCCCTCAAGCGAGGTTGAGAAATCGGACACAGATTGAAAGGCGCCTAAAACCCATCAGCTGCATAGAACTTTCGCCGGACTCCTCAGTTCTCGGCATAGGAACGAGTGAGGAAGAGATTGAACTCTGGGACACAATCACCGGAGGTCATAGGCAAAATTTAAGCATATGTCCAAGCACAATTCTCTTCTTGGCATTCTCTCCCGACTCACAGACACTAGCATGTTGTGGCAGACAGGAGATAAAAGTCTGGAAAGTCGACACAGGGGAGTGCATGATGCAAAGGCAGGTGGACCTAGAAGAGTCTCGCGAAATTGAAACAATCTATTACGACAAGCACAGGCGACTAAATATAGTGCCTAGATTCTTTAGTCTTGATCCAGATTATCTCTTCCCGTACGACAAGAGTTCTGGCTTCGGAATAAGACATCTCGAGACCTTTCAAAATTACAGTCTCCTTTTTGGCAACCTGGAATATGTAGCCGATACAAAAGATTTGATGATTTACCTCGGACGATCCTCAGATGCCTGGAAGGCCAGCGTGCTGCGTCATTCAGATGGAAGGTGGATGCAGCGGGGACATGAAATATTGACCCAAGACGAACACCTAGCAAAAATAAGCAAGAACGGCGAAGTTCTGATTGTTTTATCCTCGCGAGGTCGGATAATCGTTCAGGATCTTTCCAGAAGCGAGATCATACTTGATGTTGTCCTACTTTCAGCATCAGAACTAGGAGTCGCGATGAGAGACATACACGAGACGAGGATTCCTTCTCAAGATTGCTCCTGCCCAAGATTTGTGTTTAGGTCTAGGCCTCGGGGGAAATTTTTTTACGAGTGGCGTACTATCGACATATGCGTGTGTAATCGACGAAATGACGTACGACGGGTTAATGAATTGGCGAATCACCCTACGCCCTACGTGATAACCGACGCATATTCAAGGAACAATGATGGAACTAACGACTGGCTCCTAATAAACTCCAAGTTCATACTAAACTTTCCTCCAAACTATCGCATAAAAAGATCACCCCGGACCGGAGCCCTGATTTCCACCTCCGATCATCTTGTGGCAATCGCAACGACATCTGATGAAGTTATTTGTATTCAAACTTCATCTGATCAGCTCTAGAGGTTCAAGAGCTTGGACTTGGGAACGGGAGGCACGTCTTTGGATGCATGGAAGGTTAGGCGCATGTGTAACGAAAAATCCCAGCCGGAACAGAGCTTGAAGCGTACATGGCCGGTTGAGATATTTCAAACGCTGAATATTACCGCCAGATGTTTCAATTCGAAGATCAAGCCTCCAATTCATAAATGGGTCGATTAGCAAGGGTGTCAATAACTCAGTGGGAGTATTCGCCTGAAGAATAAACCGGCAGCTTTAGCTCACCGCCAGTCTAGTCAGTCCGGTGAAATGACGAGGAAGTTAGGCGTGCTGACATATAAAACCATGGATTTGGACCCTGAAATAGTTCTGCCTGGCCTGAGAAGTTCCAAGAAAACATGTATCGAATGCTAAAATGCAGGGACTTGTGGATGGAAATTGCTGGGGGGAGAAAGCAGCCAATTAAGAAACGAGAAGACCCGTGGGAGCTAAACTAGAAATGGACTAAATTGGTGGGCTTTTTGTATCCAAAATCGAAAGATTCGACTTCTGTGTCATGAGTTCAATCAATGAATCAACTGCTGTCTCAGCACAACATCCGCTACCCTTGGATTCTACTCCTTTCCATTCTCACTCTATCTCATACATGCCAATCTTCTTGCAATTTATCCTTATCAATTAGTTCAACTACTGCAACATGACCGTCATTCGTAAAGCCTGCCGGAATTGCAGCCGCTCTAAAAGGAAGTGTGACGTCCAACTGCCGATCTGCCATCGCTGTGTTCAAAAAGGACTCGACTGTGTATACGATCTCGACCATCTGAATACAACCACTTATCATTCAGGAAAGACGTCCGATTTCTGGCTCCAGCTCAAAGACCACGACAGACTTGGCCATTGTCTGCTGAGAATGTCACAGTCATGTGGTCCAAGCATAGATCCTCACATCGGATATCCCGGGAAGAAGGAGCCCTATGACTACATTCGGCTGGGCTACGCATCTATCCCGGAGATCATCAAGGAGAAAAAGCCCGCCATCTTCATTCACCCAAAGTTGCAGTTACACAGTACCCACACGAAGCATCTAGCTGGTTTCGTAAGATCTGGTGTGGATGATGTGACCTTCCAGGACTTCACGCGCCTAGCTCAGATTGACATCACCACCATACCCATTCAAGAAGCTTTGACTGCCTGCCAAGCGTTAATTATATATCTGGCGATGTACATTTTCTCCTCTGAAGAGTCGGAGCGGAAAGGAGCTGAAAGTTCTCTTGATGTGCTCTCCAAGTGGACAGATAATCTCTATACTAGTGCGCTGACCTCCCAGCCAAACGGCCGGTCTCCATGGCAGCATTGGCTCTTCTGTGAAAGCGTGCGGCGTACCATTGTGTCGTCTTACGCCTTCTTCATGCTGTTAGATAACTACAGGCTCGGTTACTGTACCAATTGGCTCTTCCTTGAATCTCTCCCGTTCGACCAGCGCCCCGGCCTGTGGATGGCGAGCTCGGCCCAGGCATGGATCGCCGCGGCGGGTGCGAGAACAGGTCCTGAAGTTGGCGAGAGACTGAGCTCTGTCCACGAATTTGCGGAGAGCCATGCGGGTTCCGACCCTGGATTCTGCGGCGATATATTCATGATAATGCTCGCAATCAGTCATAACGGGTATAAAAGGGCAGGGGCCTAGACGCAGCTTGCGGGAGCTAAGCTAGGTGTGGAAGCGATGGGGAGATCCGGCGATGCACCCGTGATCTGACAGTCGAGGTTTGCCTCTCAGACCCAGCGGGGTCTAGTCTGCTTTGGGCTTGTGCAGCAATGTATATTGGCTTGATACACTTCACAACGCTCATCAGGCGTGTCATTTGCTTCATGTCCACCATTGACTTCGCCCCATAGTCCAGCTTGCATTTATAAGCATCCCAATACGCAGTAGCTCCCGCCAGGTCTGGGCAACAGATATATGATTAGTTGGTACCCTGAGAATATAAAAGCAAGTACACACGTCACAACAACTCAGAAGTCTTTGAACACAAGCCATCATCACATTTCCAATTCTATCTCTATCTGAACTCGCTCACATCTCGTGACAACTCACTCTTACCAATATGTCCTCGGAAAAGCCTCTTCTCGTGGTGTGTGGTGCCACTGGTACCCAGGGAGGTTCAGTCGTCTCGCACTTCCTCTCGAAGTCACCATGCCCGTACAAAATTCGTGGCCTCACTCGAAACCCATCCTCGCCGAAATCCCTCGCTCTGACCTCGAAAGGAGTTGAGATGGTGGCGGCCAACTTCGCTGATCCCGCCTCACTCGATGCTGCTTTCGCTGGCGCGTCCTACATTTACGGTACCAATGACTTCTGGGTGTTCTATGAGGACCCAGCGAGCAAAGAGAAGGCCAAAGCTGCTGGCAAGTCTCTCATGATTCTGAGCAAAGAGAATGATACCTTCGAGAACAAGAACATCATCGACGCGGCTGCCAAGGTCAGCACGCTCCAGAGGCTCGTCATGAGCAGCCAAGCCTACACTAAGAAGGTCAGCGGGGGTAAAATTTCCAACTGCCACCATTTTGACGGCAAGGCCATCGCCGAAGAGTACCTCCGCTCAGACCATCCGAAGCTTTGGGAGAAGACGAATGTGATCTTTTGTGGGTTTTACTTGGAGAATCTCGTTAGAGCGGTCGGTGAGATGATGCGACCGAAGCTGGTATGTGCATTGATCCTTCCGAACAATTATCCATGAAAGCGGTTGCCTAACATTAGTTTATCTGCTCAAGACCGAAGAAGGTCTTGTTCTATATATGGATGACGCTGTGGCCTCGGCTCCCTTTCCTTACTACTCTGCTGTCAACGATACAGGCCCACTTGTCGAAGCTCTAATCCGCGCTTCGCCAAGCAACAGAGTGATCGGCGCCAACGAATGGTTGAACTTGAAGGACTTAGCAGTGTTGATTGGTGAGGCTATGGGAGAGAAGGTCGAATTCGTGAATGAGAACCCGGTATTTGACATGGGGGGAGACGTAGAAAGAATGCAGGATAACTTGGAGATGCTGATGTTCGGTGTCGAGTTTGGTTATGACGGTGGCAAAGTGGACAAGACTGTCGTTAAACCGACGGAACTGGGAGTTCCTCTGACCTTGCGTTCGGTGAAAGATTGGGTTAAGGATCAAGACTGGGCCAGTGTGTATGGGATCAAAGATGGCCTCTCCGCCTAGAGACGACTAGCATGAAGTAAGATCACCACTCAACTATGAGTACTTGTCATATCAACAGCTCGCTGCCAAGAGCGATATCAATATTTCAAGAATGAATTCCACCACTAACCAAGAAGAGTTTCCAACTTCATGTCCCACATAATATCCACCCAGTGAACCATCGTGATATTCTGAACTGTCGTCCGTTGTTTCGGCTCGGCCAACGTGTCAGCTTTTAGCCATACATGCTCTATGATCTTAATTCCGCGATCTACCGAGTCCAGTCCAACGTAGCGGTCCAACATCTTCAGTCTACCTATCACTGCCGTTCTCCAGTGCAAAACAACGGCTTTCTTACAAAATAAGGAAACGACTCCCTGATAGGCGTTTCCAGTTTCGGGAAGAATGCTCGTATTCTCTTCGCTAACATACTGCAAACCGCTACCAGCAATCATAAGAGCTGGTAATTGAATAGCTCTTGTACCTGAGGATTCCGGTAATGAAGATAAAAGGGTTAAAATATTGGTCGCAAGGGTGACCATCACCCCAAACCTGCGGCTTAATGACTCCGTAGTAGGTACGGCGATCGGTATGCCCCCTGCATCATATAAGATATTTTCTCCGTCCTCCACTAATTCGGGAAATACTCGGTATAGTTCCAGAATAATAGAGAGTTGATATACCTGATCAATAGTCTGAAAATGGTGCAACGGCGTCTGAGAGTCACTCGTTTCTTCGAACTGTTCGGTTGGTGGTGTTTTATACTCCCGCACATTGTCGATGACACGCCTTGCGCTCCTCAAAAGCGCAGCCCTGAATGTTCGCTTGGTATCGTCTGAAGATGACTCCGTACGAATGCGATGGACCAAACGTTCTTGGCGAGTGATAGATCCTGCTTGGGCCATGTATATAAATAATGGCATACTGATGCCCGTCCATGGATGTGGTTGTGAGCCTTGATGTTCTACCCAATCACACAATGGCAAGAGATAGTCAACTGCTGATGGTTCTTGATCAATATGGAAAGAGGAGATAGCTTCCCAGTAGGCTACAATTCCAATCATGAACCTGACTGTTGGAGAAGAACGACATCGATCGGTAGCCAAATAATTCTCAGGCGCAGAATAATGATTCAATGTCAATTCTTTTAAGAGAGCACGTGCCCCGAAAAGAAATGAGGTGTCTGTCGACGAAGCATCATGCCAGGACTGCATGCCATCCTGTCAGTTCCATGACGAGAGAAAACAGAGAGTAACAATGCCTACAGAGGTTGTTCCAAGCAAGATAGTGCCCAACAGGGCAGTCACCAAGCGCGATTCAGACCCAGGTTGATTCTTACTCGATGGCTCCGAGATTTCCGAAGATAGGACAGATATCGCTGTCGTGCGATGCTGGAGCGCCTCCGTTGACAAAACATGCTGTCGCTGGTACATATGAGCAGCTGACATAGAAAGCATGCAATTTAGTATCAGAGGATGAGCCCAGATCATGTCAGCTACCACCATGCGGAAGGGATTGTCAGGCGAGTCGAAACCGGAATTTATAACGCAGACCAAAGAAAAATAATAGTTGACTAGGTAATCTTCTCGTGAGTTGATCGGTGATAACGAGTGACACGGCGGATTGATCTCATGTATGAGCTCATGTTCAGGGGTTGGTCCACAAATTCTGCTGTCGATATCGAAAGATTGTGTGCAGTCGGTTGAGTCAAGGATATAGCCTTGAGATGCCGTTATAGGGAACTCGGCACTAGACTGCTCGCTTACCCATCCCGGCCAACCCACATTGTCATCATCTAGAAGGAGTTCTGGCGCTGCGTTTATTTCAAGAAGCCCTGTTCCAAGGAGATAATGATCTTGACTTGATATAGCCCCTATAGGCTCGCTCACAATACTCCTCCCAGGCGACGAGGATACCATCTCGTGACGTGGAGACGCGGCCTCAGCCACCAATGCAGCATGGAGTCGTGAGGCTTCCTCTTCGAAAACGTTCCAGAAGGGTTCCATGCTATCTCCCGCTGCCGGACGTTGATCTCGACTTCGGAGAACCTCGTGCTTTCCTGACCATTTGACCGGCCTGCGGTATCCCGGGCAAGTGGCGCCACCTCGGAGGCAATTCAAACAATTGGGTACTGTCTCGTCGCATTTGACACGCTGGGATATCATGTGAGCAGTTGCTGTCGTTCAAGTGCAGAAGACCACATACCCTTTGCTTGCATCGAGCACAGCCCGCTGACACCACGGTCGTTAGCCCAGCTCAAGGAACCAGGTGCGAAAAGTCTAGGACTTTGAAACTTACAGCGAGACTTCAGTTTGCTTCTGGTGGTCGACATTCTGGCTGAGTTGGAGGTGTCAGTATCCTTCTTGTTGAGAAAGCAAGGAATTAGGCCCATCTGGGTGGTGATCACTCTTGGCCTCGGAATTTCGGAAAGAGGCCGAGACTTCCCATTGATAAGGGAAGCGGGCCATTGACTAGCAATTGGCCTAAACCCCAGACTTCTCCTGATAACACAAGCGGGCCTTTAATAACCAACCCCAAACCCCTTCTGTCCGAGTCAAGGCATGAACCTTGTTTCAAGCTACTGGTTTCTGCTTGTGTTCAAGATGGAGCTTGGTGCCACTCAAAGCTGAATTGTTCATCCGAATACTCTCCTGTATCACTCAGGTTGATGCAGAGGCCGCGAGCTTACACATAGGTACGTCATTACTGCCGTGATGTGCGAGTATTTTATTCAGATGGTATCTGCCAATATGGGTAGGGTACATGCCTTGCTCAGCATCCTTTCCAAACAATGGATTATGTTGCCAACGAACACAAACTATAGCAGCACACCATTCCCCCGGTGTGAAGATTGAATCAACACGACAATATTCATTACAGTCTTGATGGCTTCGCTGGCTGAGAAAGTATGCCGGCTGAATTGGCTTCCGCAAGAATCGTAGCGAATGATCCGAAGCTCATGCGAACCATCCGCTGTGGCTTTGGATCCCAGCAGAAGAAACGTCCCGTGGATCGCATCTTCTCAAGGTCAACCACCACCACCGACTCCACGGGCATAATGGTCTCGGTCCAGAACAGAAGATACAGAGATTCTCCCAGTTTCAGCATCTTGCACTCCTCAGCATCAGCCAACCCCTTTTCTATTCCAGCTAAGCAGTGCCAGGCCAAAGTACCCTGGTTCAGGTAAACATGCTCATATGCGTCCCGAGGGGTATAGCGGTACAGTATGTGCTTGCCGATCAACTCGTCCGTAGGTTGATACGCCTCAACAGGAGTGTTGCCGCTTGTGGTAGCATTCGTGAACTTGGTCCACGTTCTTCGCTCCCCAGCGGCGCCAGTAAACCCGGAGACTCCTACCACCGCCTGGCCAGTGATGATATCAAGAACCAGGCTCACTTGTTCCTCATACGCTGGTTTGTAGAAGTCTATGAAAAAGACGTTAGGGCGTACTTCGAATGCGTCGTATTCCGCTTCGCCCTTCAGGCCCGTGTGGTCAGGTTGATTTCCCCCATCCACGATCTGCCATGTGAGATTCTTGTCGTCGGAGATGAGGTGGGAGATTCGATACCCGTTATCAAATGCATGCTCGAATGATTTTCCAAACAGTTTATTGGATTTCTCCATGCGGTGCTCGCCATACCCAACGGCAAGCTCCTCTAGAGTTGGCCATTCTGCGACTGGCACGTAGCCTGGAGTTCCCGTACTTGCGCTCATGTTGGAAAGAAGAAATAATAGCTCCGGATGAAGCAAGTATAGTAGTAGTTTCGTACTGGCTGAAGCTGACAGATATCGAGAAAGTGATGTTGAGAGTTATCCATCTTTCTCATCCTCGAGCGCCCAATCTTTATCTACTCATGCATGAACAACTGTCAACACACAATTCGGTAGTATCCCTGCTTAGATTCACAGAACGCCCAACAGTCAATCCATCAGACTCGCGGTAAATCTCCCCAAGAAGTTTAGAATAATCAAAATTGGGCCGCAAGCCAAAACCCCATACTCCACCTCGGTCTCTTCCTCCCAAAAAGGCACAGCGCATGAGTGTGGTTGTGTGGATGCATCATTACTTGCATCTCCACCTCGCACTTTCTGCCCGGAATAAGTTTAGTGTTTCTCTTCACAAACCTCCGTCACACGATTAGTACAACTGCCCTCAATCTATCAGCAGGCTAATACATAGTGTGGGTAATCCCGATAGTAACCAAATATCAGTTAATGTGTATGGCCCTGGATACTTTGCGGAATGGTACTGTCCTGTAGAAATCAACCATTTGCTGATATCGACATGGGTAGAATCAATGTCGTTGATCAAGGAGATAGGACATAAGTCTAAGAGAGATGTCTAACATCTGGGATTTTATGAATGAGTTCAGCCCCCGTCAATATCTTCGAATCCGTAAAACAATACAAACAGACATTAGCAATGAATGACGACTCCTCAATCATGAAGGGCAATGGCCTCAAAAAGACTGCCTCTCGCTCTGAAGTTGGGAATGGATCAATTCGGCAGAATCTCTCGGATGAAGAACGTCTAGGCCAACTTGGACATCAACAGGAGCTTCGCCGAACATTCTCTCTCCCAGCTCTCGGTGCACTATGTCTCTGCTTAATGGCGACATGGGAGGCGCTCTCTACAGTAATCGCTCCCGCTTTGATCAGTGGTGGTCCTCCGTGTTTATTTTACAATTAGTATGTTCATGCAGTCGATCAATGATGGGAGCTCAGGACATACTAATAACTGACTGCTCAGTGTTCTGTCGTTTGTCTGCACTATATGTATCGCCGTTTCCCTTGCAGAGATTGCCTCAATCTATCCTACGGCTGGGGGTATGTGATTGATAGAAACCTCATAGCGGTCCTGCAATATTGATGCCTTTTCATCACAGGTCAATATCATTGGGTAGCGGCACTTTGCCCGGCCCCGAGAAAAGCTGCAGCGGCTTGGGCCACTGGCTGGATCTCAGTTGGCGGGCAAATTCTGCTCACAGCCTCCTCTGCCTTTGCCGCTGGGCTCCAAACCCAAGCGTTAATCACATTGAACGATGAAACCTACGTTCCCTCTCGATGGCAAGGGATGCTCTTCTACTGGGCGATACTACTATATGCTGGGCTCTTAAATGTATGGGGTAGCAAATTGATGCCTCATTTCAATTTGGTTTCAGGTGAGTATTTGCGCATTAGGCTGTGAATCTATTACTGATACATGACTAGGGATAATTCATATTGGTGCCTTCGTTGGTATTATCATAACACTTGGAGTCATGGCATCGAAGAACACCTTCAGTTTTGTGTTTATCGAATTCGAGAACAATAGCGGCTGGGGCAGTGATGGGGTTTCATGGCTTGTCGGGATGCAAAGCACCGTTTATCCATTCCTTGGGTATGTTACTAAATTCCAAATATTCGATGAGCAAGGCATACTGACCAACTATCGCAAGTTACGACGCAGCGTGCCATCTTTCAGAAGAGCTGCCGCACGCGAGTCGTAACGTCCCGCTGGCTCTCGTTGGCGGCGTCGTTGTCAATGGCATAATAGGCCTTGTCTATTGCATCGTTCTCCTCTACTCCACCAGGTCACTCGAATCACTATTGCAGACTCCAACGGGGTATCCCTTCATGCAAATATATCTTAATGCCACTCAATCGAGGGCCGGTGCGACAGTCATGTCCCTCACCCTGATTATTGTTGCTACGGCCGCCACGGTTGCTGGGGTAGCATCGACTTCTCGTACGCTATGGGCTTTTTCTCGAGATAAAGCCACTCCGTTTGACGCGTACTTAAGCGTTGTCAACAGAAGACTCCAGGTGCCCCTAAGATCTGTGATCCTCGTCATCTTGCTGCAAGTTCTTCTTGGCCTCATCTATCTGGGGAATGCGACGGCGTTCAACGCGGTTCTGTCCATGGCTATTATCGCTCTATACCTTTCATATCTCTCGCCAATCTTTTTCATGGTTGTCTTCGGCCGCTCCCAGCTACGTCTTGAAGACTTCGGTCCATTTAAATTGCCAAGAGCTTTGGGCATCGCTGCAAACATAATCAGCTTAGTATGGATGATCGTCGTCATGATCTTCAGCACGTTTCCGCTTACTCTGCCCGTGACGGCGCAAAACATGAACTACTCCATTGTCGTTGTAGCTGGGTGGTCCATGTTTGGACTTGTCTATTATCTCTGGGCCGGAAGACATAAGTTTCAAGTCCCGTTGACAAACTTGTCTATCACTCTGGACACTATCCAAGTCAATGAACAGAGGGAAGAGAGAGAATAGAATCCCCTTACTTCTCCATTTCGTGTGTTGACAATTACTGATAAAGGTAGTGGCAAGTTGATGTCACTGCTGAGCGTGTTGGAATCAGATACAAGTGAGACAATCACCTTTCAAGAATAAAAATAACCACAATCCAACCTTTAGAACGTCAATTTGCAAGATATGGCTGGAGAAAAGTGAATTGGTCATATAAAATAATACATATAGCAAGAAAATTAGGTGGCTACTAAGAACGAGAAGAGTGCATGACACCATATTGATCGTAGCCGAGACTTCGTGTTGCCGAAGAAACAATATAACGAGTGGTTTTCGGGTTATGAGTAGTGTCAACCCCCGTAGGATGGAGTTCTTCCATGGTCTCCCTGTGCTTACTCATAGGCTTGTTATCTCGAAGCCGCTGCTTCTCGAAGAACACATACCCGCAGTAGAATGCTTTGCTGGTGTTGCCATCCATCACACCTTTATGTGCTAGGAATGCCTTCATTGTCTGTGGGTTGAGAGTGCCAGAACCCTCTGGGAGCATCTCACTCAGGGCTCGCGCAAAGGCTGCCTGCGTCACCCCTTTAGCCAGGAGAGCTCGCATTTTTCGTCGCACCTCCCTGGGCGTTTCGAAAATGTCGACATCTCCTTCTATCTCTCCAGGAAGAATGTAGTCGCCTGTATCAAGAAGACGCTCCATGGAATCGGATTTACCCTTGGCGGCACTCTTGGTCGGCTTCTTCTTTTTGCTCGCTTCTGGCTTTATCTTGTTTCTCTCGGGGATTTCGATGGGCAGGCCTTGCAGCTCTCGTTTGTGGAAAAACAACGAGGCCTTCTTGTGAACATCTCTCGCTGGGTCAGGGGAGGTTAAGTAACCCAAGAATGACGAATACTCTGTAGGATCAACTCCGATGGTCTTTTGGAAGTCGGCTTCCGTCTGGGCGCCAGACTCAATCCATGTGCGGATCTTTGTCCGGACTTCACCGGGCGTGTCACTGTAGGATAATAAGCGCGGATCGTCGTCGTCGATTTTTTCCTCGTCATCCGGGAACAAGATCCTGTTGATCAAGTCTGTGTCCATGGGGCACAGGAAATTCTTGAAAGTAATCCTTCCACCATCTTTTGTGGACGTTCCCCCTCTGGTGGACGTTCCCCCTCTGCTAATATTGGGACTTCGTTCCCCCAGCGGAGGCACATCAACAGGGAACGGGATTTGCGTTTGCTTCATTTGCGATGTTTGCCCAACGCTTGAGATACGGAGCTATGTATGTATGACGTAGAACTGCCCGCAATATCGTGAAATGAAGCGGGGAGGGTTTGTTTATTTATGGCGAACCAAATCGCGTCTGAGACAAATCGCGTCTGTACGTCCTGTGGTCAGTGCTCAGGGATGATCACCTACCCTGTAGCGACCTGGCAGGTTTTCTGGGCCGCAAACCGCTGCTTATTACTATAAATTTCTATTAAAAAGTGATGGGAAGAGATAACCTCAATAGAAAATTGTTGCACATAGTTTTCAAGATGCTGATTCCCAAATTCCGAGCACGCGCGAGAGAGGAGCTCTGCCAATGTTGAGTGAATAATTTACAACGAGGCCCTTACCCAAATTGTTTCTATTTTGGATTGTTTCTATTTCCAAAATATCCGATAAGTAGACGATTACCATCGACTGGAGACCTGGCAGATATATCCATTATTTTCTAGAGAATTGACTGGGATTAGTGGTAATATAAAAGATACACGCCTGTTTACCATCTAAAGCATGCTGTCAGATGTAGCTTGAGCTTGTAAATGAGTTGGGATTTATCTTGAGATTCAAGGCATGAGTATTGATAACTCGCCCGATAGAGTATGTACTTTAAGCTTGGGGAGATACATCCGTACAATTAAACAAGGTTGAGAAAGGGTCATCTGTGGATGAGCTGGCCCTCGTAAACTCCATCCCATTGGCGATGTTGTTTGCGAACTCGTCACCATACTCAGACGCAACCCAGGCCAGCGTAGCGTCAATGCCAGCACTGACGCCAGACGAGGTCCAAATGTTCCCATCTCGAACCCACCGCGCCTTGGCGACCCAATTGACCTTGGGGCCGTAAGCGACACACTCTTTCCAGAGCGCCTTGTTCGTCGTGGCACTTCTGCCATCCAGCACGCCAGCCTGAGCCGCCAGCGAAGCCCCGTTGCAGACAGTAATCAATGTGCTAAGCTTTGGCACAGTATCGCTGATCCATTGTCTCAGTTTGGGTGTAGTCTCGAATCCACCGTATCCTCCAGGGATGATCAGCACGTCAAGTGCGGGGGAATTTTCAAAAGTGTGAGTAGGCAGAACACTTTGTCCAGCAGAGTGTTTGCCCTTCTTGATAGTCGAAACCGGGTCCATAGTTTCGGCAATTGTCGATAGTGTGATGTTATGCGACAAGGATATGTCATTCACTACCTCCATGGGACCAAACGCATCCAAGGCTTCGAAGCCAGGGTACACGAGAAGGCCAAAGTTCTTTGGGTCTAGGTAAGGGTTAGCTATCAATTTTTCAAGAGTGAAACTTTATAGCTTACGAGCTGATTCTGACGCCATTTTGAATGTTGAGTGAGTTTCCCTAATCACGTTGCTGTTGTAATAAGGGCGTCTACTGCCGGAGATTCTGAAGAGTCAATTAATGGCATTAAATAGAGGGTAGAGCGTCTCTTTGTATCCGAGAGTAAGCGGCTATCGGAAGTAAAGTTAGCCCGCGTAATTACCCACCCGGTCCCTGCCAAGCACTTTTGAATGGAACGCGTAAATTCACATATTATAGAGCTGAGAGCGGAGACACCACAAACACGGCACAACCGCAACTTTAAGTTCAGGCCCAAGCCGAGGTCCCAACCATATCAAACTCTGCAACTTACCATTTAGTCGTAACAGCCAATATTTCTTTTGTAGTAGAATATTTTTTAAACTGTAGTATATAAGCAGAGATATAAGGTAAAGGGTGTAGAACGGAACAAGGGTCGCGATAAGTCGCGCCTGTATCTCCATCATCAGGTGGAAGCACCCTTGAAAATATTAGTATATAAGGAACAAAGAAACGTAAATCAATGCCCCTCATCGACCAAATCAGTCATTCCGTGTGCTCGCAACCTCGAGGATAGGAGAGTGTACCTTTCGGGGAGCGTACTTTTCGGGAAGTTAGGCATATGCATGCAGGGAAGTTTTCATAACCCTTCAGTCACCAGGCCTTTAACAAGAGTACCAATAGATGCACTAATTGATATATTTTTTATACCCGCCAACATTGTATATTCAAACCACGATTGTCTATCTCACACACGCTAAAACTCCCATTTCAAACGCAATGGCTATACCCAGAGGTATAAAGGCATTCGAAAGGTTGTCTCGGCGATTGGCGAGCCGGATTTCATCTGTCAGCTCTCCTGGGTTCAACCACCAGAAAAAGAACCAGATCGATAGGAAGATAGGCAGCCCTGCTATGGTAATGTATATCAACACCATGGCAAAGGACTTTTGTTGTCGGGCCACTATCCCCCAGAACACATCATGCTTCCCGTCTTGGGCAGTCTCAATAATCTTCTGCGGTATCCTTCTCAGCGCCTCCATCCCTGAACATTGAGAGGCGGAGAAGCAGTTGGTATTGTTGTACCAGTATCCGTCCTTGAATTCCTCCCAGCTTACTTGTGGCGGAGGATCTTCATCATCGTATTCGTACTTGTCTTCGGTCTGGTTCGGCAGCCCCGGCTGGCTTTCCCGAAATCGGTTTGCTCGATAACGTTTGAACTATACGTGCACATTAGAAATGTTTCTTCTTTTGCTTCGTGTTGGGTAGGTTGGGGGGGGGGGGGCTGATCCAATTCTCACCTGATAAAAGTCGCAGCCAACAAACGTATAAAGACTAAACCATTGCCTCCACCACCCACGATGTTTCCAATACTCCTGTCTCATTTTCCAGTAAAAAACCTCATCACACAGGTTCGTCGAGGTGATGAGGCTTCTCTGCAGTCCTGCCTTCCACGGGAACAAGCTACTATTGTCGACCATGAAGTACACAGCCAGAGAATTCAAGTCAACTTCTTGTGTCTGCGTTGCGTATGCTCGTCGGTTACGGAGATGTGGCCCTGTGGTTCGTCTATATGAATCTTGGTGTGGTAATGCCGGCACGTTTGCCGGCATATAGGTTGAAGATCTAGAAAGTGGCCTAAGATGGACCTGATCTGGTGCAGAAGGCCCAGAAATGTTTACAGGCTTAGGACCGGATGCAGCCACTCCGAGAGACATTTTCTTTAGAGACTTTCCAACTTCGCGCGGAACCACTTCTGATCTCGTCTCACCACATTTCTACATCATTGTCAGCGTCTACCTTCTGTCAACACTTCAATGGAACCTATGACTTACACAGAGCCATGCAATCCGGACTTGACCCTGTTGAAGAGGTGCGAACTTGGGCCGCAACGGCCACCAACTCCACGGCTCGCCAGTAGATGTTTCGACCAGCTCCTTAATGCGGTCAGACCATGTTGGCTGCTCTTCCGTCACCGTGATTACCTTGGGTTGAGAGTACAAGATTTCAGAAATGATCTTCTCAACCTGGATGCCTAGGCCCTTCCGCCTCCACCTCCTCAGCAGTGATTTCAGGCTCTTCTTGAATGAGGGAAAGGCTAGGTGATATATGTCGTCCAAAAATAGTTGAAACGCTGCGCTCGATGATATGAACCGTTGAAACCCCAGGACATCGATTTCAGCAGTAAGAATATTATCCTCCTCACCATCAGTGTCATCGTCTCCTCCTTCACCATCAGTGTCGTCGTCTCCCCCTTCAGCTTTCAAACCAGCTTCTTCGTCTTCATCTTTAGTTGCACTTGTGGCATCATGCGTCGCCATGTTCGAAGTCTCCGGTGTCATTTCAAGGCTTGACCCAACTTCTTCGATAATCTTGCGCGAAATAGCGATGGATCTTCCACTGAAGAGAGAGACAATGTTCTTATCCGAAGTCTCAAACTCAGTTCGCAAGCCTGCAACAAATTGCTTCAGTAAAAGGCGAATTTGTTTCTCAACTAAGTATTCCGATCTTCTTCCAAGAGATAGACGAATGGCCGCTAACGAATTTTCGTTCTCGAAGATGAGATCTAAGAATGTTCTCACAATGTCGTCGATGTTTGTCACGTCAATCTCGGCCTCCGTCGGCGCAGTAGATGCTCTATCTACAGAGAAGTCGCTACCTCGATCGGATGAAGAGTCAGAGTCCTTTTCCGACCTTTCGTCATCTTCTTGGGCAGAGTCGATATCATCGTGGATTGGCGCTTTAAATCTGACTCGGGATAAGGTGCTTGACTCGGGTTCTTCGCCGCCAAACAGGTCTGTTGAAGCTACTGCCAGATGATCGTCTGTTATAGTCAGACGTGGTACATCGTCCTGTCGCTTCTGCGCAATATGATGACCAATTACATCCTCTACTGTTCATCGAGAAGGGTCAGCCTTTGATGTTCTATGAAGGGGGTAAGCTAACCTACGACCATGAAGGACGTCGCCAATTTTCCTTTCCGCCTCAACCTTGGCTGGGGGGATATAAGAGAGGAGGTCCTTTGCATACGCAGCGGCGGCCATGGCTGCATGCCCTTGCCATTCCTTATTCTTATGTGAATCTGCGTAGTCGCATATGCCGCGAATGACCATACAGGGAAATTGGTTCATTAACCCTGCTGCTTCCATTTCAAAACACAGAACGCCCCTTTCTGCTGCCAGTTTATCCCGAACCGAGGCATCCTTCATCAACTGGTTTGCTGAAGCAATCAGGCCGTAGTGTATGGCCGGATTATCTTCGTCCTCACCTCGTGTCTGTCGCAAGATCAAGTTCGATGGATCATCGCCACAGACCGCTGAACAGCTTGCTGTATCGGTTGGAGGATGGACGATGTCGCTCCGATATAGCCTGTCGCTACTGAGGTCCGGTCGCTTGTAATTCTTCTGTAGTCTTGGTTTCTTCTTGAGAATGGAATTCACAGCCTCATGGAGCTGGTGACCTTTAAGATGATAGTGGGATATAAGGTTATTGACTGCTCTCAGTAAAACTGACGGTGGTTGATTGAAGAACCCTGTGCTTTGGAACTCCTGACTTTGTATTGTTTTGCCAAAGTCGTACTGTATCACTCCACCTTTTATATCACCAGCACCAACCACGATATCACCAAGACGGATATCATACATTGGTCTGGGCGCACCGCCGCCGATACCGACCATTAGAGCGATTTTAATATTAGGAAAGCTATGCAGCATATCTTTTATAACGCCTGTCGCAGACGAGATGCCATACTCGCCTTCGGGTAAGACGGCGATAACGATATTGTGATTGTGGATTCTGCCCAGTGTATAAGCGTTGCAATCGTTCGGTGACACTCTGTCCGGACCTTCGTAAGTTTCATCGAGAAATACCCTTGCGGCAACGTATTCCTTAACTAGGGTGCAGATCCAACCGACTGTGTAATCGTTGACACTGAAAGTCCGCATAGGAGCATTGGCGAGTGGTATCTGATTATCGTAGTCTGTTGTCTACCTCTTCTCTGACTGCAGTATATTTTCTTGATTATTCCCAAGCTCGGATTCTCTCTTCGCTATCGTCTAAGGTGTTTGCGGTTATGTGGGACAGGTCAAGTCGGGAGGACGAAATCGGATCGGGGGCTTAATTGTATTTGGCCAAATGGTGGTACAGCGATTTCCCAACGAAGGCCGATAACCGCAACTTGTTCGAATAAATCAAGCGGTCAGTACGTCTCAAGCAGGGGGAAATGAGATACCGCAAAAGGAGCTGGTTGAAACGCAGGTGGATGTGTATAAGAAAGAAGAGAAGAACGGGACCAGGTATCCAAAAGGAATCAGTCGAGCGGGGTATTTGGCACCATCGTCAGCTGACGGGTGGCTGCGAATACCATTGTCACACGCCACGGCGGCTACGACCATCCGTCCATCACCAATCAATCATTGCTGCCTGTTCCTCGCCACATGGAGCGACACACTCCAACGTCACTTTTGGCCCCGATTCTAGGCTGATTACTCATGAACTTGTGGGAGGTGGAACCCCGTTGCTGTGGGATATATTTGACAAAATAAGATCAGCCTAAATATTCATAGTGGGACGAGGTTCCTAAAGTACCAAAACGGATCACTGCCTAAGGCTTGATTCTGAAGGTACCTTGGACGCTAATAGAGTACGGATCCAAGCCCAGGTTCTAATCTTATCGAACTCTAATAGGACGGGCGATTGTATACTAGCTTAAGAAAGTCACGCAATCATTTCTTGCGACCAACAACTTTAAAGGCAATGATGAGCTAATTTTGTATTAATAAAGTGACAGGCGCACTTTGACTCGCCGCTGCCATGGCTTCAAATGATGTTTCTGGGAGCGATCCAAGGAGGAAAGAATAGACATGCGCACCAAAATATCCTCGAGAATTGGATTGAGGCGTAAGCCAGCTCCATAGTCAAGTTTACTCTAGTGCCAGGGTTGATTCAACCTTTCCGCGCCGTTAGCCATGTTGTTGGGGAGAAGAGCTACGAATACTCGTACGAAAGAGCTTTTTGGCAAAGGTAATGGCAGAAGAATCAGGTTGAGGAAGAAAATATCAACAGCTTGCCCTTCTATTCTTGATTTTGAGATAGGGTTGGTGATTGGTGAATGTGAGGTGGAATACTTTAACTTTCTTTGAATAACATCAACTTATGACCTATTGTGCCACACTTGTGATTCCACACAGTCAACTGCATCTCCAAGCTGCGACTAGCGTCTTGGGCGGCCGCCTACATCCCGCACTTATGCTCTCAGATCGGCGCTCAGTGTCCTTACAAGGCATTTTCAATCTAGCCCACAGATTGAAATAGGGTACATAGAGCACTTGCTTTGGGATCGTCTTATACGGCCACGTCCACAGGCTGATATGGGGCATTGCCAGTAGGCTTTTATGGCCTTGATAGCTATGCTTCGGAGAGGTTGATGACGTCAAAGAGACCTGGGTGCTCTTTGAAATGACTTGTTTCGCTAGCATCTAAAATAAGAGGTTGCGATGAGGGTCAAGCAGACTTGAAAGGGCTTAATTCAACCAGAATCAATATCATACACCCGACATCTCTACACAATGAAGCGACGACATACATTCCGTAGAAATGAGTCAGTAGCTCTCATCGTTATGTCAACTTTCTATCGAGGTCAAGAAACATTCGAGGTGGGAAACGTAAAGTCATAACCTAAATCTAAAACACAACGCTATACATGAAATCATCTCAGTCGCTTTTCAGATCCAAACTATCAAAGTCACCAACGCAAACATCAGGCCGAATAAGGAACTCCTGCCTAAAATTACGCTACTGTTGTTTCCGTCACCCGTTTGGACAGCACTGGTCGCGGTACTGGGATTCGAAGTAGTGGTTAAACCTTTACTGTTAGATCTCTCGATAAATCGTCTACCATGATCGCCGGAATAACGTACCTGGGGCGCCTGACGATGTTGACGTGCGTAACAAGTTCATAGTACTTGTGCCCCTACCGCATCCAACGAAGGGGGTGAACGTCGTGACATCAAGATCCTGATAAACTCTATGTGTTACACATCCAACGTCACTTAAGGCAAGCCCTTTTGTTAGCCATGGTCATTCAATATGGTGGAGAGAACCTACCAAAGGATTCCCTTGCCATCAATTCCAAGCGCGGTCTTTCCTGAACAACGAGTATATAAGTCATCAGAGCCACAGCCACCATATTCACCTCGCGTGGTGAAAGGCTCGTTGATGCAAGCCAGCCAGTCTAAGAAGGATTATTTAGCACGAGACCATGTTATGTACGAGATAGTGGAACCATACAGTAGTTGCCTCTGGTCCCATTCTGACCCATTCCGATACTCAGCTCATCATGAGGAATTTCTGTCGTCGCGAGCGAGTAGAATGAGGTGGTGACGTAAGTTGATCGAGCTCGCGTCGTGGGTGCCGAAGTGGCGGTAGTGGCTGAGACCACTTGCACTATGGTCAAAAATAGTGTGACTGGGAGAAGGGATAGAGAACGCATACTGCTGGCCACCTTGAGCAGAAGACGAGTACCTTGAAATGGGCAAAATGAGATCAAATGGCTCTGGGTTCAGGTCGGGCTTTATAAACGAATTGGAACGGCCCGTATCTTCAGGAGAGCACTAATACTTTCAGCTCAGTGGAGCCTGCAGGCTGACTTATTGCTAGGCTAGTGACTATGCATAAAAAGAAAGGAACTAATCACCGTCAAGCCACGTCTTGCCACCGTGCCAAGTATGCGGGCTGTTCTAACCAGCAGTGTTCTAGCCAACTTAGGCAGTGTGCTAGGCTCCGCCAAGGCAATCTAGATCTTGGCGCCAGGCGTCGATGCGCCTCGACCTCGAGTCGGGAACCTTCTGTCTTTCCTGGCTACTTCGGGGATCCCTAGCTTCATCGTGAACCAATCAATGACATAAGTAGGAATGACATAAGCAGAGGGTAGTTTCATGGCATGGCAGTGCGAGAGTGCTTCAGTTAGAACAGCATTGACTTCATCCTAAAGGTTTTGAACATATTATTGGGGAGCTGTTCTCAAGAGTTCAGAAGGCTCTGTTTCTGGGCCGTCTACCACGATGGCTTCTAGAAAGCGAGGTTTATTTCCATCTCTTGGGTACCGATGAAGGTTGCATTGCTTCTCGATTGGCTTCGAACGCCCTCAAGTTTTCTCCTTGGACTGATGATGAAAATACCTACTTACCGGCCCGGGGCAGTCACAAACAATTGGAAGGGTCTTCATGTGATTTCAAAGCGCTAGCTTGAGTACTGAAATGCCCCAAATTTGTATAAGCTCAACTCAGATCAGGAAATGCAATTTGAGCGCTAGCTGGCAACCCCTCCTCATCACACCGAACACCATTCTATGACCCGTTGGTGGCCTAGATCTTGGAACATTTTGACATTGCATCAATTTTTTCGTACTATTTCAGCCTCAATAGGAGCTTAGCCAGCACCTTAGATAGTTGTTACTTCGCGTGTCGAATATTGTGGAAGGAAGGCTTGCAGGGTTGACAGTCGGATAACTTTGTTCTTTAGCATGGGATAGTCAGCAATATACCTTGTGGTCTCGCTGAATAATATTCTGACCTTGTGAGCTGTGCCTAAATGCCATCATTCCTGGGCGGCATACTGTTGCGGGGGTTTATACATGTGAATAACTGAGTTATCTCATCTGTGTTTCTTTTATATTGGCAAAGTGCCTTCTTATTTTATTTCATTATATCATTTAGTATGATTATGAATAGAATCAAAATATGCATTGAAAGTTATATAAGGCATGTATCATGCTTCGAGTCACTCTCAAAAGCTCCCTAACAAACTCACTTATGTTTCGTTAGTCGAAAAAGCCGCGGCTCCAATTGAGAGAAAATCTCATTGAAAGCACAGAAAGCGATATTAACCGAGCAGGTGGGTATACTACAATGGCTAAGCTTAAACATAATGACACTGATTACTTTCTCCTATGAAAGAAAAGTTATAAATGGTAAGGACCACTTTCGTTGGAATCGCCTGCAGAACAATATTACAAACCGGTACGGGACATGGCCAGTCGGCTTTTTTATCACCGCGCTTGTTCTATACCCAGCTTGCTTCTCCCGAACTCAATGTTTAGAAGCTACCAGTTACCGGTTTCTTCCACTTAATTTGAGGTAGACAAGGTGGGATACCAACACCAGTGAAAATGGTCATTTTGAGCCCTCCAGAGAACACGAGGCCAGACAGTTGGCGTGATTCAAGTTAGATTAAGGCTGCTGCCTCATCCAATCTATTTGAAAATGATAGGCCAATTTATCTTTCTGGTGCTCCTCCTTGTGCGTGCTTTGTTTAGCACACTATTCGTGTGGAAAAGTTCTGCCTTGGTTCATACGTTCATCTCAAAAGGCATAGCGTTAGGATTTTAACTGCTGCAGAGACTCTTTTGCCCCTGTAAATGCCGTTTTCTTTCTCAGGGCTACGGTAGTCTCTCTCACGAAGCAACTACTAATAGAATGTATAGAAGATCTAGATACTTCGAAAGCCTCCTTGGGAGTGAACTCTTATTCCATTTCTAGGAGTGCCTTTTGCTCATCCTGAAGATAATAGTAAAATCAGGAGAAGTATCCAACAGGTCACTTCTTTTGCAACTAAATATGATTACCATTGTTTTGTGTGTGTGTAGGTGTGCCCACGCCCGGATGCAGCAGAGCTGCACTCTGAGAGCCATCATCCTGAGCAGCATTATGAATTAATTCATCATATTTTGCGCTACAACATTTCAGTCTCCTCTTTCATCGATTCCAAGCCCGGAGAGTCACTTCCAATCAATGAGCTAATAATTCTTTCTACACAAAAGGTACCAGAGGCTATTTCGTCGGATCCGGGCACCGGAGGGTTTTTTCCGGTGATCGAATTCAGGTTGGTCCAGCTCCTGTTTGAAGCATAAAAAAGACGGTGCGTCATAAACAGAAATAATAGACTACCCTTTGCTTTCGAATGTTTGCCGACATAGGTTGGGAGATGACTTATTCGTGCTGGTAGTAGAGACAACAAGGGTCGTACTCGGGAGTTTCTTACCCTCGTTCGGAAAAGATGGCGAAACAATGCCGATGATAAATTAAGCGGCGCAGCTCCGCGATGCTAAGGCATTGATCGAAGACGAGCAAAGCTTAAGGGGGCTCCAACATGGCTCCCACCCAGGCCCCACAAGCCAACATCCTTCGTCGATTTCGGTAAGGCGAGTGAGATCTGTTGTTTGAGAGAATCCTTACCGTACATCGACCAATGAACATAGGCATACAGCCGTACATCGGCCAATGAACGCCGGCATACAAGATACAATGTAATTATAGCGACGGAAATATGGGATCTAATATGGCAATCACTTTCTAGATTTATTTGAGTAGGAGCATAAACCCGGAGAGGGGTGATTTTAGTCTTGCTCCTAGAATTGCATCCTTCTTTGGGTCGTTATCACCGAATGCAAATGACGTTTGGATAGCTACCCATTACGCAAACACCCTCCTTCTTAACTGTTTGTTAGCGTAGGGGTCAAAACACATGGCGTCCTAAGGACAACCTTCTATTGTTAGAAAATCAGTTAGCAAGAGTCGCTATTTAAAGCCTGCTCTTGAAAATATAAAAGGACTCATCGCTACTTTGAAATAATATCTTGGTTATTCTCATCATCATTCTTCATTTCTCCCTCTGTTTTCATACAACAATTAAGCCAAATTAGCTACCATTTTCTATCTTGCTCGACAGCATTTCGCTTCTCTTTTTTTTACGTTTTACTTTTCAAAATTCTTCTTATCAACACCACATCTCAAAATGGTTGGAATTAAGCAACTCTCTCTAGGGGCAACCCTTCTACTCAGCCTCGCTCAGAATGCTGTCTGTGACACAACTGTGGAGGAGCGAGATCTCGAAATTCGCAAGGGGGGTGGCGGTGCAGGCCCTCGTGGCAGCCACGCCGGGCACGGTTCAGGAACAACTAGCAATGGCTTCGCTGGCTACCAACCTTCGGCTCCTAGACCGTCTAGCAGTGGTAAGGGCAAGCGAAGCCTTGAGCTCCGCAAGGGAGGCGGCGGCGCCGGACCTCGAGGCAGCCATGCTGGGCACGGTTCCGGAACCACTAGTAATGGCTTCGCCGGTTATCAACCTTCTGCTCCTAGACCCTCGAGCAGCGGCAAGGGCAAGCGAAGTCTTCAGATCCGTAAAGGAGGTGGTGGTGCAGGACCTCGCGGTAGCCATGCTGGGCATGGTTCGGGAACCACCAGCAATGGCTTCGCCGGTTACCAACCCTCAGCTCCTAGACCCTCTAGCAGCGGTAAGGGCAAGCGCAGCCTTGAGATTCGTAAAGGAGGTGGTGGTGCTGGGCCTCGCGGTAGCCATGCTGGGCATGGTTCCGGAACCACCAGCAATGGCTTTTCTGGCTATCAGCCTTCTGCTCCTAGACCCCCTAGCAGTGGTAAAGGCAAGCGAAGCCTTGAGCCCCGCAAGGGAGGCGGTGGCGCCGGACCTCGTGGCAGTAAGGGCGGACATGCCTCTGGGACAACAAGCAATGGTTTTGCTGGTTACCAACCTTCTCCCGCAAGACCCTCTAGCAGTGGCAAAGGCAAACGCAGTCTCGAAATTCGTAAGGGAGGTGGCGGTGCAGGCCCTCGTGGCAGCCACGCAGGGCACGGTTCTGGGACTACGAGCAACGGCTTTTCTGGATACCAACCTTCTGCTCCTAGGCCCCCGAGCAGTGGCAAGGGCAAGCGAGGCTTCAACTATGAGGAGGAAGTTTATTAGGCATACACATAGGGACTTTTTCCTTGGGATCCAGGTGATGGCCGGTTGCACTAGGAGTTGATTAAACAGTCGTTGGTCGGACGTCAGAAACACATTGTTATTCAATTCGTATCACTATTTCTTCTTTAGAAACATGATTTTGAGATTCATATTAGATATTATGCGGGCCTCGAGTAAACGGAGGACCTCGGATAGACATCAAATGTACAATGAAGCGAAATTCAACACAATATCATTGTTGTCGATGTATTATGATGCTATCTACTCATCTGGGCGTGGTGATGTTGAACCAAAATCATTGCTCCCAGTCCCTTCTAGCATTCATCCAACGACTTGGTCTCTAACTCGCCAAGCAATTTTTCTTGCTATTTTTCCGTCAATACTTGGGACAGATATTTTGTCTTGCAATAAGATGTGCTAATATAGTAACCTCATTACCGTTCACACCTCGTTGATACTGCGCCCTACGCCGTCACCATTGTCACTCCTCGGTAGATGACATTATGTCTTCTCTGGCGCTTCTACTTCATATCCCTCACAAATTACAGAGCGAATATTTCATCCAATGAACTCGTGTTTTAGCGCATATGTTTTTTCAAGTTAAGCATGGCATGTTTACATATCGTAGTGAGGTAGCTTTGCGCTTTCACGATCCACGTTTGATGATTTCGTGTACACTGTTGGCATGAAGATCATTAGCCTTTCTTACCTATCAACAAAATCACACCATCAACTACCTGGGCACGAAAGCAACCCTCTCAGCCCCGATTTCATTGGGACCGAATGAGGTTTGTACTGCGCCGCACAAGAGTTGGTATGTCATCGTCTGACCCCCTGAAACATGGTCACAATGTCCACATGATTGGTTAAGAAGCGAAGGGATCCAATTGCCGGGCGACCCAAATTAGATCTCGGGACAACCAAATGAGATTGCCACGACCCTTGCTAAGCGTTGGTTAGAAACCACCAGCTGGCCATTGCAGTGAGAGCCGTTTGATATTCCTAGTTCGGAAGCTTGCCCGCACGCATACTTGCATACCTTGGTTGACGACGGTTAAACGGCTCTCCCTAACGAGCTGTGTCGTCGCACGTCCTCCCCTACATGCTCAACTAAGCTGAAATTGTCCGCACTTTTTGGCGACACGGTCAGTCCACGCAGCGTGTAGAGAAATAGACATCACTACAGTGACAGGGTAGAATACCACGCTTAGCAAGGGCTAGAGTCTGTACTCAGTGTGTATTTTCAGTGTTAGTTCATGGCCATGGCCAGGAACGCCTAAATTAAAGCAAGCCAAATCAATACCTCTAGATACGTAAGGTAATAAGTATGAAAGGTGAGATTTTAAGATATAACCCTGCGTTTTGTCAAGACTGAGCTCGCCTCCAAATTGCTTTAATCACCCAAGTAATTGTAGGAAAGGCTTATTAAACGACCGGCGCGACTAAGCAATTGCCCAGCACATTGAATTAGGTATGTTGTACCCTAGCCGAATAACCATATTAATTCTCAGCTACTTGATGCAGCTAGTTGGTAGAATTTATCCCAAGCTTTCAGCAGACTGCGAACAAGTACATGAAGAGCAGGGCAACTCACACACGCCCGGTAACGAACAAGCACTTTATTTATCCTTCGACTCCCATTCACGGGCTCTCTTGCGGGAAGGGTAAACCAGGCAATGGCGTAGGGTCGGAGGGGTAGGAATCACGGAAACTCATTATTCTATTACCTTCAGTTCAAAGCCATGAAATTTCAGGTATCTGGAAAGGGGAACTGTAATTCATCCAGCAACGTGGCGGGGGTACGCCGAAGCAAAGCAGGCGAGCCAAAACTCGACGGGGAGCGTACATGCCTGATGGATGCCCAGCTGACCGATAGATGGGGAGTGACAGGCTTAGCTGGCACAACCCTTTCATTGATGCACAGCCTATAAAAGCCTCACTGCCCCCTTTGGTATATGAAGAAAATATGAAGAAAGAGTCGATGTGGCAGAGTCACCATTTCAACCAGACATTGTGTTGGGGGAAAAACGAACAACACCCACAGCTGTTAGCGAGCTTGAAATGCAGACTGCCAACCACACCAAAATCTAACAACCTTCCACAACAGCTATGAAAAGGAGGTTTTGAGTTGTGTGTGTATTCTCATTTGATCAAATGGTTCACGTTTACAGCTAGTCAATTGACCTATCGTAGCCGCCGTAACGTTGCAAAAGACGCATCTTTCATAAGAAGGGATTTTCAAAAGTGAAAATAAGAAGGGGGTAAAAAGGATGTCTTTTTCTACGGATGCCGAAAAATAGCTAATTTATCTACCCGGCCAATTTGACAAGTGGGCCCCGACTCAACATCCTCAACTATGTCTGAAACCTACAGATGATATGGCGCAAAAAGATGATCTCGGTGCCCCAGCACACAGAGCACGTAGTACAAGAAATAACCTGAGCTTCCAAGAGGCAATACAGAGTACTGGCCGTTTAGTCTCCCTGGGTTCCAACAATCTAACCTAGGTCGGCGGGAGCTGAATCCATCACATCTGCGTGACTTGCGCCACCTTGCAGAGTATGCATGCCAAGACTTCTTCTGTTATCTCTATTGCTCGCGTATGTGCCCTGGAACAATGGCACCTATCAGATCAAAGATCTTGGAGTCGCGTGATGGATAAGACTCCCACTAACGATATCGCGAGGGGTAGGCGGAGCCGAGGAGTGAACAAACTGCGCCGACAACCGAAACTTGATAGGTATAAATAGGGCATGTAGTAGACAGTAACCTGACGGACTTTTGTTCCAACCATCATCTGCCTTCCCTCTCATAAAGCATCATTATCAGAAATATCTCTTTCCGAAAGGTGAGTTTAGAATGAGACCCCCAAAAGAGCCAGACTAAATGATCCAGGACAGGACCTTTGGACAATCAATCCCTACTTTCATCAGCAATCATGAACGACGACGGACAGCCAAACTCGACCACCTCGAATTTGGGCGAGGGAGGGTACTAAGTGAGAAATGGTGCAGCTAGCCAGCAACTGGCGGGCGAAGCCGAGAAGCGAGCTGTCTCAAATGTGCCTCAAATGACGGGGGGTTTGTATTTTGAAATCAGGATTATTTAGCTTCTGACTTATTATTGGGCTTTTAACTTGATACTTCTGTTGTCATTGCCGAATGACATAGCACAGCCTGATGGAAGAAGTCGCGCAAGTGAAGTTGAGATACAAACGATCGATACCTGAATATCAACCCTTTCTTCTCCTAGTACAGAAGAACTCACATGACAACTTTGTGATATGTAAAAGGTCACGCAGACGAGATGTTTGATGAGAGTAAGGAAGCGAATACTGCCAGCTCTACATTCTATCTAGATAATTACGACTGATCGAGGGCCAATGGTCTGACGCTTGAGTGGACCCAAAATGATCACGCTGCATAGGCTTACAACAGCTGCAGGCGAGTTGGTGAGTTGGCAGTGCTACGGCTGATATCACTAAATCTGATTGGGTTTGATCTCCTCATGGTGTTTCCTCCTAACTTCATCGGCAGGAGCTGAAAACAAAGAGGCGTTAAGGCCAGTCTAGGCCCTCTTACCCCTGGCCACCTGTTTGATATGGTGTGGTTCGGTTGACATTTTTCATTAATCGCGGCAATTGTGAAAAGTGTGTCTAGTTGCTTGATAAGGCATATGCTTTTCCCTATATGTCATGGCTGAAGAGTCACCGAGGCCTCAATAGCCTCTGATCAAGGCGCACGAGGCTCACGAAATGGGTTATAATACACGTAACTTATATTAAAAGTCGCTAGAGAAGTAGAATCCGGTTCCGACGAAGTAGAAGAAAACACCTTTGCCTCCCTTCTCTAACGGGACACTTAACGGTAGTCCACCGTTGCCATGCAGTAATATTGCCAATAGTATAGCTGATTATTACCCGCTCCGGAAAGTAACACCCTTCACTTTGATGTGTACGTCACTAATTCTATGGCATCGGCGATACCTATTCTGTTCATCAATCTGGTTAATGATCCCAATGATATCAATAGTGGATGAGTTGTTGCACTTTAATTGGACTTATATTAATTACTATGACAGTCGAGTTTTATTATGAGGCAGCTCTACATTGCGTTACATTCAATGTGTCCTGCCAAGGCCTGCCCCTTACGCCGAAAAGTGAAAAGCACCATGTTCAGAAAATAGTAGACATCCTCCTATGAGGTCTACCGATATCCAGGCACAGCACGCCCAGGAAGCAAGACCTCTGTACAATTATTTCCAAGAGAAGCTCCAGGCGTCCTCTTTCGTTCCAAGCGCTACGGAAGCCTACACCCTGGCATGCACCTTGGCCCGCTGAATTTGAAACCCATCATACGCCTCAATGGCGAGCTCTTTCCGCAGTCGCTCAGCTGCCTTCTTGATGAGACGATGCGTCGGCTCCTCCCTGTCCGATTTGTGTTCTTCGTAGTGGAATTTGCTTCGGCCAACATCCCAGACGAACATTCCCCTCCGCAGGGGATGATACTCATAGACCTGGTGTCTCTTCAAGCTGCCACGGCTGAACTCGGCCGCCAGCGCCTTCTCTTTGAAGACGTACAATGCGTCAAGTTTGAAGTAGTACTCGAAAACACCTCCGAGCGAGGCTTTCATCTGCAACAGCGAATCCGACACGGCGAGGTGCTTGACAAAGGTCTTGAGCATGATGGTCTCCCCTTCCAGGTCGGGCTGCAGCTGGCGATTAATTGGCTCCCGGATGAACTCCCACCATTTCTCGGTGGGAACATAGAGTGCATCCCGATCAGGGTCGAAGTAGCGAATGAAGCTCGGTCGCCGGTTCTCATTGTGGCGGATGTCCAAACCCTGGGCGCGGATCCATCCGAGGGCGTGGCGGCGAGCTTCGCGATTGACAAATGCTAATGGAATGTCGTACTGGGCCGGCGTGAGCAGTTTGTAGTCAAACTCCATGTTGAGATTGCAATCCTCGTTGACGGCATCGTAGTCTTCGTCGCCCGGCATGAGGCGACGCGGCCGCCAGCAGCCTTTTTGGTAGAGGAACAGCGCCGGGCGAGTCGCGTCAGGCAGCGCATCGTGCCAGATCTGGTCGCGGATCTCAGGCGGAAGAAGGGAGAAGTGATGGAAGCTGGCGTGATTTTCCGGCGCCATTGTCAGCGTGTTGTGTTGGTGGGTGGAGTGAGGGGATTATTTTGGCGGCAGCAAATTGTGAGCAAATAGAAGATTTCAAACAAGCAACAATCAGTAAAACGAGTCTGGGAGCGTGACTTTCTAAATGCCTTGAGTGCGGGGGCAAATATTCATGCACAATGGTGGTGCTGATCCGGGGCTATGGCCCGAAAGCCGACCCAGAACGGCGCTGAAGCATGATGAAACACGGCTGATTGGAAGAGCTCACGTCGTTGGTTGGGCATTTGTGCTGGTCTGGCTTGGCATCGCCTTACAAACTCGTCTTACTTGCAGCAAAGCCAGGCAGAACGGAGAAGAATAAAAATATAAGGGTCCGTCTGACCTCGCCATCGATTGAGGCTGTGGTTGATCTTACTCTTCGGTTCTCCTCCTCCACTTCGCTTCTTCCAGTCCGTGCAAGTTGCCGCTGGCAGGCATTTGCATTTTTTTCCTAATCTGAATCTGATCTCCAGCGCCTGGTGCGCTGTAAGTTCCCATAATGGCCAGTCTCAAGGCACTGGTCTTCGGCCTGCTCCTCCTCATCAGCCAGGCCCTCGCCTCCCGCGTCGTCTTCCTCGGCCGATTCGCAGACCCGACCAAGCCCGACCAGGTCAAGAAGCCCTCGCGCACGACCAAGAGCCTCCAGATGCCCGACGACAAGGCGAGCCAGGCCATGGCCAGGATGAAGGCCTGGTCCAACAACAAGTACCAGGCCAACCCGGGCGACCACAACACCGTGCAGATCAGCAACGTCGCCCTGGCCAAGACGCGTCCCGAGGCGACCAAGATGGTGGAGGAGATGCAGGCGATCATCAATAAGAACTACAAGGCCGGCGACAAGACGATCAAGGACAGGTTCACGGTCGGGCGCAAGCAGCTGCAGCACGCGGTCAAGTCGGGCATCAAGAAGACGACCAAGGCGATCTTGCCGGCCAAGAAGAACACCAACACGCTGCAGAGGCCCAAGCTTCGAAGACGGCGGGAGCGACAGGCAATTGAGTGGGAGGCATGAGGGTACTCATCCGCGGAGAATAAGTCTACTAGGAACAAGATCGGAATTTAATTGACACATCTCGGTCAATCTGCAGTGGTATCATAGTATCTTCATCCAAAAATATATACCCAAGAGCCTATTCTACTCTATGGAATGCAAACCTGTAGTTCTATTTTCACCTCAACCCTCACAGCCATAAAGCCCATACAAACATAATCGTCATTAAACCTGTCATGCCCACCCCATAAGTCGATGCCGCCGAATCGTCGTTCTCTTGTTGCTTATCGCTCCCGGTGTTGGTCGTCTTGGGGACATCCGTCGAGTTCACCTTGTCCCACGTCTTGTTGTACGACACCCCAACATCGTCCGTGACGGTGGCATTCGCCTTCGATCCAGGTCCGTCCACGGAGCCGGGAACGCAGATGGTCGAGTTGCCGCTGGCGTACGTGACCGCCGCCCGCCACAGCTTGGAGATGTCGCGCACCCTTTCGCCCGTCCAGAAGAGTCGGCAGTTGGCGCCCTCGTAGACAAACTGTCGCGGCACGTCGTCTTTCGCCCGGATGACCGTGTCGAGAGCATTAATCCCTCCACCTCCCACCCTCCAAGGCGTCTCGGCGAACGTCATCGGCAGATTGTTCACATCCTCGGCCGTCACGCCCAGAATCGAGAGCACCTGTCTGGGGTTCCTGGCCAGGCTGATCATGTACTGGACAGTCGTCTTCACGTCGCTGAGGGCGTCGAGAGTGCGCACGTTGTGGCCTCGAGTGCCCCCTGCGACCTGCATGGGCCCGTATCCCGGAACTCCGCCCACGACGACGCTCTTAACGCCCGCATCGTTCTTCATCAGGGCGTGCAGCACGGCACAAGTGCTCCCGCAGAGCCCGTCGCTCAGAAGAATGACGTTCTCCGCCTTCCAGGTCTCGTTGTAGATGGGAAGGTTGTTCCCGTAGCCGGCGACATAGAAGCCCAGCGACCTCGCAATCGACCTGCTGTCCAGGTTATACTGGGCATTCTTGGTGAAGTTATCCCCCTGGTTCTGAACGGGTCCGAAATAGTCATCGTAGGAATCCCAGCTCGAGTTATCGGCCTTCAGCAGCACACCGGTGTTCAACTCACCAGCGGCGCCCAGCACCGTAATGTCGCCAGCATCAAACGAGTCGAAGGACCTGCTGCTATTGATCACGTTCGTCACAATGTTACCCAGCGTCTTCAAGTCCGACGAGGCGCGCGCACGGAACAGGGTGTTGGGCAGCGCGCTGGGGAAGAAGAGGCGGAACATGTCGTACGCTAGCAGCAGCGAGCCGCCGCGGTTGCCCATGACGTCGATGACGATCTTCTCCATGCCGGCGCTCTGGGCCTCCCTGATGAACTTCCTGACGGCGGAGCTGAAGGTCGCGGGGCTCACATCACTGGATGTCTGGAAGCTGGGCACGCTCAGGACGCCGATCTTCTCGTCCCTAAGGAAGTACCCCGAGATCATGCCGCCCTCTCCAAAGTCGGACTGCACCAGGTCGGGGTCGCTGGGATAGCCGAAGTAAGGGACGGAGCTGACGGCGCTTCTGGGAGCGAGGACGGCCCGGTCCCAGTCTGCCGCCGCCTCCAGTTCTCGAGAGTCGACGTGTAGTTCGTATTCCTTCTCTAGATTAGCCCTCGAGGCGAAATTGCTGCTGGAAGTCGAGTTCCGGTTCTTGACTTCGGTTCCGTATATAGCTGTGCCGTTGTTGTATCTATATCTAGTCAAGTCCCTAGTCGATCCGGCCTTGTATGGCCACTCAAATTCAGTTCCGTTAGCGTAACGGCCCTTGAGCGACGCGCCGTTGTAGATCTGGGTCGTCTGGAATGCGCTGTAGTGCAAACTCTGCTTGCCCCGGCCGGTGGTGCTGAAATCGGCGGCCGGGTTCTCCATCAGCGAGTTCCAGTCGGCGTTTGGATCGTTGAAACCCAGAAAATACGTCCGCTCCAGGTAGCCTCGGAGGTAGGCGAAGGCGGACTGGCCCTCCAGCTCCACGACCGCAGACGCATTCTGCACATTATTCGTGATGTCGGACCAGGCGAAGAGCTGGGGGAGGCTCTGCCCGTCCGACGAGATTGCGGTGAGTGAATCCGGCAAAGTCCAGTGGAATAGTCCCAGAACTCCAGAATATACGTAGAAGTGGTAGTCGTTGACATCGCGAATGATGCTTTGAACAGCCAGGTCGAACTCGTACTGGTTCTTGTACTCTCCCGACTCGAGCTTGGTCTTGATCGCATCGAAGCGCCCCATAACATCCACTGGTAACCGCTGATAGGATTTAGGAGGGTCTTTGAGGTACGCAAGCGAGCTTTGAAGCGAGAAATAATTCTTGAAAACATCGATCATCGTGCTGGCTTCCTCAGCGACCAGCGGGACGGACGTGATGCACTCGTAGGCCTTTTCCGCATCAAAGTTTACCAGGTACTTCATGTCGGTTGCGTACGTTACATTCACGCTCCTGAGGTTCTGTTTCTGCTCGTCCATGATGGCCCGGCAAGGATTGACCTCATTCTGGTTCTGGGCGCGGGCACCAGAGAGCTGGAGCGCAGCCAGCGAGGCCACAACAAGCCCCTTTGGATACATCATCTTTGACGAGTAGAAGAAGTCAATATCTGGGGAACATCATCAATCGCCCGGGCCCTTAAATTAATCTGGGCTGGCGGCGTTACATATAGCCCGACTCATCCTTGTCCAGACGCTTCGCCAAGCCAGTCGTGGCGCTTGGCGTTTCCACCCATACACCACCAAATTTGGGAGGGATTCTATTCTTAACGCCTTAGTTTCCAGTGCTCTGACTAGTGAAGAGGTGGCGATCGCAGAAATTTCAGAATTTCAACGGCATGAGCCGTTAAAGATAGCGGTTGCCATCAAGGGTGTTTCCAGACCTCCGCTGCTCGTCCATCCTGACTTAGAGAAGCCCAGCAGGGGAGAGTGAACGGAATACATATGTATATAGACTAGGCAGCCAGCCTGCAGCCACCCACCTGAGCGTTATAGGGCTGCGATAGGCCCTTGTCGGTACTAGAGGCGCAGCAGGAAATGGGCTGAAATGACCAACGCCGCCAAGACACCCACAAAGGAAATTCGCCTTCAACAGCGTTGCCTAGAAATTTCCCTGATTAAGTATGTGCTACAAGATACGCCAGGGCCATGTTAGAGCATGATCTCACAATCAAATCAAACTGGCTATATTTAGAGGGCAATCTTTCTGTTATTGTGATTAGACGATTAATCAGTTTCGATAATCTCCCGCATCACTCCAGAATAAAGAGCAGGCAGAGCCACAGGAGGTAAACCATGGGGCAAGCCCAGGCTAGGCAGCATAGCCACCTCCATTTCACCCGTCCAGCTAGTTGCTGGGATCGGCGCAGGACTGGCTGTGGCAACTTTAGGCAGTGACAAGATACAGCGTCTCCTTCGGCATTAAAAGTGACGTAGTTGACTTGGCAAATGATCAGCTCCCGTTTGGAAGAACTTCGAGTCTATTTGTAGCGGATAGCGATATGGTACTCTCTTTTGCTAGGTAATCTAAATGATAAAATACCACCCAACCACGCTCGCAATAGCGGCACCAAAAGACAGATTACTGCATCTTCCCATCACCCCATTTGTATTTGTCTCTGCCGATGTCGAAGTCGCGGCAGCTGCTACAGAAGCGTCGGATGACGATCCAGACGTCGTGGGCGTCGACTCAGAAGTCGCAGTTGCCGAGCCGGAAGTTGGCTCGGAGTCGCTCTGCCGTGTCGTAGATTGCGCAACCGAAGTCCCGATGGAAGAACCCGGTGATGGTTCCAGATTCTCGAAACCCGCCGTGACGGTCACGGGAGTGCGCCGCTCACTGAGACCGCTCTCCGTGACCGTCGTCGTGGTACGTCTCGATTCGGTCGTCGGTCGGTTCAAGAGCACAACGTCTGTGCATACGGCGACGTCGCCCTCGTCATCAAGGGAGCACTCTCGGTGACTCGCCCTAACGCAGCATCTCAATTAGGTATATGCCGATAACAGGGAGCTGGGGTAACCAGGCTTACCATTGAACCACCGACTTCACGTCTGGCTGGGTAAGTGTACGCAGCGGGTCGTCGTAAATGAAGGTCGTTGGCCCATAAGTGACGGTGCTGCCGTACATGTACTGGCCGCAGAGCGTGGTCCCGGGCGGGCACGCGAGCTTCAGAGCCGTCTTGTTCGCGTCGGCAGAGACGATGGACCCCATGACCCCGTAAGCGAACTGGTCAGCATTGGGGAGGTACACGCTCGCGGTTGCCTGGGTGGTTGTTTGCTGCGAGTACACACCCGTGCAGGCCAAGAAGCCGATCGCGGCGGCAAATGTGTAGCGAGCCATCGTAACTAGCCGCAGCAGCCCTTCCTGAAGGTGGCGGAATATGGGCGAGACGTCTCGTTCACAAAGCTGGCGGGTCTTTTAGCATTTAAAAAAACAGCACAAGCTCTTGGCGAATGAGCCCGTTGAGTACCCTGTCTGAAACAGCGGGCTTACACGAGGACCCAGGATCCATGTTGATCAATGCACGTAGCTGATGCGTGCATTCCTATGGACAGAGATACGACTTTCGTCTGGATTATGGAATGGCTCCAGTGTATGTTTCAAGGTTCTGCAATACTGAGCGCCTCCACCTTGTCAACATGTTAGAGGCAAAGGGTTGAACACAACAGCTAGTCAAGCGATGCCAGGCCTCCGTAAATATCTAATATGACACCCTCTGAACACAGCGCTAATGGATGGCGATCAAAAGCGAAACAAAACCGACATCAATCTTTTGAGACCTAAGAATATCTTGCGTCTACCAAACTAGATAGTTTAGCGGTTAAGATACTAAAATTCTCTATGCAGCTTCTAAGATCGCTTGAGAGGCCTCAAGATGCCTCCTCTTGAAAGAGCCCCAGCCTAGGTGCCACTTTCAGCGAGTTGTCAAATGTAACCCAGAATATCATCTTCCAATAAATTAGGTCTGAGGGAAGTCGGCCGCAATATGCGAGATAAATCGTAACAAGCCAGGTTCATCTTCCCTGTTAGATGAGTTAGTTCTAGTACATACTATCAAACAGCTGCTTCATATATCTAGCAAAGACTGCAGATTTCGGCTTAGCACGATAAAATGAGAATCACTCATAGAAGTGACGATACAAGTACCAGTTTATGAATCCCGGGGTTGAGTCATGACCCAGACTCCCCTGAAATCAGCTAAACTCATGTAATGAAAGCTAATTTCCATCATATAATACAGATTATACAGAACCCTTCGGGCTACGAGTTTATACATATGTGCTAGAAGACATAGGGATTACAACATGTTTCTTTAGTCAAGAGCTTATTATCAAATTTCTTCAACCACGGCGTGAATACTGAGCTAGCCTTGTATAGAATGTCATACGCTATGCATATGAAACAGGATATGGGAAGATTAAGCCCAACCCCACAGTAAAAAACCTATGGCAGCTTACACGTAGCATACAAGACTGTAAAGTCTGTCTTTCTGTTTAAGCCTGGCTGAAGATCATGAAGCGAGTAGATGACGCACGGTGACTGATGAAAACACAAGGCCAGCTTCTCGCCACATCCAAGTGCGAGGCATCTTTCATAACCAAGACTATGAAAAGAACACACGTCGCAGGACTATACTTGGGAAATTTTGTTACGCTCGCGCAAGGAGTTCACAAAAAGGTTACAATTAGAAGCCGCATTGTTAAAAAGAAATTTTCAGTACAACAGCCAAGCCATTGCGTCGTAAATTAAATTGGTATCCATCAAAAAACTATCATAAAGCTAAAAGAATTCTCACTTAAAGAGAAAATTGAACATCGCTCTCGTTCGGTAACATCATAACACGCCTCAAGACAGCAGCTTTTTCTCGTGAGGCGCTTAGAAGGAGTCCTCAAAGGACTCTTCTTCACGGCGATGGTGGCTCAGGGACTTGGCCCTCTGGAGATGGCCAGGGGCGGGAGGAGCACGACGGTGGTGGCTGAGAGACTTGGCACGCTGCAGGTGGCCAGGTGCAGGAGGAGCACGTCGGTGGTGGCTCAGAGACTTAGCACGCTGCAGGTGGCCAGGTGCGGGAGGAGCACGGCGGTGGTGGCTGAGAGACTTGGCCCTCTGGAGATGGCCGGGTGCGGGAGGAGCGCGCTCCTCAAGCTCATCACGGCGGTGGTGACTAAGAGACTTAGCACGCTGAAGGTGGCCAGGTGCGGGAGGAGCACGGCGGTGGTGACTGAGAGACTTGGCCCTCTGTAGATGACCAGGTCCGGGAGGAGCGCGCTCCTCGAGTTCTTCACGGCGATGGTGGCTCAGAGACTTGGCCCTCTGGAGATGGCCGGGTGCGGGAGGAGCGCGCTCCTCAAGCTCATCACGGCGGTGGTGGCTAAGAGACTTAGCACGCTGAAGGTGGCCAGGTGCGGGAGGAGCACGCTCCTCAAGTTCTTCACGGCGGTGGTGGCTAAGAGACTTGGCACGGTGGAGGTGGCCAGGCTGGGGAGGGCCGCGAACGTCTAGGTCTTGATCGTTGAGGGCGATGTCACGAGCTTCGACCAGGCTAGAAACGGGCAGGGCGACTGCCACGCTGGCGACACCCAAGAGGATGGCCGTGAGATTCTTAATAGCAACCATGATTGCGGATTGAAACCAACCAAATAAATATACGAGAAAGACAAGGTTGGCAAAAGGTTGATGGAAAAACAAATCCTATGAGACCAGCTCAAAGGGGTGAAGAAGCGAATTGAGAAGAAAAGGAAAAGAGAAAAGAAGAAAAGGCTGAATGATGTTGTTGAGAATGACTCTGAGAAGAGAATGTGGACGGAGGGCCGCCTTGATATACTTTGTTCAAGGCTGCTACCCCGGCATCGTCACGGAGCTCGTAAATCCTTCCTTGTAATTACGATGTGGTTCCAATGGCAGTTGGAGATTGCGTAGGGCCAGAGATCTGTTGCTCCGGCCCCTGTTGCTGTTGGCCAGCTAGTCCGTTCTTTCACGGTCACGGTGAGGAATCGGACCATGGCGAATGAGACGGCTCACCTGTTGACAAGTAGACCAACACCAATAATGAGTGGCATCCTCTTGCTCAGGGGTTGCTCTGGGCCACTGTGGAGGCTGGATCCATCCTCACACACTAGAGGAATCAGACCCCAGATAGCGACGCTATTAATAAAATTTGGAATCGGTTTCGCGGAGGCTTTTCCCAGATCCAGTCATCTCACAAGTTGCTTTCAGAAATCTACAGGCATATTCTTGTCCATCGTTTCATGGTTCGTATCATTGCAACGACAGTGTATTCCTCACAACAACTCACCAGTCGTTGGTGCTGATCCCTTCCTTCTCTACACGCTGACGTCCTAGCGCGCCCGGATGAATCCCTGTGGTAATAAAACACCAGTTCACGCGTCGAGGCTCCACAGCGTAGAAGGATCAACAGAGCACCAACACACGGGCATCTATCTACCGAAGTCTCTATATCGGACTGCCGCGCGGCACACGACATCCTCAATCATGAGCACGAAGAACTTGACAGAACCGTCGAGCCGTAAAGTATGATCCATAGAGTCTGAGTGAGGACAGGCAGGATAGTAAGGTAGCTCCTCGGTGCTGTCACTCGGCCTTGGCTGATGTGATTTGGGCAGTCAATCGATCCTCATGCTTTTTTTCGAGTAAATTTAACTCTCTTCATAACGTCCTCAAGATCTTATCTTGATGCATACTAAATACTATATACATTTATTCGACGAACATCATTTCCCATTAGTTCTTCAAACTGGTGTTGTTGTATAATTTATTGTGATAATTTTGGAATGCTTGATGTTCGGGTGGGTGTCAGTCTCAGCGAGGTGACTGTTGGTCTCAATCACCAGTCGTACTCACTTCCTCGCCTCGAACGGCCAATTCATAGTGCCACTGGGGATATACACTAAATTTATTATTGCAACGGCTTTCCAGCGGTGATTGTCATCCCAGATGTCAAAGTATAACACCGAGCAAGGCTTAGGTGTGGTAGTGTAGGGTAGGTTGTTTACTTGTGATGACGATCCTCGGACGGCGAGCTGAAAAACGCTGAAGTCTCCACCCAGAAGCTGTCCGTCGTGCCTCGGCATTCACCCGCAATCTCGGGTTTGAATGCCCCACCATAACAATGCCCGTTGAAGTCGGCTATGATTTCTTCGAAGCATCAGCATAACAGGACAGCCAGATATCAATGTTGTGAATACTTACTTGCCCTGTGCGCGACTTCCAACAGGAGTGCCGCAAAAAAGGGTTTCTTAGCTACCACATCGGCATTTGTCCATTTCATGTGCCTTCGGTATTAGTCTTCGGTCCCGATACAGGGATACGGATAGCATCATCCGCGTTCTTGTTCAACTACAGTAACACGTAATTTAACGTTATTGTGACAAGAATAGCCAAAAAAACTACATTTACTTCGCTATCTCTTGTTAGCTGTTTCGGCCGTCACTCGCCCTACCCCATCATCAGTTTGGTCCCTACCCTCAGTTCAGACCTCATGAAAATACTAGTAGCCCATTCAACATAAGAGGGCTTTTAGGGATATTCTTATTACCTGAAGCTCATGAGCTTTAAGAAAGCAATTACTCCATCAGGGAACTGAGTCTTTAATGGCGTTATTGGGCCGAATCCGTTCGCTTTCGCACAGGCATGCAACTGAGCGGGCCCAAAGACTAGGAACGAGGAATAATCCTCCCCGGCAGATTCATGCACCAAGGTGGGCGTTTCATCTGCGTCATCCTGTTTCTTACAAGCGACCAATGAGTTACCCTCGGCTCGCAAAGAGAATCGAAATACTTCCGGGTTGAAAGACGTATGCAGGCTCCCAGCTTTCTTCTCCAAAGCCCCGAGCTTATAGAAGATGGGGAATATATGCTTCAGTCAGGTATGTTTATGGCGGGCTAGACCAGGGATGAAAGCTTTCAAATAGGAAAAAAGATAAGATTTTTGATGGCTTATAAAGGATGTTTTAATATTGAAGGAGTTATACTAGGTATCATATTAACTTATTAATTTATATTAGATTAATTCCTTTCTTTGTTTGTAAGCTATAATATCCCACCTAGCATTAATGTAACTATAAAAATGAGGAGAAAATCGGTGATGGAAAGAATAGATAAAATAACATTAACATAATATACGTAGCCATACGGCCACGAAATAGGGCTCAGTGGTCCTTATGAAGTTCCCCTTGTCTTTTTTCCACCAGAGTCTTTGCTATAGACTTGATGCTCCTCTTTGTGTCAAGAAGTTCAAGCATACTTATATCACTCCCAAAAGCCAGACTGAACCAATGTCTTAGCTCTGCCGCAATGAGACTATCCACGCCATAGTCAGATACAGATCGGGATGGGCTGACTTGTGCCGCGTCGATAAACACCATCTGAGCCACTGTACTAGCAATGGCTGCAGCGGCAAGATCTTCCGCTGCAACTAACCCATCGTTTGACTGAAGCGAATCCTGGAATTGCCGCCGTATACGCGTTGCGGATGATTCGTCGGCCGCGTCATCTCGACCTTCCCTCGAAGGGTCGTACAAGATGGCATCTTCCATACTCCGCATCACGAGCGAAACACGTGCATCGGAATACCATCTTGGCCGGAGACCCTTTGCATCTGTACGTGCGGCCTCATCAGCCGCCAGAACAGCCGGGTCAAATGAGGTGACGTATCCAGTTGTTGATAGTGGATCATCGGCCTGACCAGACCATTCAGCTATACCTTGACCGCCGGGTTGACGGAAAAAAGCAGGCTCCAAGAGGCGAAGGAACTGATATTCCGTGAGAGTCTGCAGTTTGTTACGGAATCCCATATTCGCTGTGACAATGTTGGTACTGAGGTGGCCAAGATCTGAGACAAAGCCAAAGGCTACAGTGGAAGCTACTAATCCCTGACTGCGCCGGTATCTAGCAAACAATTCTTGGAAGTTATTTGCAGCCGTGTATGCGCTTTGTGTGGCCAGTCCCAGATATGGCTCGGTTGAAGTTACCAAAACGAAAAAGTCAAGGTTCAAACACTTGGTTGCTTCATGCAAGTTTTTGGTTCCTTGTACTTTCGCTTGTAGGCCCAAGTTCCACTGGTCTGCTGTTAACTTGTGAAATGACAAGTCCTAAAGAAACATCTGGTGTTAGCTATTGATGGTTAAAAGGCTTTGCTTTTCAAATTTTACTTACTTGGTAGGATACTGCCGCGTGAACGATGCCCTGAATAGGCCGTACTGACGAGGCTTCGGCAACAATCCTCGACACATCTGCAACATTGCCCACATCACATGATACAGACTTTACACTGATTCCCTGAGAGGCCAAGTCTGAAATTAGACTCGTAGCCTCTGGACTTTGGGCACCACTTCGCGTGAGGACCAACAAATGGCGACATCCTCGTCCTGCCATCCAACGAATAATACTTCTTCCCAGCCCACCGAAACCACCAACTATGATCGCCACCTTCTCTCGTGAAAACTTGGCACGAAGGGGCGAGGGAATCATTTTTACATGAGACGCAGGGTTTTGATAGGTCATGACTATTTTCCCAATATGTTTGCCCTTGGAGAATTGGAGCAAGGCCGTAGCCAACTCTGAGATGTCGTAGGTGGTGATCTGTGGAATTGGGCCAATCCGGCCGGCTCGGTAATGAGCTTCCAGAGACTCCATCAAGGTCTGCCCCATGGCTGGTGCTGCATCGAGTACCACGCCCAGATCAAACGAACAAAATGACACACTCTTCTTGAACAGCTCGAGTTCCAGTGTTTTGGAGTTTTGTACGTCGACACGCCCAACATCGATGTAACGCCCCAGTGGCGCAAGTGCTCGAATAGACTCTTGCATCGTATCTGCTTGAGATGTACCAAGGATGATATCGAAACCCTTGCCACCGCTGGCGCGGATCATCTCGGCAACTTTCACGGTGCCACGGGAAGAGAAGATCCTAGACTCGTCCATTCCCATCACCTCGACCAGATAATTACGTTTCTCTGCGGTCCCAACAGTTGCAAATACATCTGCACCCATGCTTTTCGCAAATCGCAACGCAGCAAGCCCTAAGCCTCCTGTAGCAGACTGGATCAAGACCTTGTCTCCTTGTTTAAGGCGAGTGATGTGTTCGAAAGCGTACAACACTGTCATGTACACCAAGGGCATGGATGCGACTTGTACTAAATCATCCTCGTGCTTGAGACGTTGAGCCCAGATGGCGGGTGCTCTGACCACATTGCCCAGATATCCCTTTCCAAAGGCATACACATTGTCACCGACGGAAACGTTTCGGACATCTGATCCTACTTGCTCCACGACACCACAGTACTCGCCAGATAGAGCGTTTTGGTCAATACGACCAGAGCAGGAGGCAATGTCTTTCCAGTTCAACCCACTCGCGAGAACCTTGACTTGAATCCAGTCCTCGGGTAGCTCCTGAGTTGCTTCCTCGAACGGCTTGAAGAACAAGGAAGAAAGCACACCGGGAACCTCAAAGTCAGCACGAATGGGTTCTTGTCCATGGAACGGAAGTGAGACAGCAAGATCGGAAGGCATATCGGCCAGGACGGCGTTTTCATGAAGTGCTACGTCGGGGACAAGTCTGCTGATCCATAGGCGACCATCTTGCCAAGCGAAGTCACGGTCCTCGTTTTCTTCATCAATAGGAACCTGTAACTGCGACTCTTGGTCAAGAATTACCTTGACCAAGGCCCCATCTTCCAACCTCTCCTCTGGATCGTAGTCGATAGACCTAAACCTTGATGTGGGAATCTCTGTGCCAAGCGTGCGTAGCAAGCCAGTGATGAGAGCCCCTTCTGGCCTTTTGGCTTTCAATATTCCGGATGCAGTAATCCACAGCACAGTAGATGCTGCAGTGACTGCTTCTCGAATGGATTTCAGGATACTCTCGTTGATATCAATCACCGCATCCTTCGGCTCAAGGAATACAACGAGTCGGCAACCAGCTTCGAATGTGTCGGCTGTCACTGCTGCTAGTTGAGTCGTGCTGTGGGGAATTTGGCGTCTTCCCAACTCTTCCGTGACCCTATCCACAAGAGCTGGTTTCTCAGAGCCATACAGTATATTAATACCGACATTGCTCTTTTCGTGCCCATCTCGATAGCTCTCAACAACGGGGTGTTTTGCCGTGGCTACCATAACTACCGCACGACTTTGTGGAGTTGCAAGGTCGTGCAGGAGAATGTCCACATCAGAAAACCCAGCTTTGGTCAGGCTTTTCTCCCAAGTGTCGAGGTTTAAGCAGGAGTCGTCTTCGGCACCAGCCCAGTAATCCGGCAATGCTCCCAAGATGAACTTTTGCCCAACAGTCTGCTCGATATTCTGAAGCAACAGTAATTTACCGCCTGGCTTCAAAAGCCTGCGGCAGTTTTCAAGCGCAACAGACATGCGCTTGGCGGTATAGAAGCGCTGTGACACAAATACTACATCGTATTTCTGTGTGAACTGTTGCTCCAAGACATCCTTTTCGATGTCCAGTACTGCAAATTTCAAAGCTGCGTATGAGTTGAGAGTGTCTCTGGCCTTGTTTACAGCGTCCTCCGAAACATCCGTGAAGGTGAAGTTTCTGTATCTCTTGACCATGTTCTTGGACGAGAGAGAATCCAGAATTACCTTTGTAGCGTTGCCGCGACCTCCGCCAACTTCAAGTAGCGTTAAGGAGGGGTCTGCGAAGCCCAGTGAGTCAAAGTAGCGAGCTAATTGAGGATAGAGGCTGGCGACAAAGATATCACTTTGGCCAATGTCAGCGAGGCCGTTCTTAGAGAGAACATCGATGCCTGTAATTTGACCGCTCAAAATGTCATTCATGTTTTGAAATAGAGTGTGGGCAGCCATAATTTCATGACTTTGGCCATGCTCATCAACCAACTTCTTCATGGCCTCGGCTCGTTGGGTCCCATCAAGCCTCTTAGCTTCTGTCATTAAATCAGACGTTTCCGAGGGTTGCGTTTTGATCCAGTGAATGTATTGCTTGGCACTCTCTGTAGTCTTGCTCAAATCCACTCCATTTGTCATATTGCTGGATATATCAGCCAAGATGAGTGAAGCCAGGCGGTCCAAGGCGTTCAGAACACCCTCATAGCCCTGCACAGCCTGGGGAGCTGCCAAATAGTCCCGAGCTTGGGATGCTTCTAATGTGCGTATGTCGGGTCTCCAGGCAAGTCTCCAGAAAGGATTGCTGTATGGCGCTCTGTACTCTCTCTCCGCTTTTATCTCAAAGTGAGACACGCAACGCAATCTGTCAATGTCCACAACCACCTCGCCGGATTGATTGTGAAGTTGCAAGCGGCCATATGCCCCGCGCAAACCGACTCTTTCTCCTTTCGCAATGGCGACACCCCAATCCTCTGTGTTGCCAAACTTGTAGAAAGCCCTGTCAACGTGAACAGGCACAAATGCACACGTGGCTTTTGCTGGCTGACCTCCATTCCAAGCAAAGGCTGACATTTGTTGAAGTGCATCAAGCGAAGCCGGATGGATGGGGTATGTAGATTGATACTCCTCCGTCGTGGTTCTCAAGTTGAGCTTCGCAACGGCCAATGACTCCGTTGGGTCGGCCCTGATATCAGAGACCCCCTGAAATGACGGCCCGTAATTGAATCCGATTTCTTTGAACCTTCGGTACCAGGCGGCCTTGTCTGCATGTCTAGGGTCCATTTCCTTCGACAACTTGACAAGGGCATGGCCAGCCTCGTCGCTGGTTTCTATTTTGGCGGACCCAGTGCAATGAACAGTCCATACGGCGGTTTCTCTGTCTAGAGAAGCTATCGAGAACTTTATCCACGATGGTGACTCTTCACTTCGAAGCTCGCCCGGTTCCACACTCGTAACCATTTCGACTCCTACATCATCCTCAGGGACCCGCATTGCAGTGATGAAGTCCACATTCCGAAGTGAGATCCCTGCTATGGCGCTGGGATTTGGCCGCTCGTGATACCACTGCTCTACAGCCGCCATCGCAGTTGTCATAAATGCAGATGCAGGGAAAACGACATGTGGTATTAACTTATGATCAGATAGCCACGGGAGGTCCTTCACACGCAGGATGTTGCGCCATTGGGGCGTTAGCTTGGAAGTTCCAGGAACTTTGGACCCTAGTAGGTCGTGTCGCTGGACTGTGCGCCCACGAAACTCTTTACTGAGAGAGCTTTCGCTGTATAGAATCGGGCCATAGGTATACCTGTATGGGGTCAACTGGGTCGCGGTGCACCCTACAGCGTATGAGAGATTCCCTTCGCTATCAAGACAATCAGTAGCGTTTACCCTGGCCATGTCTATGCGGGCGTTGACGGAAAATAATGTTCCAGCCATTCTCAGTAAAGCCAGTTGGTCATTCTGCCCCCTGATCAAACAAGAGACATATGGTAATTTCTTGGACACTCCGTTCATTATCTGTTGCAGGGGGCCTTTCAGAGCCGCGTGAGGCCCAATTTCTACCAACACGCCGACAGGCATATCCGTCATTTTGAGTAATCTGGAGACAGCGGCTGAGAACTGAACAGGTGACTCGAGGTTTGCCCGCCAATACGAAGCATCGATCGGTAAGTTTGTCGTATCCTTGAAAGGAAAGACTGAGGAAATCCAAGACACTGCATGCCGAAGGTTGAAACGGGAAGCATCCTTTCTTGGCAGCTCCTCTAAAGCACGAGCGAGCTGATCTTCGTAAGCCTGCCCGATGGAAAGCATGTGATGAGAATGATAGGCGTTGTCTCCCGTCCTGAGCTTTCGATTAAAGATCCCCAAATCATCCAAAGCCTGCGATATCTGTGTAATGGGCTCAGAGTCTCCAGATAACGTGACGCTCTGTGGCGAGTTGACAGCAGCGATGGTAACCCGACCATCAAAGCCTTCCAAATGATCAGCTACCTCCTCTCTGCCTAGCCCAACAGCCAACATCGCTCCTTGTTTCTGATTGGTAGAGATAGCACAGCCACGGAGATATGCTGCTGTAATAGCCTCTGCAGCAGTGATACGGCCAGCGGCGTAGGCTGCTGCGATCTCCCCAGATGAGTGGCCCGCTACAGCAGCTGGCATAATGTCCCATGATGCCAGAAGGTCGACAAGTCCAATCTGGACCGCAGTACAAACAGTCTGTGTAATGATAGGGATATTAATATCATGCTCTCTATATTCGCGATCGAGAACAGCCTGCAGAGTCCAGGAAGGGGGGTTGGGCAGTTGTTGAAGAATGTCATTCATATGAAGAATGGTTCTCTTGAAAACATGGTACTGGAAGAGATGGCGACCCATCCCATTCCACTGGGCGCCCTGGCCTGTGAATATGTAGGCTACACTCTGAGCATCCGTGTTGGCCACGGAAACGAGCTCTTCAGACTTGAGGCCGGCAATTAGGTCGTCTTTATCAGCGATGCGGAAAGTTCGACGAGGGAATTTGGTTCTTCGGTTAGACAAGGTGAATGCTAAATCAGCCACCGAGCATTTGTTGACATCAGATTGCGAAGCTTCAATGTTGAGTTTGAGAGACGTGTCGTGATGAGCTGAGAATGGCAGAATCAGGTACTGGCGTGTGTTTGAATCTGCTTTTTGGAGAAGAGGAACAGTGACGTTAAGCTCCCGGCTGGCCCCTCTGTCATCTATATTCTGGACAACTGCATGTTTCTCCTGCTCGCTATGGTTATGCGACTGGTCACTTCCATGTCCGTTTGTCTTATGATATCCATTGGACATTCCTCTCAGCCCAACGTCGTTGCCTTTGAAAACACCTGGCTTCACATACCCGGGGAGAACATTCTCAACGTGGTCTAGGATGCAGTGAGAATTGGCGCCTCCAAACCCGAAGTTGTTAATTCCGGCTCTTCGTAGCCTTCCATGCGGCCAGGGGGTAGGTTCTGTCACGATCTTAATGGCACCACCCCGAAGATCGATGTCAGGATTTAGGTTCGTCACTCCAATGGTTGGAGGAATGATGCCATTCTCCAGCGCCAAAACTACCTTCATAATACTGGCAATGGCGCTGGCGGCCTCAGTATGGCCCAGATTGGGTTTATTCGATCCAATCAGGAGGGGACTCTTCTGTCGTTCCGGCTTTAGAGCGGCTCCTAATCCATTAATCTCAATCGGATCTCCTACTGAGGTTCCAGTCCCGTGACTTTCAATATATGTTGTGTCTTCTATGCGAAGATCGCCAGCATTCTCGTATGCCTTACGAATGACAGCCTCTTGACCAGTCTCACTTGGTCGTGAGAGGCCTCCAGTCTTTCCATTGGCATTGATGGCTGTTCCGCGAATCACTGCTCTAATTGGGAGTCCTTCAGTAACAGCAATCGATAGCTTGGTTATATATAAGGCTGCGTAGCCTTCTCCTCTGCAGTAACCATCGGCAGAAGCGTCAAATGTGTGGCAACACGAGGTCGAGGAGAGAACTCCCAGGTTCTGGAGACTGATGTGGATATTTGGATCAAGAATACAGTTGCAACCTGAAACAATTGCCGAGCCACAGTCACCATTTCTGATTGCTGCGACGGCCATATGCAGAGCATACATCCCCGACGAGCAGGCTGTATCTAAAGTCACACTTGAAACTGTTAGTTGCTGTCGTTTTTGACAATCATCTCCTAGACAACGTACCTGGGGCCTTTCAAGTTGAAGGTATAGCTCACCCGATTGCTAAGAATAGCAAAAGCGGTACCAGTACTGGTGTACGGCCGCACGTACTCATCCCGCCCCTGAATGACGGCATGATCTGTCGAGAAGTTGCCAACGAAAACGCCCGTCTGAGACCCGGAGAAGCTTTCCCAAGGCACTCCCGCATTCTCAAAGGCCTCGTACACGACCTCGAGAAGCTTTCTTTGTGAGGGGTCCATGGTCTCCACTTCAGCCGCAGGGATAGAGAAGAACCCGTAGTCAAACAGACGAGGATCTTCGTTGAGCAGATGGGCCCCCTTGGTCGAAAACGTGCCTGGTCGGTTCTCTTTCCGGCTGTAGAATCCTTCGAGGCCGAACCGATGGTCGCCGAAGTCCTTGTACGAGGACCTCCGGTTGTTGAGGAGCTCCCATAGCTTGTGGCTGTCACTTACATCTCCAGACCAGCGACATCCTGCTCTAGTAGTCAGCGCGGATACAGACTCGATGGACTAAAATGGTAAGCTGATAGGTGGAACAGAGACATACCCATCCCGACAATGGCCACCAGCTCTCCGGAACTCCTCGCCGCCGTACAGGCGTCTCCGTTACGTAATCCGTTCATTGGTCAAGTTTTGGGTTTGTGTAGAGAGAATGGCTAAGTAGGTGGACATGAAACGGTATATCTTTGTCAAAAATGTCGCCAGGTATGCAGGTGCTAACGTGGTGGGACAGGCAGCGTGGTGGCTGGCGCGGACAGATCGATTTCTCTACGCCATGCCTGACCGGGGCTCTCTGATAACGGCCCTCGGAGTTCTAATACTTGGCGATCTTGAAAAACATTAGGCATTGACGGCTGATTCCCTGTAAGTCAGGAATCTGTGGGTTATCTCCCTTTACCTAACCTAGGCCGAGAACGTACGAATCACACCATTAACACGTCGTCCACTTTTGGCTACATCTTGATATGTCATTACGGGGCCTGACCTCCACCAGTCTGGACGATGGATTGAACGCGCTTGGCCAGCCAACGAATCGGCGCCACATGCTACGAGAGCAAGGGAGCTTGGCCTTTCAAGCAGGGTTGTAGCTAGAGCGATTGGCTAGATAATTGGGATCTTGGACGATGCCAGATTCTTGTGATCGGTGGTTTAACTAATTCAGGAAACTAGTATGGAGGATCTTGGCTAGCATCACTAGACGTATCTTGGCAACGCGAGCCTGGCAATGCCGAGGCTTACGCAGGGCTTGAGGGGAATGTGGGTGGGTGTCAAAGTAGCATGGCAGGATCAGGATGATCTTTGGTGTGTGTCGTATGCATTTCCACTCCTGCATAAATGTAACGGTGAAAGATGAACTCCACATCGGGCTTACTCAGGGTGTGAGGGTTCCATAGTTACGCAAGATATTGCCCTACTTAGCGAAGGAATCAGGCTGATCTTTGGTTGTGCCGTGTTCACATTCACCCATGCATAAATGTATGGGACCTAACAGAACGCGAGAGCAATGAAGTCAGTGGGGGCCAAATTAGGAAAGAGTCAAATCCATTCCCGAGAGTAAATTATGTCATTATATGGTTGGATTTGTTGCCGTATCAGTGATTTGTCTTCTTCCAAAGGATTGAGCGGTCAAGCCCGGATGAATGTCACAGTGAGTCACTCGTGCAAATATGTTAATAGCCGACGTCTCGCCTGTGAAACTTGAAAGTTTCATGCCTGCTCCTGCTCCAAATGCTATGCGTGAGAACCGTGACCTATCCGTACAACTCTTTAGATACATATTACTAGCAATAGTGTATATACATGAAGCTTTTGATTAGTCCCGCTGACTATGTATCCAGGTCGAGGTATTTTCCCATTCATGGGCCTTGGCCTAACCGCGTTTGGCTGGAAATATCGCCAAGATGTACCCCAATTTCATCAATCCTGGTGTACTTGCGGCCGGTCCCGGGTGTGGAGGAGGCCTCTGGATTGGACCATGAGTAACCTTGGTTGTTCGCCGAAGCCTTGGAGGGCGTCGTTCCTCCCTTTTGATTCCACTTGAGCGCTCTGGGCACCGAGGGTGCGCAGTAGATGATGATGGCGCAGGTCATCTCGGCGATGCACCACAAGGACATTGGGGGGATCGCGTAGCTGACATCTGAGCTTTTGAAGAAAACAATCGAATATGCAAGCCTGCAGATTCCTGCTATGCATCCACTTGAGCAACATATGTTAGCCGGGGCGTATTAAATGAACGGGAGCGTAATTGCGATCGGCGCGGAGGGACGCTTACAGAATACCAATAAGAAAGATGAGCGACACTCCAATCTTCTTTGCTTTCTTCATCTTCAATCTCCAAATAATTCTCTGCGGAATCACGAGAATTACCAGATCAAGCACGACATTGATAGCTGCGCCAGCCACGATCGTCGTGCTCGAATTGAAGTGCGTTACACCTGGGACGGTAAAGTTGAAATCTACAAATCACGCCAGTCAGCAAGGTGATCGATTGCCCCGGCTCTTGCAGGCCAGGGAGCAGGCAGGATCTTACTTCTGCGATATGGCCTGGCGGACACGTTCAATAAGATGATGGCAATGATGTAGAACGTGAGGTTCACTGCGATGGCCACCCACGACGTGTAGACGAAGCCGTTGCGCGTGCCCCTAGGGACAAAAATCTGGATCCATTCCACCAGAATCACCGTCTTCATTGCGGCCATTACGATGCTGTAGAAGTGAGACGCAATGTGAACAATCTTTTGAAGGTTAGCTCTGCAAGATGCATGATTTGAGAGCATCAAGGAGAGAAGCGCACCAGCAGCAGATCCAGGAATGTCCTCACAGACATGTCCCATTGGTGAACGAAGTAGCCTTGGGTGACGATGAGCCAGTAGGTCACAATGATGTACCCAACGAAAAATAGCTATTGCCAATTGTCAGTTGAGTCTGCCGACCTCGAAATCGAGATGGGAACAAAAATAGGGCATACATAAGCCAGTAGTGCGACGTCTGTTTACCGAGTCAGTTCAACTAATGCTCTTTGACCGCTCAGGTGTCAGTGCCACTCACAATCTGTCCATTTTGCCTGTTTCTTTCTCGCGATACAAGTAAATGCATGCAAGGCAGCGAACCCCGTCGATAGAATAAACAGAAGCGTTGTTACGGCGTGAGTGAGCGCATTCTGATTAGGCGGATGCTCCAGGTTGGGGATGATGCCCTCGGGCGGCGCCAATGCTGGGCCATTGAAAAAAGCCTCCTGTTGTTCCAGCGGGAGAAGATGGACTTGGTCGGGGGAAAATGCCATGTTCAATTCCTGGGAGATGGATGTCCGTCCACCTTGCACCAGCTTCAATGTCGAGGCAATTGGAAGAGGTGAAGATTGTCACGACGGCTTGTTCATGGATTTCCGACTACCTGATAACCAGCCTTCCTATTTGTTCCTTTCCTCGCACTCCATCTCGCATTCTAATACAGACACTGCCGGGCCAATGTCACATTCCTGATGGGTCTGGCGGCTCGCCACAGCCATCTAGCCAGAATCCTTTCGGCGTCTATCATCTTATGTACCTATTTAGACCGTCCAATGGCAGCTTCCAGCCAACCGCAGGGAGGGTTGCATCTGACACCGCCTGTGGTGTGTGGAGCGGATGGATGGATGGATGCAGGCTGATGGGTGCCGCACCGTATCACCGCGTCGCGTATAGCACAGTGCAGTGCCACTCTGGGGGCCACACACGCATTAATTTCCCCATGCATATGCATCAGCGTCAATATGGCATGACCGCTGGTGAGCTTGTTGGTTGCCCTCTGGTGCCGTGTCGGTTTCATAAGTCGGCGCGGCCGCTGCCACAACCTTCTCCTTTGGACGTTTGCTTTAGATGGACGGTTATCCCACGAAACAATTTTGATACCGGCAAATCACTACCGAAAACCACAGTATCTCATTTATCACGTAATATACTGATTCCCACATCTCAATGGCGTCTTCCGTGGCTAGCTCAGGCCCCGCATCATCATTCAATGACACGCACTGGGATGTTCTGTTCAAGCTTCTGGATGCCGTCGTTCCGCCCGTCGTTGTTGTTGCGGCAGACTCACCAGACAGTCATTCGAGTGCCATAACTATCTCGGAAGCCGAGTTTGCCAAGCTGTACAATGACTTGCAGTCGGATGTGAAAGACCCCCCCAGCGTCGAGGCATTCCGGGAATATCTCGCTGCCAGGGCCTCGCAGAATGGTGATTTCGTCAAGACCGTCAAGGACATGATCGACGGGCTGTCTCCGAGTGTGTGTGGCCAATTGCGCTTCATACTGGGGGCCATGGGGTTAGCCAAGCTACTCCCACTGAATGAGAAACAACGAAACATGGAAAAGGCTGACCTGAAAGTCATCTAGATCGCGACTCGGAGGTTTAATCTCCACCGGTTATTTTGTTCCGTTTGACAAGCAGCCGGCCCACACTCGTGAAGCCATCTTGCAGTCATGGACCACCTCCTGGTTTTCCTTGTGGCCGATGCTGGCAAGGACATTCCTCATCATGGCCAAGGCCTGTTGGGCTCGTTCGACTCCGTTGTTGGAGGAATTAACACATTATCAAAGTGCCATTCAAAGCCCGAAAGTCCAAACAGGTTCCCCTCACAACTTTAATTTCATGCAATTCAACGCATCCGAGCCTGCTGTGGTAGAGACCGACGTTGTCATTGTTGGATCAGGGTGTGGTGGGGGCGTATGCGCCAAATTACTGGCCGAAGCTGGACATCGAGTCCTCGTTGTTGACCGCGGGTACTACTTCCAGCCCGAGAGCCTTCCAATGAAAGCGGCTCTTGTAGATCAAGTGTTGCAGGCAGGCGGTGGGCTGACCACAGTAGATGGATCTACCATGGTTATTGCTGGCAGCTCATGGGGAGGTGGCGGGTCTATCAACTGGTCGGTCAGTCTCCAAACACCAGATGAGATCCGGCAAGAATGGGCAAAGGATGGCCTTCCAATCTTCACCAGCACGGGATATCAAGAATCCCTGGATAGAGTGTGTGCTGTGATGGGAGTCAACGACAAGCACAATAATTTCAATTTTGCCAACAAGCTAATCAAAGAAGGCGCAGAAAGCCTTGGGTGGAGATTCAAAGTCTGTCCCCAGAACACAGCTGACCACGAAGAACATTCTTGTGGTGCCAGTTGCGGCATGGGCTGTCGGGAAGGGAAGAAGCAGGGCCCAGCCGTGTCTTGGCTGCCCCTTGCTGCAAAATCTGGCGCAAGGTTTATTGAAGGCTTTGACGTCTCAAAGATCACCTTTGATGACAGCAATGGCCTCAAGAAAGCTACCGGGATAGAGGGGACCTGGACCTCTCGCGACGCCTCGGGGACTCCATTTTCACGGGAGGGGCGAACTAAGCAATCTGTACAAATCAAGGCAAAGAGAGTCATTGTAGCGGGAGGCGCAGTCAACTCTCCGGTACTACTTCAAAAGAGTGGATTGAAGGTTTGTTATTTTGATCATATCCCTTCTCTTCAGACGAAAGATTGCTGATACACCTATCTGATCTAACAGAATCCGAACATCGGGAAACACCTGAAACTACATCCATGCGCATGCTTCACGGCTGCATTTAAAGAAGAGGTCAAGCCATGGGAAGGTAAGTTTGATGGCTTGAAAGTAATGGCATGGAATTTTACTTACCCAATTCTTTCAATTCTTTAGGCCCAATTGCCACCGTGGTCCTCACAGAATTTGACAATGAGGACAAAAAGGGATATGGCCCTAGGGTCTATAGTACAGCAATGCATGTAAGTACATATGGAAAGGAGACGAAATTGTCAATATTATCATCCGCTAACCAAAAGAAACTAGACATTGGTAGGCATGCTTCAGCTCCCATGGAAAAATGGCACACAATACAAGGTGGATGCATTAAAATATCCACATCTCGTTGGATATGTTGCCATCACTCGAGACTATAGCTCTGGAAGCATCACGCCAGAGCCCACAGACGGGAGCCCAGTCATTAACTATACACCATCACCTGCCGACTGCAAGCACATTCTTATAGGGCTCATCGCCACCGCTAAGCTGTGCTATCTGAGAGGGGCAATCGAGTTGGCTCCAGATGTTGCTGGAGTCCCGCCATTCAGAAGCCAGATACCGGCTGCAGAACGGAGTCTGTCCGATACCGAGTTTGTCCAATGGCTGAAGCAGCTTGAGACTACAGGGGTCCATCCAAGAGATTCTATGTTCCAGTCCGCTCACCAGATGGGTTCATGCCGCATGGGGGCAACAGCTGAGGCGGGGGTCGTAGACCAGACTGGAAAGGCTTGGGAGGCTGAGAATCTGTATTTGGCAGATTCGAGCATCTTTCCTTCAGCTGGTGGTGTCAATCCAATGATCACCACCATGGCAATTGCGGACCGCGTCGCTCACAGCGTGGCCGCTGGCTTGTAGACATAGTGTAGATAACTACTGAATCACTCGATTGGGCCACCTTCCTAATTAATGTTCCCACACCCATCAACAATAGATTCGAAAACTATCACTTCTCCTTCCCAATTGCTCATTGCCCTAGCGGTCGTTATTTTAATCTTCGGGGCTAGCCTGCCATCGGAAACAGACCCCAGCTTCACCCCGCCTGGTGATGCTTCAGCTGTCACACCCCGCCTGTCGATGCTTCAGCTGGACACAGCCTCGTTCTCTCGCACTGTCTTGAAAGGTGGGTCTGGGAAATGCCGAGACGGCCCTTTTGTTTGTACGTACATCGATGACATGTGAGGGGGGGCCAGATCCTACAACCCCGCAGGTCTTGCAGGGTGTCACTTTCAGGGGATCCGTATATTTGCCAAGCGCGTAGAGGTGCGAGATTCGCATGATTCTGCCACTTTGGGTATCAAGCTCGGGTGGGGGCCTTCCTCTTGCGCTACGTAAGTGCTTAGAATGCATGAAGCTGACATATTTGGGGCCCCCCAAGAGAGAGCCAACAGTTTCCCCTTCAGGTCCGAAGGGTGTGGAGAGAGTGATATACAGGCAACAAATATCCGAGACTTCCATGAAATAATACAGATCACAAAGCCTGCCTAATTGAGGAAATAAACCTAACCTCCACGGAAAAGACCGATCTCTTCTGTTCCTTCATCTCATCGTCACCATGAGTGCAACCACTGCTCAAAATGATAGCCAAGTAAGCTTGCTGGATCTTGCTTCCAACATTATGAAGCAGACAGCAAAGATCACAGCCTACCTTGAAGCGAACAATCTGCCTGAGCCCACATTTGACCAGGATGCTCCCGCTCCTCCAGCGACTTCTGAGTATCGAACGATACACAGAAGCCTTGTAGCCTCGCTTGATGAGCTCCGTCGCCTGACAGACGGGCCTTACCCAACACTGCGGTCTTTCATATGTCAAGGAAATGATCTAGCCGCTTTCCACATCGCCTTCGAATTTGAGTTCTTCAACATCGTCCCTCTGGACTCCGGCATGGAGCTGACTGAGCTTGCCGAAAAGGCAGGACTTGATGTCGATCGCACAGGGCGCGTTATGCGCATGCTAGCCACACATCATGTTTTCAAGGAACCAAGGCCAGGCTACTTTGTTCACACCTCGCTCTCCTCCCTCTACCAGAGGAGTCCGGATTCCTATGCTGCTGGTCACTATAGGTAAGCATCCCTCTCGTGTATAAAGCAGCCAGTCTTCGTGTTCCCGCTAACAAATAATCCGCCGTAAGCGTGGACGAAATGCTGAAGGCAGCAACGGGCGCCGCGGCTGCGCTTAAGGCTGCGCCGTTTGAGTCTGATAGCGAGCACTGTGGCTTCAACACTGCAAACGGCTTGCCCATGTTTCAGTTCTACGCCAAGAATCCTGGGCATGCAAAGAGATTCGCCAAGGCCATGGCCGGTGCTACATCGGTGGACCGGCAGATTTCCGAGTTGCGCGACTCATATGATTGGAATACTCTGAAGGGAACCGTCGTTGATGTCGGTGGTGGCAGCGGACATGTTTCGGTTTCTCTGGCTCAGGTAAGTCAGCCCTCTCCATCTAACTCTTGGCTATCCCGGAAAAAAAGCCCGAGGAAGTTATGAAAAGCATTTGAATCTAATGGTTAAAAAGAATTTTCCGCACTTGAATTTCGTGGTCCAAGACAACTCCCAGGATATGCTCGACGCGGCCAAGCACGTTTCCACCAGCCCCGATGTGGCTGAGCGAATCTCGTATATGAAGCACGACTTCTTCGAGGCTCAGCCTGTGAAGAACGCGGCGGCATTTTTCATGCGCCAGTGCACCCACAACTGGTGCGACCGAGATGTCGTTCGCATTTTCAAGGGAATCGTTCCAGGTCTTGAGGCGTCTGGTCCCGGCGTCCCTTTTCTGATAAATGACACCATCATCCCGGAGCCGGGGTCTATCCCTCTTCATGAAGAGCGAGCGCTTAGGCAGATGGATCTGCTTATGATGATTGGACTGGGTGCAAAGCAAAGAACCAGGGCTGAATTCGCCGCGCTATTGAAAGAGGCTGACCAAAGATACGAGATTATCAATGCATACGCAGAAGGCAGCAGTATGGGATTACTCGAGGTACAGCTCAAAGCTAATTAGTTCTCTGAACACTTTGCTCTAAGATTGATTCTTAGCATTCTATCTAAATATAGAGAAAAGTCGTGTCTTACAAGTTAGATAGATCAACATAAGAAACAAGACAAGATAATTTAATTTCCCACTCTAAACCAATCGTAGAGTGTGAATATTCAATTAGTCAAATAACAAAAAAGTACATGCAATTCCCCCTTCTCATTCTCTCCGCCTCTTCCATTTGTATTACCGCAGCCATACGACATCGATCTCCTAGTAATCAAACACTTTATGATTAGATTGTCTTTATGGCACACAGTTAGATGTCTCCATTGCGATGATGCCCGTCTGGTTCTCCAAGAGTCGCTGGCCCTAGTGGGCTTGCTGCGAATTGGCCTAATGTCTTAGAAGCATCGGTAGCCATAAAGCGAATGGCATGTTCAAGCTGACTTGCAAGCTCCTCTTCTTGTGTGGAGCTCAAATGAGTTGAGTTAAAATGCATGGTAAAGCGAATGATTGAGGAAGAAACGAGGCATTCAATTACCAATGGCTGGCCGAATAATTCGTGTATCTCAGAGGGGCCATCCCCTTCGGTGACAGACGACATTACGTCCGATTCATCATATACATCCGCAAGCTCTCTGGATGATTCAACTTTGAATATGCTTGAAAAGTGAAAAACATCCTGGCTATTACCTCCAAGCTTCAATATATCTGGGAGGCCAAAGTGCTGATACGGGATCATCTCCGTAGTTTGCTTGTGCACGAGTTCAAGGAACGTACCAACGGACGTGCTGCGATCAATGCGTAAGGGAAGTGGCAAAATAGTAGATACTGGCCCGGCAATATCACGAATGTCTGAAACAGGAACATCTCGTCCAGTGAAAGATGTACCAAAACAGATGTCATCCGTGCCGCAGTGGTGAGCAAGCAGCAGTGCCCACGAAGATCTTGCCAATGTCGAGGGGAATTTTGAAGTTTGATGCGACTTGGGGAGTTCAACAGATCTGGTTATTTTGCCAACGCGCTTCGACAAGCCCTGAATTGGAGATGGGAACGCAGCGGTTTTGGCGCCTTTTAGCTGGTTCTGCCAGTATTTTCGGGTAGCCCCACGGTCTTGAGTCTCAAGGTATTGAATGAAGTATCCAAAATCGCGGACGCTTGGGACTTTAGCTCGATCATAATGATGGGAAAGCGTTCTCAGTATGAGACGTATCGTCCACTCATCATGGATGGCCTGGTGGGAAGTCAGAACGAAGAGTGATTCCCCGGAAGGCTGCTGTATCAACGCCCAGCGATTCAATCTTGAACCATAAGACATTTCCATATCATCAGCTTGGCTGATATAATCCTCCAAATCCATGTTTTTGGTAGCTTCCCAAGCAACATCAAAAGCCACAATAACTTGCATCATAGTTCCAGAGACTTCGACGATGCGCGTTCGCAGGATGGGGCAGGACCCTACAGTCTTCACCCATGCATTACGGAACCTTTTGATGTTCACCTCCTCGGATAACCTGTATATCCGCCTGGAGATGAAAGGTTCGGGGTTTTCGTTGGACAGTGACATTACATGCTCTTGAGTGGATGTTGCAGGCATCGCGTTCTCGATTACTTGACTCCCTGAAAGGTCGCAAATATCACCAACTTCCACATCCCAGTCTAGGTCCTGCAGATCAGCGGGAACCAAATCAAACGGTTCTAATTGTCGTTCTTCATCGTCGTCTTCGTTTGTAAGTCTCTCGATTGCCCGAGACGCTACAGTGGAAAGCCTAGGATCTTCGAAAATTTGTATGACTGTGAGTTCGATCGCGACTTCGCGAGCTGCCGCGACAAGGTGTATTGCTGTGATTGAATCGCCCCCGAGCTGCAAGAAATTGTCGTCACGGCCAATTGACTCTGCAGATAAGCCCAGGATTGATGCCCACAGAGCCTGGATACGAGTCTCCATGGGGGTTTCAGGTGCTCGCTTCTCGGTGTTGGTTAGCGAGTAGTGATGTAGCTGCTCTACAGACAACTTGGTGGTTTGTTCTTGTAGCGCCTTTCGATTAAGCTTTGATGAGGCGCTGATCGGCATGAAATCGCATGGTATGAAGATTGAGGGGACCATGTAGGCGGGAAGATGAAGCCTGAGCTTGCCCAGCAATTCTAACAGTTGAAGTTTGAGGTCGGGTGAAATTGTCTGGAACATAGATTCCAGATCACTTGTGCCAGTCTGTCTTGCGTCAGAAAAGGAGAAGTAAGCTACTATGTTTGTCGCTTCTGCGCTCCGCAGTACATCAACAGCGACCTGTGAAACCCCACCGAGATCAGATAGTATGTGGTATTCTATTTCTCCCAGCTCAACGCGGAGACCTCTGATCTTGACCTGGGTATCCTTTCGGCTAACAAAATGCATTGTGCCGTCTGGATTATATGAGGCCAAGTCGCCAGACAGGAAAGCGCGCTTGAAATGGGACCCTTGACCCGCCATTGCCCAAGAAGGTAGGTCTTCAACAACCGAAGCTGTCGTTTTTTCGACATCGTTGAGGTATTCACGAATGATGGTAGGGCCTTGGATCAAAACCTCACCTACAGTGCCGATGGGAGCCAGTTCTCTCGGGTTGGTAGGGTCAACAATCCAGCAGCGGGAAGCAACCGGATAGCCAATCGTTGCTGGCGCTTCATCAGAACTCTGATACTCGTGGATACTGCTGGCGAAACACGTTTCTCCGGGCCCCCAAAAGTTTATCAGGCGTACCCGTCCGTGCCATTGATCCAGAAGATCCTGCGGCACAGTTTCGCCGCCCAGACCGAGAGTCTTAAGGGAAGGGACTTGCTCTGGTCGTATGGTACGAGCAAATGCTGGGCTGACGAGAGCACAATTCACCCCGGCGTCTCGTATGAATTTTTGAACGTTGTTGAGTCTCATTTCGTCGGAAGGAATACAGATGCATGCTCCGCTGTATAGCGCTTGGAAGAGCTCGCCGATCGAGAAGTCGAAGGCGAAATTGGCGAATTGAAGCACCCGATCCCCAGGCTTAAAACAGATACGTTCTGAGATCCCATGCTGGGCCGAGGACAAAGAACCGTGTTCCATGATGAAGCCTTTCGGGGTGCCTGTACTTCCCGAAGTGAAGAGAACGTACGCTACATCTTCTGGTTTTATTTCGAGTTGGGGCCTATCAATTGATCCTTCGATACCGGAGAAGAAGGTATCAGTAACTTCGACTGTATCCTCGACTAGTTTCGAAAAGCATTCGGATTGGTCCGGGGAGATCAACACGAGTCGTGAACCTGTCTGTTGTACAATATTTTGCTTCCGCTCAAAGGGGTACTCCGGGTCCACGGGCGAGAAGGCGGCGCGGGCTTTATTGATTGCCAGTATTGAGACTGGATACCATTTGGATTTATTCATGCAGACGTGAACGACGTCACCAACTCCAACATGGTATTGTCCTACCAAGATTCCCGCAAGTCGGTTTGCGGCATCGTTAAGCTCAGAGTATGTAAAGTCTCCATCCCAGGCATGAACCGCTGCCGCGCCGGGCTGGATCTTTGCAAAGTTGGTTATCACATTAGGCATGGGGACCTCAATGACTTTAGGTATGGGATTCCTGCTGATGGCTGTCTCAACGTCCCAAGAAGACACCATTGAGACATTTTCCAGTTGTTTGTCGCGATCATCGGAAAGTAATTCTGAAACAAGCTTTTCGAATTGATATGACATCGCCTCGATCTGGGGTCTCTTTAGAACCCCAGCGTCGTAAATCAAATATAGCTCAACTTCGTCGCCGGCCAGCAGGCATTGCATGACAAGCGGATAGGTGAAATATCCGGCTAGTGAGGATTGAACTGAATTCTCATCACCTTTTGAGGGAAGAAGGATCGACTCATTTTTCTGGTACTCGTATTGCTGCGAAGGTTGAATCACTGTGAGACTGGAAAACTCACAAGCTTGCTTGGCATCATTGCTGACTTTGGCGATGTTTTGGATACCATACTGCTCATATGCAGCCATGCCAAACGCCTGGGTCTGCACATCCTCTAAGAAGGCGTGAACAGTTTTCTGTTTGTCAAGCTTAATGCGAACGGGGATGGTTGCGATCATTGTTCCGGGAATCTGATCTATCCCGGCAACTGGCGCGTTGCGGCCAGACACAGTAGCTGCGAAAGTGATGTCCTCAGATCCACAGTACCGAGCGAGCAGCAGAGCCCAGGCAGCACGCAGTATTGTAGCGCTTGTGACCGACCTGCTCTTCAGTCCGGGGAATGACAACGTTTTCTGAAGGACCTCGGTGATGGACGAAAGCCTCTTGGAGGCTGGTGGGAAAGGAGCCCTTTGAGCACCGCGAAGCTCCTCCTCCCAGAAGGCTTTATTTGCGGATTCGCTAATTGTCATTGAATATGCGATGAATGTCGAGTAAGGAGTCAATCGCGGTACTTCCGTGTTATGGTAGACGTGGTTGAACACTCTCATAATCAGATGTACTGTCCACCCATCGAATACTGTGTGGTGCGCTAGCCATACGAAATTGAAAGTCCCTGTTTCATCCTTGTAGAGGAGAAATCGATTGAGACGATCTCCGTACGACATGGTTACACCAGCCAAGTGTTCAAGTATGTTTGTATCGGCAGACAGCTCTTCCCAAGTGAAGTCATCCTTGAAAACTGCCTGGAGTGCCTTGTCCTGGACCTGGACGATTCTTGTTCGTAAATTGGGACACATATCGGCAGTTCGGGCCCAAGCATGCTTGAAGACAGCGAGATCTACCGTGCTTGAAAGCTGAAAGGCGTTCTGGGCAATATATGATCTTGGCTGCTTCACTGTCAAAGCCATAAGGCCAGATTGCAGGGGGGTGCAAGGGAGGACGTCCTCTATTTGACTGATATCGTGGAATCTACATTTGCTCGCCACTTCATGAATGGTTTCATTCTGGGGAAGATCCGAAATCAATTTGAAAGCGCCGGGAGCACTATTGGTATCGTCCACAATTGGCGCCGCTGCGCTCGCCATCGCAGAAAGCCGCGGGTCTCGGAAAATTGTT